ATGTGAGAATCAGTCAGATCTGTATTTATACACATCTAAAGTTTGAGACTTTAATGCTTGCAGTTTGGGCTCAACAGCATACAAAAAAAAAACCCCAGTATTCTAGGAGAAAGCAATAGGATGGAAAAGTATCTAGTAACTCAGTGTGTCCTATCAAAACGTACAAAGGCTTAGTTAAATCATAGAATCATAGATTGGTTTGGGTTGGAAAGGACCTTAAGATCATCTAGTTCTAACACCCCTGACATGGGCAGGGATGCCTTCCACTAGACCATGTTGCCCACGGCCCTGTCCAACCTGGACCTGAACGCTGCCAGAGATGGAACATTTACCACTTCTTTGGGCAACCTGTTCCAGTGCCTCACCACTCTCACAGCAACTTACATACTATATTTATTTAGATACTATATTTATTATTATAAATTTATTACTATATTTTCTGCATGTATGTGCATACACACACATAGAATCATCTCCTTGCATGTTTCTTATTAAAGATGGGTCTTCATACAAGATCTGATGGGTTTAGTTTATTGGTCCTAGTGTCTATGTCCTTGAACTCATAATTCTCAGTGTGACATCATCATCAGTCATTCTAAAGATGCTAATGGTATTACAGATTACCTCAGACAGGAAATAAAACAGAAAAAAATAATCATACCAATCTGAATTATGCTTTCATAAAAATTAGTAACAAGAAAATGCTTGAAGGAAGATGAATGAAACAATGGTAATCATCTATCATGTTTATTTTCCTCGTGATACATGCAAAGCATCACTTGGACAGCCCAAATGGCATTTGGTTGGGTACAGAGAGGTGTCTACTGCCGTTTTAGACAAATGGTACTTGGTTGCTTACAGAGACGGGTCTAGTGCCATTTTAGACAACCTCAGGTACTCCAGCTGGCTTCCTTTTGCTTGGAACCCCCTTACATTTTGTGTATCATCTGCTAGCCCTGTGAGAGTACCTTCAGTGGCCTGCAATACCTGAACTGGCACTAGACTTCTACGTTTAGGCACCTAAAAGCCTAATCCAAACTCCCTTTTGCTCTGATGTACACTATATGAAATAGATCAGAGTATTAGCATGGTATATTAAGTTTACACTGACAAGGTAAGTAGGAAACTGAAAAACAAAAGTGGTCTTCCGATGATTAGCGTTTTAATACAACAGCATCTTCAGTGAAACATTAACTTCACATTCACTGGTTTGCATAAACATTCTTATGCCATTCTTGTAAAAAAAAAGATTAATTCTGTCAGCAGTGCTCATTTAACACTCTAGGTGGGTATCTCAGGATCCTGCTGTTGTCTGCTGTTGACTATTATCCCTTCTTGTCTGAGACAAAGCTGTCAAACTGAATTAATATTGTATTAGCTCACCATAAAAAAGGGGAGGAGGGGAAAAGACGGCAGATCAGAGGCAGGTAAGCATAGAGAAATAAAAACCAGAATGTTGTTCTTTATCTGGTATACAAAATTAGGATTATCAATACTGGCAGCATAAGGAGGAAAAAAATACGTTACATAGAATACTTATGCTGCATTATTATGCAATATATCTAATAATATATTTACTGTAAGACTCTATAGCAGCTAATAACACTAAGCCAGGGATGATCTTTTCATGACACTCTACACAAAAGCTGGTCTCCAGCCTTCCTAAAAATCTGACAGGTTTCTACAAAGAACAGATGGATGCAAACAGACTGGGCAGCACAAAGTACAGGATTATTGCCAGTAAACCACCACAGTGGCAGAAATACACTGATAACCTGAATTCTCACAAAGTTTTGCAGACATAACAGTGTAGGAGTTTTAAGGATGGATCACAGAACAGTGCTTTCAGTATATTTATGTTAATATCCTTCAAAGTGTGCAAGTGATGAGAATTAAAAAAAACCCCACATATCTACTTGTATATGAATTAAATTAAAACACATTGGAGAACAGCAGAATGGGCTAAGTGAGCTCAGGAGGTAGTATCTCATTGATGATAAAACATATCAGACAGGGTGAAGAAAAGTCATGCAGGGTTCTGAAGTGGAAACTTTCAGCTAACAATCTCTACAGCTTGTATTTGATGCAATAAAAAAGGGCAATTTAGAAGGGAAGAAACTAATTGAAGCAACACTTGAGGAAAGCAGATTTACAGCAGTGATAGAACAGAATGGAGGCTCTTACTCCTACAACGGACCTTCCTTTGCAGAATGCTAACCTGGATGGACAAACTGTTGCAATTTAGCAGATTTGATTTATCCCACCTCTCAATTCAAACTTAAAGTTCTACCTACTGTTACAGCTTTCTCATCCAAGGAATCAAAAATAGAGATCTTTGCATTAGTGTTTGCTCTGATTTACCTTCATACCAAAGTGTTCTGCATAAGTAAAAGAATTCCAAAGATAGTGCTGGCAGCTCAGACTCCACCTTGAACAAAGACTTCAGTTCTATTCTACTACACTAGAAGGAATTCAAGAAAGATTAACAAAACTATGAAAAAGGAAAGTATTTTACATGTGCTGGAATAAAACTGTTAACTAACGACACTTGTAGCACATAATTATCTACATGGCAAATCTAAGTAGAAATTGAAGGAAGTTATCAGCATAGTAAAAAGGGTGTAACTAAAAAATTGTCATTATGAGAAAGGAAAGTGTAATATCACCTTTAAGAAGTGACTCTTGGAATATGGAGTAACTTCCCAGAGAAAGCTCCATTTCCCAAAAAATTTGCAATCAGACTGAAAAGTGGATTGGAGACAATATACAAAAATAAACTGGAGCTACAAAACTGCTGAAATAATAAAAACATCACGTGAATTATCCTATTTTTTAATATATCTAATTTACATCGAAGTTTTACTAAGATACGTGAGCTGCTGTACACATCACACAAGGCACAGGTGTTTTAATAGTACACCTGTACTCTTAACCACAAACCAAAACATTATTCTATTTCATTTTAGCTTGGAACTTCGTGCAGCAATGATGATTCCACCAGGCATATATGTAGGAAAACACCAGGCCACAGTTTGCCACCAGGCAAACTAGAGGAAATTATTCTGATTTGAAGAAAACAGTAGGTTCATCATAATGCACTTGCCTGCCCCATCTTGTACTGCCATATAAATGACATCAAAAATAAAAGAAAATGCCAGTTTTAGGTTATTTTGAAGACTCCAGTGAAACTGTGGACAGAATAGCTGGAGCAGAAAAGGACATCAAATTGTTTCACTTCAGCTTTCAACACTCCGTTCTTTGATCACAGTCATCTTAAAAGTTTCTTGTGGAAAACATGCTACAGTTTGATGTGTCTGTTCTACATTTTTATATGAAGTTAGTCTTACTGAACTACACACAATGTCTGAAAGTAAAGAACATGACTAAAAAGCTCAGACCAATCAGTTATTAAATTAAGCATAGAGCTTGATCTGTTTGTTTCAAAATTTATACAGCACCTTCAGAATTAACTATCTTTCTGTCAAACCTTGTTACCTTACCTTAGTTCATGAAAGGATCTCTTAAATAGTTTCCATTTGACCTACATACCAGTTGCTCTTTTATCTTCTCACTTCCTACACATATTATTCTACTGCATAAACTAGGCATCCCTGTATTGCTATTGTATCAATAGCCTTTCATTAAAGAACAGCTGAAGTACAACACCAGTAGTTATTGAGAAACTATACAATGTTACTTTTAATATTCAGTGATATTTATGCAACTCTTCCTTAGGTGAGAATCTTAAGAGTTACTTAATTTATCATTTTTAATCTCCTTTTTCTTTATATTTCTTTATATTCCCTCACATCCCACGTTTCTTCACAAGCTTCCTGGCAACATCCCCCAGGCAGAGGCTTCCTGGAGCAAATTCTCAAGTGGAGCTATGACATCTGTGCATCAGCTGAGGATCATTTTATTACACATACATTGCAGCATTGGCCTGTCTGCAGCATCACTCTTTTTGCTCAGAAAAGCTGCACCCTTTCCTCCAAACTAAAGCAGTCATGCAAAAAAATCCTTAAATCAAAACAACTGTATTCATCAACAGAATGCAAAATTTGCAGCATTAATGAATAGGCACCAGCTGCAGTTGCACAGATTACAAAACGCGTAGTCACCATGTTTAGATACTCCAATAAAAATAGTTCCTCTCTGCTGCCATCTACAGATAGATTTGAAATTGTTGTAAAATCTGCTTTTTACTTCCAGATACATACTTAAAAATGGGATCTCGACAAGCCCTACAAACCAGTTCACCCCGAATATCTCAACAGTGTTACCCCAACATATTAGAAGTGTCAGGCGAAGCTGATCCCAAGCGACAGGTCGTCGAAAGGTCTTTAGGTGTTGCCACAGTGATTTAGGTGTTGCCAAGTGATGCTCTATCCTGTGCAAAATCCTTATCTGGGAATTAGGTGCTCATGTTCTCTGTCCAATGCATGGGAAGAGTTAAGTCTCACGTAGATGCCCCTCAGAAGCCAGATGAGCTGCCAAAAGTGAAAGGGAGATTCTAAATCTCAGGTATATCTTTAATGCTTTTTCTTGAGTCCCCAGAATATCTAAGGCTTACTGGTTGTAGCATTGCTATTAGATGCCTGCTTCAGACACCACACTGTCAGTTTCACAGCAACAAGAGGTTGCAAAGTCAGTTTCCCTCTCTGCATGAAAATGAACCTCAGTAGACCAAAGTGGTACGTTTGTAAAAGATTGACGCCTTCAGTACACAGCGGAGACAGTGTAACTCAGGATGCTCATCTGTATTAAATGACTGCATGCCTGTTAAGTATAAAATAACATTCTTGCTTAGGGCCCAAAGTGAACGTCATTTGATATGCAGTAAATCGATCATGCATGAAACAACTATTATTATGCTCCTGCAGGGCATCTTCCCTCAGAGGTCTGACCCTACACACCCTGCAAGCTGACTTTAAACCTCTTCAAACGCTACCATAATTCAGCGGCTTGTTGTAAAACATACTTCTAAGGGCTACCTAAGCATGAGGAGAGAGAACGCGCTCCTGAAGCCTTCCACGGGCTTTCGCAACAGTCGCCGCACACCTCAGCCAGCGCTGTGTGCGACAGGGGCGGGCCCGGCTGCTCTCTGCCGCCTGAGACCGGGGCCAGGGGGACTCCGCGCTCCGCCCCGACCTTTCCCCCCAGGGCCCGGCCAGAGGGACCGGGAAGCCGGGTGTGAAGGGGGCGCGGCGTGGCGGGACAGAGGAGAGCCGAAGCAGAACGTCCTGTGAGCACCTCAGGACTCCGCTCGCACCTCAGGATCCCGCTCGCAGGCGCACCCTGACTGTGGAGGAACCCCCGCCAGCGGCTCAAACCACCGTCCCGCCTCAGGGAACACTACCGCTGCCCAGCGCGCTGCTGCGCATGCGCCGCCGGGGGCCTTGTCCCAGGCTCTGGAGGCAGGGATCGGCAGTGGTGGGGGTTCCGTGCTGGCGGTACCTCAGCCGTGGCTGGTGAGGGTCCCCGCAGGGCGGCAATGGCCAGGCCAATCATCGTGCCCATGAGAGTCACGGCGACCGTCCCAGAGGCCTTCATGGTGCTCCACCTGAGGATGAACATGGTGGAGGAGCAAACCAGTGCCCTGGTGCGAGACCTGGAGGAGCTTGGCGTCAATGGGCAGAGGTAAGGAGAAAGCAGGGTAATTTTTTCCCCTTCAGCAGCCTGGTCTATTGGAAGGTGTCGCTGCCCATTGTAGGGGACTTGGAACTAGTTGAGCTTTAAGGTCCCTTCCAACCCAAACCATTCTGTGAGTTGTAATTTGGGATATTACTTCATTTTCCTCTTCTCAGTCCTCTTTGCACCCCTTTGCCATGCTTTGCTCTTCTCTCCATGAAGGAGCTGGTGCTAGCAGCATCAGCAAAACAGGCTACAGCAATCTGGGGTCACTGGAAACCTTTAAGCTCTGTGAAACGTGGTTTCTAACCTAATCACACCTGGTACGTATATATGCAATGTCACGTAGGTTTACATACACAGAGTAGGTCAGTCTTTTCTCCTTTTCAGCCTGGAGCATTTCCACTCAGAGACCTCAGAAACACCCACTCATCCCCCAGCCATTAGCCCTGTGCAGGCCAGGGTAGCATTTGTGGGAGAAAATACACTGTGGAAGAACTGTGAGATGCTGGTGAATCGAATGTGTCGGTTAGAGAGTGTTGTACAGACACTGAAATCAAACATCTTCCGGCTGCAGGCAGAAAAGGAACTGAGCTCCAAGTACACAGGTAGTAAAAAAGGGGGGAGGGGGGGGCAGGGGGGTACTTCATTATCCCTACTAATGTTTTTCTGTCGATGAAAGTTTTTTGCCTTTTCCTGTGCAGCCCAATTGGAGCAATGCTTGAAAACAGTCCACGAGGAGCATTTGCAAGAAATGAAGACTGTACAGCAAGAAGCAATGAAGTTGCATCAGCAACTGAGTGATATGAAAGAGGCTGAAGAAAAGGCAAAAGAAGAAGTTCAGAGACTGAGTACTGCTCTGGAGATTACAACTTCATCCAAGGTACAAGATTATGATCTTCCAGTAGTTTCAAGTATGAACAGACTTGTTTTTAAGTACAGTCATCTCTGACATAAACAGATTGTATATTCAGCTGGAAAAGAGAGTTTATGATATATTGTTGGCAGTAAGAGCAAAAATATTTGATAATGAGACTTTGTGCTTCCAAAAAAAAAAAAGATCACGTAGGAAATAAAGAATAAAAATATTTGGGATATGTAATTCTGTCATCTTTGTGACTTCAGCTCATCCCAGCTTTTTTCAATGGCTTTTCTGTTTTTCCAGGAATTTCTCTGGTGTTTCAGTCTTACAATTCTGTTGTAGTGTAAGAGAACTTCAGTGGAGTATGTCACTCAATCACATTAACTGTACTAAAGCATGTGTTGTTTCTTAGCGCTTGCACTTTTATATTCAATTCTTCACAACGGAGAACATGAGGCTGGAGATAGAAATCAAGTTCTAGGTGTTAGTACAGCAATTGTATTCTATAATAAATAGGTAATAAATAAATTGCTTTTGCAACAATTATGAACATGACAGGATAAAAATATCTGTTCCTTTTGTCTTCTTTAGATGGATGTAGTAACTGCAGCTGAGGAACTGAGGAACACAAACCAGAAGATTAACTGTAGACTTCAGGAGGTAAGTACAGGAGCAAAGAGCTCAGTAGGAGGCTAAATTTGCCTAGTGTTTAAAGATCTGAAGATTCTTAAATAATATTCTGGGTGCAATTTTGGAACGTGAAGAACCCAAAGGAACTTATCAGCCATGCTCATAACTAAAAACAGACAGAACATCTTTCATACATACTCTTGAAGTATTTGTTCAATCTGTCTAATTAGACCTAGGTCAGAAAGTGTTTATTTTTCTAGCTCACAGAACAGCTCTCCCAGGAGATCAGCCTGCGGCAGTCTCTGGAGGAATCCCATGCAACTGTGTTGTGTTATGTGCAGGACATGGAAGCAATAGTAGAAGTGAAACGAAAGCAGGTTTGAGAAACTTTCAGTCTTCTTTTGTGTCTGTTTTTGTTTTCTTATCTGGGAGGAAGAGCAAGAACTTGGATGTCGTTCCTAGAAACCAGTGAAAACACTTCATAACGACAACATTTTGTACAAGTGTTGATCAGAAGATATAATGTAGTCAAACTTCCTGCTCAAAGTCAGAGTATCACAAACACTGGACTGGAGCAGTGATGGATTTGTTCAGCAGCACTGTTCAAAGACTCTAATTCCATGGCAGCTGTAGGCATTTTTGATGGTACTACCATAATGTTCCAGTTAAGATTTTTTTTCTACCATCCAATCTGAATGCTCCAAGCTTAAATCTGGGACCACTGCCCCTTCCTTTAATCATTCAGTGCAACTGAAAAGAATTTGACTTCATAATCTTTGTAACTGCCACTTATATTTGTGGGACACAGCTGGATCCTGCCTTAACCTCTCTTCCCCAGGCTGTACAAACCTCTTTATAATTGGGGTACCAATAAATAGAAAAATATTTTGTTGAGATCATAAACTTTATGGGAGTAAGAATGCTTTCTCCATTAACTGCCATAATGACAAAGCTAGATCTTTGTTCTCACCTGTATTTGTATTATCTAGCTATTTTGGAGTGTGGGGAGGGGCCATAGTTCATAGTAGAAATGAACTGGCTTGCACATAATTCACTTAATAACTCTGCATGTATATGCATACGCCAGCCACATGCAGTCACTCTAACACTTCTGAATTCATAGCAACAGTTTAGTAAGAATAAAAGAGAGCAAATAGCAAAGTATCAAAACTTGAATAACTGAGGTTTGTTGTTTGGTTTTTTATTTTTTTATCATCATCAAGGTCTGTGTTCCTGAAACATACAAAGTTCGGTTAGAAATTACCAGTTGGTTTGGGTTTTTTTTTCCCCCTACATGCCTTTTATCATCTTTGTGTTCTTCTACAGCAGAAGTGGAAAAATGATGGAGACCTCATTGAACCGTATGAATTACATACATCATGTGAGAAACAAAGGCTTAGTTTCATTAATCTGTCACTTGCTGATGGGTATAGTTGACCATGTTGCATTCACCTTCATCTTCTATAGCTTGATCTCTTCTGTAATCTTAATTGTGCAAACGGTTAGATTCTGCCTGTCACGTAAAGATGATTATAAGCACACATACACTGTGTTACATATAGAAATATATAGAATTGCTTGCCATAAAAGTCTTCTGCATAAGGCTGGGACGAGCAGAGAGGAGAAGCTGACCAGGCCTTATCTTTTCCACTTAGATTAACTTTTTAGGCTCTGAAATCTGGTAGGTTTGCCTGACTGAATTCTGCATCTTAAAGAATAACATGTAATATCATTGCAGGTACAGATACTACACCAGGACTGCCAAGACTTGTGTAAAGATGTCCAGCTAGCCCAAGTGAGGCTGCAAGAGGAAGAGGAAAGAACTGCACAGCTGGAGCAACAGTGCACACAACTGAAAGCTGAGCTGGGTATGACAGTGGATTCTTGTCACATCCTTTTAGCACTTTTCTGTCTGCTTCCACAGTGAGAGGAAACAAGCACCAGACCTGTTAATTGAAGGAACTTCTGAGTGAGCCTTTGATGATAGCTTGGATGTCACAACATTTTGGCTAGACTTCCCTCCCTACCCTGCTCATGCTGAATTGTCTTTTGTTGTCTTCATATTTTCCCAGTATGTTATAAAGCACAGAATATTATAGGCAGGTTGATTCAAATTCCAACAAAAATGCTTCTGTTTTTAGATCTGTGTGGTTTTAGAAGGGATATGATCTAACTACTGTTTTCTTTATCAGTGCACAAAAATGTTGTATATGGGCTGCAGGTTACATTCGGCACAAGTCAGTTGCTTACACACCTGACAACTGAGTAAGAGTCATAGTGTTACTTGGTTTGCTGAAGCAATCACAGAAGTGGTACATGTAGGAGACTGGCGTGATGGCATGCTTCATTTAAAAATTAAATACATTGCAATTACTCTATGAAATCAAATTTTCAAAGTAATTTTGCTGAAATACTGAATTTATCAAGGAAATTATTAAAGAACAGCATATTTGTAGCTGTCTTACCTGTTTGTGTAAGCTAACTTATTTTGGTTTTTTTGTTTGTGTAAGCTTATTTGTTTGTGTAAGCTAATTCAGTAACTCAGATAAACTTTAAATCAAAATGTCATCTTTTAAAGTTACCAAACAGGTAATAAAGTCTGTCCTGACATTCTTTCCTATTTTTAGACTCCAGGAACTGTATCATTTCCCAGCTTGGTGAAGAAACAAAAGTAAGTTGTAAACAAGTATTGGACAGAAAAACAGCTAAATAAAGATCAGAACAGCCTATGTGAGACCTTTCAAATGTACCACATTCAGAGGCAGAATTTTTATGTAGACAAATGCCAAGTGCAACCAAGGCTACTAACCACTGAATGTCTTATTTTATTATTTTACCAGTTTGGGGTTGCCCTACTTATTTTTTGAAAGATTTAATTTTCATATGCTACTGAAATATCAAAACACTGACATGAATGCCTGCCTTGGAAAGCTAGAACTGGCCACAAAACACTGTTGTGGTAGCACAAGTATTGCATATAAAGGAGACAAATGGATTGGTGATTAATACTATAGAAAAAAATCAGAAGCTTGGTTAACTGGGTACTGAATGGGCAAGGAGGTATGCTTACTGCCTATTTAGGGAGCGTGACTGCTGTCTGAAGTCTCCTCTGAAAGAGAAAGTTTCAGTAAGATGAGGTGAAAGTTCAGCTGAGCCATGGAGTCTCACCATGTGGGCAAAGGATTCCTTAATTCGTTAATTGTACCACTTCTGTCCTTTAAGCTCAGAAACGTTGGGACTAATTATACTGGAAACTAGTAAGTTTGAGCTCAGAAGGATATAAAGGCACCCTCAACTTTCAAAGCTAACTTAGAGCACGTAGCACTTTGGTTGTTGTTTTGTATTTTGGAAAGAGGCTTGTCTTAGACGAGCCAGTGCCAGTGCTTGCAAGAACATAGCAATGTGACAATAGCTTAAGGAAATAGGCAAGTACAAAACAAAGGTTTCATATTTGTGAAGTGTCTGGCTAAATGACATTTAATTTTTTTTTCTTAGTGTTTTGTTTTATTGCCCCTTAGAATGCACAGCTGTCTTTAAGCAAAGAACGCAAGGAGAACCTGCAACTTCAGTCTAAAATGACCACCTTGCAAGAGACAGCAGAGAAAGTACAGGTAATGAGAATAGCTACTCTTGTTTTTAAGATGGAAATAAAGAATAACAGAACAAGCGATTACAGTGAGATAGGATTAAATATTAATGGGAAGCCTCAAATGCAGGCGAGGAGACAAAATTTAATGCCCTCAGGTAATGCGGGCTAATTCAATCACTACAGTAGGTAACTGTTCCAGATTTCCTGTCCTTAAGGCTGGAAAGTTTTCTTCACAATACTTATTCTGAATCAAGGTTTTTGAACGTGTCTGCTTCAGGGGCCAGGACATGTAGGACTACTGCTGCTCCCTCTTCTATCTACCCTCAAAGTAGTACATTTATATTCCTTTGCACCTTTAGATTTTTAAGGAGTATGTTTCTATTAATGAATCAAATACGCAGTACCTGTTTGACTAAATTTTCCTCTGCCTCTTGGGGCAAAAGGTTCCATTTTATCTGTATCTGTAGAAAACTAACTGTGAAATTAGTAGGGGTCTGTTTTCGATTTTTGTCTTTTTTGCCTTAGAAACATTACCTTTTTCTGGACTTCAAAACTCAGAAGTGATTATGCTTGATGGGTAGTTTAAACTGTTCTCTTTCTTCCATATTACTCTAAACTTTTGACAACTTGGAATAAGTCTCCCATAAATAGGGACCCCCTGAACAAATTTTTTGGAGACTTTCTACCTAAAATAGCTTTTTCCACATCTGCAAGAGATTTTTTAGAAGTTTCTGACAGGCTACTATGCAGAAAAAAAAAGATGTAACCCCCTGAAAACACGTCTCTCCTGCTCCTCCTCCTCCTTCTATCTAACCAGATCCTTAATGACCGCTTAAGCCAGCAATGCTCAGAGCTCAGCACCACACTCCAGAGTGTTGCGGTGGAGAATGCTAAACTCATTTCAGACCATCTGACTGTGCTTAAGGTATGAGCCTACTATTAAAGTCCATGAAAGTTTGTAGCTCAGACGTTAGACAACAGACTAATTCCTAACACTGATAATCTGTGGGAATAGAGTAAAATATTTCACATACAGTAATGGAAGTTCTATAAAGTGTTAGTGTCCTTCTTTGCAAAGATTTACTTTCAGTACAGAAAAAAGAGGACATATGTTTTGGGGAGAGAGTGTAAATGTGGTAATCCTAAATACAGAAATATCCTGTAACAACCACTAAGAAAGGGGAACATACGAATTAATGGGTATTGTAAATACTGTAAAAGCAGAAGCTAAGTGGAAGTAATATGGATCTGAGTTTAAATATATATATATAAAAGCTAGGTAAGGTGAACTCAGATTTGACACCGTATTCAAGAGACAGCACACCACAATATGCAGAACTACAGGGACATTGCAAGAGCTCAATGACAAATGAACAGATTTGTAAATTAGTTACTCGTCCTTCATCACTCTGATAGTGTTATTGTCTGGGTCATTTTTCTCCTTTAGGCAGAACAAGACAAGACCCATAAGCTGCAAGAGCAAGACTCACTTCTGAATGCTGCCCATGCCAATGTTCTTGGAGAGCTGCAGAGTGTGCAGCATGAGAGGTCTCAGCTTCAAAGAGAGCTGTGAGTTTTCTTGTCTGTAGCCTCTTTCCCCCCCTTCCTCCATTGTATTCTCATCACCTTGATTTCTGCTTCTCTAGCCCTCAGTAACACAGAAGGGCCAGTTTGGTATTTAATATGGAGGCCATCTTCTGTCCTTCTGTTGTGCTAGAACTCCAGCTTGGCTTTTTTTTTCTTTCTTCAGGGAGGCCTTGCGTACAGAGCATGGCAAATACAGGCTGAAGGCAAGCCTTGCTGAGAAGGCATCAGCCACAGAGAGACAGCTTCTGGAACATACTGTTGCTAGACTGCAAGATGAACTTGAGACAGCTTTGCAAGAGAAAAGATCTCTGCTGTCAGAGAAGGAAGATCTTCAACAGGAGGTACAGAAAACTTACTGTTTTAAAACTATATTGTTGAAGGCTGCTTTCAGATCCACACCATTAGGGTTCTTACTGACACACCAGTTTTGCTTTCAAGATTACTATTTTTGGTTGTTGCAGTTACAAGTGTGACACACTCTCCCCTTTCCAGCTATGCTTATATTTTGACTTGTCTCCTCTCAGAAGCATGCAAAGGGAGAGAGATATGGCAGCTCTGAACTTACGATCAACTGTTCTGAATGTGTAATATTTCCACGAATCTGGATGTTTTCAGGTGACAATAACTTCACATTTCTTTTAACAGATAAGGACAAGAGCAAATGAAACAGTACAGGAAAGGAATAAACTAGAAGTACTAAAAACAGAGAATGAGGTATCTTGCAATATAGATGGCTGGTCTTTAAATTTAGTGTTTTCTCTTAAGTTTTGCTTTCATTTTGCCTACTCTCTCAATTATTTCTAAATACTGTGATATTTACCATAGCCATATTGTTCATTATGCTGCTTGATATTCTTTGCTTATGTGGTTGTGTCCTTTGGAGCAGCAACTGTACTGCTACCTGCATAAGGCCCTATTTGTAGTAGCAAGCTTGTTATACTATATATGCATAGCCTGGAAAAGGAAAGGCAGAGTTTGTGGTATGAATGAGATATTCCTTAGTGTAGTGCCTGAAGTTAGTATGATCCTTTCACTGTTGTAGAATTGCTTTCTAAAATGGGAGAGACTCTATCTAATCCATGTGTAGTGCTAAGGTTTTGTGGTATTGTGACTATGGAAATCTTGAAGGGGTACAATTTGTGTTGGGTTTTCTTGTTTGTAGCTGGAAATTATTTCAATGAAGTTCACTTTGCAAACACTAGAGCAAGAGAACAAGAGGCTATTGAACCGCTTGGATGCGCTGGTACATGAGCAGGTAAGCCACTAATGAAGTGGGTAACTGATGACCTGACTGAGAAGTAACTGCTGAAGGAACCAAGGTGCTCTTTGAAGTACCTGTATTTTTTGGAGAGTGGCTGACGAAATTAAGGAATCAAAAAGGGGAAAAAGTGAAAATAAAAGGATATCTCAAATATTACTCCATCTTTGTAGATGTCTGTGTGGGATAAGCTAAGAGGACTCTATAGAGCTTCTGGTATTGGTACATCATTAAAATTCTATGACTCCATTCCATTTTCTAGTACAGGCATATAACTTGTATATCTGTACATATATATTCAACTTACATACATTTGGAAGTTATTAACAACAATTTTACACCCTTTATGGACAAGTTTCCACTTGTGGTATCATTCCTGTTTTTAACTTGTTCCCATTCCATTATTTCTCAGTAATCTCAGTCACCAAGATCAGGATACTTTACTGGTTCCAGAAAGGCTGAGTAAAAGTTTAGTGATGCTCTGCTACCAGTGCTTTTACAGTGTTAGATGTAATGAGAAGTTGTGTTTGTTGGAGAGCCTAAGAAACACTTTTAGCTACTGATAAGGTCCTTACATCACAATGCTAAAGAAGAAATAACTGAGGCAACTTTCGAATGTTTGTTATTTGATAAAGTCACATTTCTGCAGTAGTTAGTGGATAACATATGTATATCTTCTGTTTAACAGAGAACTCCTTTGGCAGTCAGCAGTTACAGAGTATGAATCAATAGAGCATTCAGAACCTTTAAAAGTAGCCTGATTATTATTTTATTCTTTACTAAGTTATTTATATTCTGTTCATGCCTTCTCATTCTTCTAGTTATTATTGCTTCTCTGTTTCCTATTGTCAAAGGCTTCTTTCATCTCTTCGTTTTTTTCTCCTCTGTCCCAGGACAGTGGCCTTCTTGTGGCCATCTGAAAGGTTGGATCAATGTGAGCAGCTCTTCCTGAAGATTAAGCTGTCTTGCAGGAATTTATGCCATTTGTATTTCTTATTTTTTTAGTATCTGCTTTAGTGTTTCACCCAATGGAGTATTCATACCTGAAGCAACAGAGGAAAGTTAAAATACTTAGAGAGAAACAAGATACTGAGTGCTTTTTTTTATGCTTTTTGCCTTGTTTTTTGTACAGAATGGTGATGTCTGCTGTTTTTGTCCTCAGTATGCCCAGCAGCATGTGCAACAAGTGCTGGCAGAGCTGGCTGACAGCAAGAATAAACTGACCTGTGACAAAGGAAAACTTCAGGTACCTCTTAGCATCCTATTTGTCAGCTCAAAAGGGAAACAATCTAATATAAGGTTGTTTCATCTTAGTTCTTTGGCACTTAATTTGCCGGGAAGTGGTGGACTCTTCATTAGGGACTGTAGTGATAGGACAAGGGGTAATGGGTTAAAACTTAAACAGGGGAAGTTTAAGTTAGATATAAGGAGGAAATTCTTTCCTGTTAGGGTGGTGAGGCACTGGAATAGGTTGCCCAAGGAGGCTGTGAATGTTCCATCCCTGGCAGTGTTCAAGGCCAGGTTGGACGAGGCCTTGGGTGATACGGTTTTTAGTGTGAGGTGTCTCTGCCCATGGCAGGGGGGTTGGAACTTGACGATCTTAAGGTCCTTTCCAACCCTAACTATTCTATGATTCTATGATCTTCTCTACTTAATTTGTGTACTGTCAAGCACATATATTGAGAGTGCTGTATCAAGGTCATCTTTGATCCTGCTCACACTGACTTATAGGGTGACAAAATGCTGTTAATGGAGCATCTCTAGGATTTGTGATTATTAACTTGCTTAATGTGTGAAAAAAGTAGAAGGGCTAAGAACCACTTCTTATTTCCACGTTCAGAAGCATTCCATACTCTCGGCACTGCTGCAAGCATGCAGGCTACTTAGAACACTTTCATAAAACTCTAATAGATGACTGATTTTCCTGCTCCTTTTCCTAATGATCTATTGTACTGCAGGTGGCAATCCTGCAGCACCAGCTGGACGCAGCAAAGGATGATAGCAATAAGGCAACAGCCATGCTGGAGCATGTGTTAGCATCTCATAACAAGATGAAAGCAGCACTGGATGTGGTACAAACTGAGCTGGTGCATAAGGACACTGAAATCAGCCACCTCAGAAGAGACAAGTAAGTAAAACTGTTTCTGTGGTCTATCAGCAGCATGGAGAAGACTTAAGAGTGGAAGTGTGGCATCTTCCCCATGGCTCTGGCTAATAAGCTATACAGCAAATTTGTTTGAGAAGTTTCCTAAATGCTTTCCTGCAACACTGAAACATACTTGGTACCAGTGAACCAAGTACACCAAGTGCTTGTAGCCAACTTCACAAGCTTGGCAGGCCTTGTGCATCCTGTGGAAAGTAAGTAAAAACCTATGTAACTTCAGTGACAGGCAGAACTTAATATGGTTAAGGTAGAGAACCCAACTGTAAGATGGTCACCTCTTCAGAGATGTGCACAAATTGACTTAATGCATGATTTTACAATCCAGTTTCCATTTTCAGGAGCCAGACTCAACCAAAAATACAGATCTTGGAAAGAGAACTGAAGCACTGCCAAGCCAAACTGGTCGACATGGGAAAGCAGCACCGCAGCCAGGTAGAGACCACATCTTTCCATAGTAACAGCTACTGCTGCATTTTTCATGTTGAGCCAAGTACCTTTTTCTGAACTCAGTGTGGTGCAACACAGTCACATGAACCAAGGTAAAAATACTCTGTCCACTTTGGGCTGTTGAACAGACAAATCATTATACCAGTGTTGAAGGAGGCAAGCATCTCCTCTAAAGAAAGATTCCTTGGCACAGGTGTAGGTTTTACAGTCTGCAGGTGGATACATAATATGAACAGATATTTTGGAAGTTTATATAGCACTTATTTTATATTCTTTTGCTTATTAGAAAGGAGGGGGAAAGAGTCCAAGGAATTGCTTTCATCTTTCCTCATAATAATTGGTGTCACAAAGATTACCTCTTAGCCCAGACACAGTCACTATTGGCAAAGAACACTTTTCCAAGAAAGTCACACCTATATGACAAGTTGTTCTGATCCTTCTGACTTAAGTCAGTCAGTGGATTGGCATTGTAAGGATTCCCATGTGGATGCCTGTCCTTAGGATGTGTGTAATCAGACAGCTGGTGAATACACTGTTACTTCCTCTAAGTTGATAATGACTGGGAAAGGGAAGAAATAGTCCTCTCTAAGCTTTTCATTTGGGTAGGTATAAATCTGATTTGTTGTTACTGCACAGGTGGAACCACTCTGTAAGGCACTAGAAAAAGCTAGAACAGACAAGAAGAAACTTGTTCTTTGTTTGGAAGAATTTTTGCAGGTCAGTAACACCCTGCAGAGCAAACTGATCCAAACTCAGTGTGAACTGAAAAGTAAAGAAACTGAAAATCAGCAGCTGATGCTCTGCAGGTAAGAGCAAATCCATAATAAACACTTGAGGAGAAACAATACACTAACATCAGAGCTTTACGGCTTTACTCATCCATCAATATCAGCACTGGCTGTATGCTGAGCCAGCAAGATGATAAAGATAGGTTCATGCAGAACTAAAGAAATGGGCTCTCATTCATTCCCATAATGACTTTTTGACCTACTCTGCTATATGAGGAACTGCTTACCAGGGTCATTATGGCACTTTTACACACAGCTTTTCCCTGAGGACAGCAGATACCACTTCCACTTTTGAAGTGGCCTGCAGTAGCTTTAGCAAAGAGAGCAGCTGTTAAATTCCCCACCCAAAATTGAATGTCTGTAAGTAAAACCTCAAACCTAAGTGTAGGTGCAGTCTGAGTTTCCTCATTATCTTTTGTCTAAACAGGCTTAGCAATCTTCTGTAGGAAAGTAAGTTGTCCTAAAGTGTTTCTTTCCAAAAAGGCTGTTTACCTTGCATAGGTATTACGAACTTCCTTTTAAATAAATGGAATGTGACACTAGAAAACACATTCCAATCCTTAAAAGCACAGTAATGCAGAGAGCATATCCAAAAGTATTTACAAATTGTCTTTCCTATTCTTGTATTTAAAAAATAAAGCAAATATAAATGTGATTAACTGAATTTGTTTCTGCTCTTTAAAGGGAACAGTTAATGGAAAAAGACAAGACTGAGGGAAAGATGTGTGCTGCACACTTAGAGTTTTTGCAGAAACAGTTTCAAATTGAACAAGAAGCTTCCAGGAAAGCCACATGTCACGAATCTGCTGAGGTGAGAAGGCATAGAGATTAAAAGATTTCAGTTTTCCAACAGAACAAGAGCAGCTCTTTACAAGTATCTGTCTCCTTTTCCATCCATCATGAAGTTGTCAATCACTTCTATACAAAACCCAGGATTTCATTATGTGGTGGACAGGCATTTTGGCAGCCATCCATAGTGATATCTGTGCTCTCTTCACTGTTTGAAGTACCACTCTATGTCCCCCAGAACTATGTACCTCACTGTATGTAAAATCTAAACATTGGTTATCAGTCATGCCAGTAACTTCAGGAGGATAATCTGGGGTTGTATAGCAATCTCCAGGGATAAAATACTGGATTGGAAATCTGCTTTGTTTCTTCAGGGCTGGATCACAAGCATAACCTTCACCTGTGCCAAGGCTGGATCAAAGCTCAGCATAACCTTAATATTACTCAAATCCCAGCATTCACTTTTCCCTTTGTTAGAAGGGTATTAAAGAAAAGTCAAAACAGCAGGTGCTGCAGCATGCTTCAGATACAGGAGATCAATTAGGTGTGCTGCTTATTAATTTTTATATAGAATAAACTAATTCTTCTGTTAATGTGAATTCACCTTTTCCTCTTTCCCCTAGATAAAGAAATCTCGTGAAGAAGAACCCTCCAAACTGGCTGAAGTTTCCTGTGCCAACAGAGAGCTGCATCTAAAGGTAATAGAGCTGGAAAAGTCTTTTTCCAGTTCTAGGAAAAAGCTAAGAAGTCAAAGAGCTCAAGTCAGACAGTGCCTGCCCTGTAAAGCTAATGCAGAAAGGATAAAGGTATGCACACATTTTTCAATAAAGGTAGATGTCCTAGTTGAGAACTCCTTTCTCTTACTGAGTAGGACTGCTGTTAATCCTTCACAGTGGAGCTGGACTTGAAAATAAAACTAACTTTGGACTCAAATTCTGAACAGAAGATGAATAGATCAATAGCACAGTAACTGTGTGGCTTCTCCTGTCATCCCTCCAGACCTGTATCAAATATGATACCATAGAGTCCCATCTCCCACTAGATTTTTATAGTAGCGTTTGTCTTTATTATATTGTCAGGTAAAGTGATAACAGCATGAAAAAGTGGTGAGACACCCATGGAAGCGTTTTTGTGCAAAATCCATGGGCTTGTAGAAAAGGTGGTAGAAAGAGTTTATGAACTCAGTCAAAAAATATTCTTACAAGTCTTACTGTGTCTGCTCCAGAAAGCCCAAGTTACAATTTAACATACATTCACTGTATATCTGACTTAAGAGGGAGACAGTTTTAGGGTTTTTTATATGATAGAACTCTTAAGATATTTACAGTGGGAGAGTCCTTCCCTTACATTGCCATTTTTTATTTGTGCCATGAAAAAACAGCATATAAATTAGTGTTACTTCTTTTTCTACTCAGGAACTGGAAAAAACAGTCAAACATCTGAAGGAATATAAAGAGGAGGCAGAAAAGAAACTGAAGGAAGCTAGCATAGACTCAGAACAGGTGAGAGCAGTTAGCATTAGAACAATAATTCACTGGAAGTAACAAGATGTTATTTCAGCATATGCACCAAGTTACCCTTTCAATCTCAGATACAGGCCTCTAGTGAAGAGTGAAGTGCATCCTCGGCCTTTCCAAGTCACATTTATCATACTTTTAAAAAATCAACTAACTAAAAAAAAAACAACCCGCAAACCAACAAAAAAGACCCCTTTAGTATTGTTTTAATCTTTTCTGTGCATCACTTTGATTTCATGGGGCTTATAAGAAGAGCTTTTATCCCATACAGACTACTGTTTTTATCAAGCTCAGGAAATCTGTATTAACCAATCAAACAGAAGTGCTGGGGCCATAGATATTGCCCCACTCAGCTGCTCTTGTGTCACTCTACATGTGACATCATGCAAAACCACATTTCACACACACACCCACCCACACCAAGAAGTTATTTGTCCTTGCATCACCTTATCCCTGCACTACTATACATAATATCCAAATTATTATAATCTGCATGGGTTACTATAGTAGTCTGGGGTGAAGATCAAGTGGGTTAGATATTTTACAGGGTATTAACCAGCATAAAGTAAAATAAAAGGAATAAGGGTGCCCCAGCCTGATGTCTTACATGCTGTTTACCAACACAAGTACTATTCTGTGATAGAAAGAGACCTTAATAGCAAGAGAATATTTCTACACCACTCTTCAGGCAAAGTCAGTCTTCCCTTGCCTTTCTCAGGAGTTTGTGGTACTTAATATCCATTTTTCCCTCCATTCTTCCAAAAGCCTTTCTGGTTTATACTATCTTGGAGACCACAGTTGACATCATTGCCCCCCCCCAATGAAGAGGTATCATGGAGTGCTCCTACCCCTATGAACAGGAGAAAGAATGGATAAGAAAAATTGTGAAAGAAAGTGTATGCTGATCTGCGTGTTCTTGCTCAGAGCTCAAGAACTAGAGCACAGCATGCACTGACTGTTCTCTCTGCAGTTCTAATTACACTGACTTGCCTAGATTGCAACTAGCCTAAAAGCAGCTTACCGTTGGTTCAAATCTGACTATCTGCAGCTAGAAGCTGTGAAAAAACACCAGCCAAAGACCTGTGAAGACTGCAGCCCCAGAAAGGAGGTAAAGGAAGCAAGCACATTTGGTTCAAAGGTGGAAGCAAGGAAAATAGGCAGGGGAAATATTTGGTAGCTCCTTTTCCACAGGGGTGGAAAACAGACCCCTCTTCTAGTTTAGTTTGCTTCCTCCTGTTTTCCCAAATGATATACTGAAGCAGCAAAGAATATTACAGGAAAAAGATTGCTTCAAGGGACTGTTTCTGTACTTAGAAAAGGTTCTATTGCACATTTTGTTGGTGCACATTAACCAAATACTTGTCTGAAAGCTTAACAGCTAGCAGATTTCTTTATCTACATTCACCTGTTTCAGTGGTTCTCCTTCCCCTGATCCATGCTTTTTACAGATACCTTTTCAAAAGCTATGCTTACCTTGTTTGTGTAGATTCCTCAGCCTTCTCCATAATTGATAGCTCTTACAGAGGCATGTAATTAGCCTTTTAGAGACGTATGTATGAAACTGCTGAAACTTTAGTCTCTTCTTTAGTCAGGACAGAGATTCCCCAAACAGTCACCAGCTTCATAAAACACGGCATCTTTTTCCAGGAGAAAAAGCACGAAGAGCATCCCACTTACACCTCCTGGGACACAGCGAGACCCAACACCTCCAGCTCACCACCAGGAAGGCCACGTGAGTTGGGCAGGAAATGAGCTAACTTGTCTGGATGATTCCCAGTCCAGGGAGAGCATCACCTGCCAGGAAGAGACTCCTAGCTAGCATGCAGGTACTGGACAAACGGGGAACTTTAGCTGATCTCGCATAATTAGATAGGTCTGTAGCACTGAAAAGGTATTGCAGATAAAAGGTGCGCACAGGGCACCATATATAGGGGACATAGGGTTGCTTGTTTAAGTCATAAACTGATTTGAAGTCATACCTCTCACCTGGTCCTTCTGACTCAGATTCTTTGCACTGTGAGACTGATATAACTACCATTTATAGCAAAACAATTACTTTGAATGTTGATATGCTGCATCTTTCTTTTCATCACTTTTCTTTTATCAGCTGTAGACTGGCAGGTGCTATCAAAACAAATCTCAGACTGGTTTGCAGAGGGTTCACATGAATGACCAAAGGCCAAGTCATGTGTGTGTGGCTTGATGCTGACGTGACTGGAACAGGGTGGAACTGGCAGGACTGGCTGCCTCTAATGGCAGATGATATCTGGGTCATGAGAGAACACAAGCCTTGGGCTATTTTAGAAGCATATAAGGAACACATCAGGTGTGTGATGTTACACCACACATCATCTTACCTTCGTAAGAATTAGTGGAATTTGGTCAACCTATCCTAATGTGGAACAACACACTGGGGAAGGAGTAGTTGGAGCAGCTGACTTACATCATAGTATGTTGAAGATGATTATAACATAGACAGCTTTCATACTTGTTCAATGAAGGATCAGCTCACCTTCCTCACAGCTTACTGTTCCACATGGTTCAGTACAACCCAGCTTCAGTGCAAGTGTTCTTGTATGCTGATTTGCTTCAACAGAGCTGCTCACAGGCTCCTCTGTGAGCAGTGGTACTATTTCTGTGAAGTCTATATGCATTATTTGCAATACTTTAGTGGGGCAGGAAGCCTTGTATACCTCTGGAGCCTGGGGGACACACTGGAACTGGCTCTTTCTACTCCTCCAGAAATTCGGTCCTAAACTGTAACGTATGCAATAGGACTCTAATTCACTGTGATGTGAATCTCTTTGTGAAGCAAATGGCTGTTCTAAGAAACGAGGGGTGGCTGAGCACACTATTGAAGCTAATGCACACGTGAGCCTCACTAAATTGTGGTGCTTAAAAGCAGGCCTATTCATGTTTACACTGAATGATTAAGTAGGTTGCCTAACAAGGGGCAAATGAGTGTGCCCTTCGCCTTCCAGAAAGGACAAAGCACATGGCAGCTGTGTTTGTATGAACTGTATGTTGGCAGGGCAAGAGCACCAACCACCTCTGTTTTCCTTCTGTGGGAGTTTTTACCAATATATGGAGTAGCTAAAGGGATGTTTTTTCACCCCTTCCTTGTTCCAGAATCCTCTGCTCTCTCTAGGGCCATGCATCTGTAGTTACTCTGATTACTGATGTGCTATAAACTGGGGACTTACATTTGCATAGTGACAGCCTATTCCAGGTTAAATACCTCCTGTTGCTTCTTTTAGGCCTGTTTGGGATTTAGGGTGGAAAGCAGTAAGATAGGGTGTAGTTGTGAAGGATTACTGTATCCCAGTACCTTTAAACTTTAGCACGACCTTAAGTTTTGGCTATGTCTGCTTTAGCAAGCAATGCAGCTCTGTGGATCACATGCAGAATAAAAGAGCTGGTCCAGATGTCCAGGATGTGTTATGGACTAGGTTTTCCTTTGGATTTGCTCTGGTGTAATCCTGCTGACTGAATGGTCACTAGCAACTGGAGCACTTCTGGAAGCCATCCTGTAAATTGCTTTCACTTGAAAGGAATCTAGTTTGCTCAGAGCCTGTTCTGTGCTGTGAAGCATACCCTGATGAGTGGCAGCTCACCCCCTGGAAACATCAGAAGTACACAATTGACAAGAACTTGTTATTTTCTTTAAACATAGTAATTTCAACAAAGCTGTAGTATAATCTAACACTTCTGTCCCCTGCAGGATCAGTAACTGAGTTCTACATTGCTAGCCTTTCCCCAGGCTTGTAGCTGCTCAGCCTCTCTTAGTTACAGCAATATTTGCAGTATTTAAAAATGAGTTTTCTAAGGAGCAAGAAGGTTGCTTGTTCTTCATCTTCCTGTCATGCTGTGGCCTTCAGCAAATGTGGATGGCAAACAGCTTTCTACACTTGGCAGTGCTGGTATCAGCGGTGAAATCTAAGTCAAAGATTGTTCATCTCACAGCCATAAATGCAAGTTGGATACAGCTAAGGTAAAAAAACAAAATCTAAGTTCTATCTTCATATATAGATGTGGGGGGTTTTTTTGCACAAGCATTTGAGGAAGAGTTAGATAACTGGCATTGAGGCAAGTTGTATCTCTCTCTTCCTTCTACATGCTCAAAATTGTGTAGCACATCCTTTCACAACACTGTTTGCTTGCAGTATGAATTTTCCAGTCCATATTGACTGGGTTTCATTAAATACAAGTGGGCTGAAAGCAAACAGCAGTTAGCTCTGGTCCTGTAACTAACTACTTGTTGCCTTGGGAGGCAACAGCACAGCTTGTTTTCTGTTCAGCAAACTACTCAGCCATATTTTGCTGTAGCACATAACATATATCCATACATATAACTATATATGTAACTACATACTCTTTTTATTTATGGTAAAGCATAATTTGCTGTATTGGAAGCAGTATGCTTCCACCATCATATTTTCCTGAACTGTCAGAACTAATTAAAACCCCAGACCATTCGCAGTGTATGTGAAATAAGAAGCTGTGATATTATTAATTTTTGCTCTGTTCAGTAGGATCTGTCTTTGCTGAGAATGAGTAAACATTATTATTATCCTCAGAATTTTTATTAACAAGTTCAGAACAACAACAGAGGTCACACTGATTTCAGTAAATAGAAATCAAGGTCCTTCAAATAGGAGAGCTGCTGGGAATATGAACTCCTAGGAAATTCTGAGTACTTGAAATAGCGAGCTCTCCAACCTCTGGGGATTAGTATGAGCCCACTGCTTCTGTATTAAAGTACTTTAATACTGCACATTAAGAAAGCAAACCTAATCACCAGTGAACCGGGCTTCTTGAACCACCTCACTGGTAAGAAGTTGTAATATTGCACATCATAAATCTTCCCTTAAAAAAAACCCCAAAACAACAAGCTGCCCTGGACTTCAGTTTGATTCTATATACAAGACTGAGATTACAAAGCAGTGCATCAAAGGAGAACAGCTAATAACAGCCAGACCTGCGCATGTCAGTTTCCATTCATTTGTGATACAGTTCAAATATTGGAAGTAGGAGTAGTCCATTAAGCCATGTAGAGCACAAGCCCTGTCTGACCACCTACAGAAAAAGCTGTACACAAATCTATTTCCCCAGCACTGCATACTGCAAAAGTTAATACAGAGAGTATCAGTTCCACCTGCCACAAACCTCATCATACAACTGCATAGGTATACATCAGCTTCCGAGCCATTCTGATGTTTCCACTGCTCTGATAAATAAGTGACAAGTTAAAGGCAGCATCTCTTCTCAAGTCTGTCTGATCAGTCTCTATTCCCTGTAAAAATAATGACGGAAAAAAGTTAGTATAAAATTTGAAACATGAGTAGCAATGACAGTGGAATCAAATCATGTCTTCATGGTTTATATAGGCTTTCAGCTGCACAGAAACTAAAGTAGTAGTATTACTCATGCCCTCCCTCTTTAAGGAGTTGCCACATCACAGAGTTACACAATTACATACTCAGATCAGCTGTAAATTAGAAAGCCAGCTCACAAACCAGGAAAGTACTGTCTTAATTTGTCTTTGCATGCAAAGTAGTTGTTTCTTCAATCAGAATGTGAATACTGCCTATATCTATCTTTCACACCATCACAAAATGCTGCTTTGAACTCTTAACACCCAGGTTCCTCACTTTACCAACCCTTCCTGTCTTCTAAAGACACTTGCAATTTTACTACCTTCCCATGCCAAAGCAAAACTTCCTCTCAGACCAGACTTGTAAAGGTATGACACATCAATTAGGATGTAATACAAATCAGAGTAAAACCATGGCTCACAGGCATTCAGGCAATCTTAATAATGGGTCATATTGCTCCAGCATGCTTTTTTATAGCATGGATGACTAGACACAACTTCCATATATAATTCATTGCACGTAATATATATATATATATATATAAAGTTCAGCTACTTATTCAGGTGAAGTTGTGTAGTGACTCTTTTTGCTGCTACTTCACTCAGCCTATGAGTAAAGTCTTCAAAATTCATAAACCTGTGAAATTAACACATGCTTAAATATACTACCAGGTGACAATAAGGTTTGGGTGTCCAATGACAAGGAATAACAACACAAATTAAAGGAAACTCAATGACACTGATCTTATGTACCTATTTTAACTATGGCTGATATATTACTAACATTGACCTGACTTTATTCTCTGTACCTAACTCACAAAGAAACGGTACCTCTAAGGTGAGCGGAGGAAGTTCAAGTGCTTTCTGGTAATAGTGGATTGCCAGGTGCAACAATCCCAGCTGGTGAAGGCCACGGCCAAGGTTGTAGAATGACTCTTGACATGGTCCACGCAGGTCCAAGTACCGGTGAAGGAAGGAAAATCCCTGTACACATATTACGCACATTTGCGAGTGTTCTCTTTAAGAAGATGGCAGCAAAGAATGCTGGAGAAGAGGTGTTTATCAACTTAAACTTCTGATCTATGCTCCCCCACAAAACCACAGGCAAGTTGATGGTAATAAATAAGTTGCATTGAATTTCTGAGACTATAAACCCTGTGCTCTGTCAGTCTCACTGCCTTTGGTAACAATGGGGAGATCTCTTTAAGAAACTGAGCACACAGATAATGAGTAAAGTGACTTATGGCACTAGTCTGCTAAATGTATGTGCATATGTATGTGTTTGTGCAGTGTACACGCTGGTAAGACTAGTTCATGTTCAGAAGAGCCAACCACCTTAAAAACGTAATGGGTTTTGGTTTAGAGGAGCTGAGGACCTGCAGCTTTTGTCAAAATCAGTGCAAGGTACAGTTTTTCAGCAGTTTCAGAAGTCTTGAGAGCTCAGAATCCTCACTCTATTCTGCTGACTCCCAGCTCAGTGGCCACAGGAAATAAAAAGCATTTCAAGTTAATGAAAATACCTGGTGGAGAGGAGAGGGAATTACTTTTAAAGTCTGGGAGTAATCAGCCAGTGATTTGTAACTGGATCTGACAGATTAAAGGAAAACGTGAAGAAGGGAGCTGAAAAACTGAGGGCAGCCTAAACTGGAGTTCACAACATCTTCACAAACAGAGCTGTGAGAGGCACCTAACAGGGGGAAGAGAAAGGGAGGAGGGAGGGGAGCCCCACTTTATAAGTCTCTAAAGTTTGCTCCAACCATGCAGTTCATGAGACATGTCTATGAAGGGCACATGGCATGGGTTCTCTTCTACAGCACTTCTTCAGAGCAAGGCAGGGCAAGAATAATTTGGAAGAAAATCCAGACTACATCCATCAATGCTGAAATCAGTAATATTTTCACAAACAGCTGGCAGCTGCTAACATCTGTGTGGGTAATCACTGTATATGCACAGCAGAAGAAGCTACATTTGGCTAAAAGGAGAGGAGACTCAGATACACAGTTCAAAAGCATGTTCCTATCTGTGTTCATGTTTTGCCACTTCCCTCTTTTGATACCATTTTAATTAGGAAAAGTTATTTAAACAGAGCATATTGTAGCCATAACTGTCTGCAAGATACAAGGACAGGAAACACTGCAGGTAAAAGCCATCACAGTAACTCACCTGTACCAGAAGAGCATGCCTTTTCAACACATACTTCTGAGAAGCCATGTGGATGAAAGTCAACCCAATACAAAGACTGTACAGAGGTTCATCTGGGTTTGTACGAAAGGCTTGCACATACTGTCCTAAAAGCACAAAACTGAATCAAGATGTTTGTTGTGAAAATTATTCCTGAGGAATTCAAAAGCAAGAAAGGAAATCTTCACATGAGAAGTGTGAACTAAGAGGAGAGATTGTTTAATATACCTACAGCAAAGTACACAGGAAAAAACATGAAAGAAAATTCTGTATTTTCAGCACTCCGATTCTGAAGGAAGAATGCTGACTGTGATGTAAAAGTAAGCACAAGACAGGCGAACACAGAAAGCAAACATAGTCCTTGCTAGGGTTTATATCCTGGAAGCCACACATCTTAAGTGTGTGAAGGGCTTGATTGCAAGCAGTAGGTTTACTTCAAAGACCTGCTTAAATGTCTAACCAACTTTATTTGCTCTTCAAATTGGTCTGTTTCTGCCCTTCATCATTATCATTAGACTTCAGTTATCTTTGCAAGTTAGTTACATTCACAACGTGTGCTGAAACTGAAACATGCCAGCTTCATTTTTATTATCAAAACTCTTAGTGATGCTTTGTGTACAACATATTAAAGCACCAGACTAACAGTGTGAAGCCACCTGTAATTTTCTGGCATATGAAAAAAAAGGGCTTTAATAAATCTTTCTCAGAAAAAAGCACATTTACTTGCTATATTTGTTAATATTAGAACATAAATGCTATTACCAAGAGCATGCTTGAAACTGCCAGACACAAACGCATTATGCCCATTCAGGACACACAGTGCATGGTTATCAGGGTTTTTCAGCATCAGGCGGAGACAAAAGCGATGGTGCCGGACATCCTGAGACTGCATAGTAACCTGATTGAAGATGTTCCACAGCTGAGGTTTATTGACATTTTCCATCACCATGATTCTAGAGAATGAAAAGTATACAAGAAATTTGTAGATACTACATAGTAAATGCTGTATCTGCAATAAAAACTTCAACAATTCAGGGAAGATAACAGAGACACTCAAAGAGCAAGTCACTGAGTGAGGCAAAGTTGGCAGAGACAGAAGCAATGGTTCTGTCCAAATCAACCACCCTGCTGCATGATGCATGTTTTGGAATCAGAAGCTATCAATCAGCTCCTTTAGTTTCAATAACCTTATCTGTTTTAGCACAAGCTGAAAAGCATCAGCCAGCCTCCTTTAGCAGTATGACTACAGCCTCAGTGGAAGCAATTCCAGAAGAGTTCGATCTACCTTCTCAGTACCCACCTGATATAGTTGTATGCTTTTCTGAAATTCTTGTCCAGTATTGCAGCAGAGAGCCCAAAGTATTCCAGCTCCTTGCGCTTTTGCCTATCATCATAAAATGAGTAATATTCCAGGGAGGAATCCACTAGAAGCTCTGCCTCCTTGTACCGGGAGAGGTCACACAAGGCGTATATAGCCTTCAGGAGGAGGTTCCACCAGTCATCTTTTGTCAGAACACTCGTGAGAACAGCTAAGATTGCTAAAAATATCCAAGTCAGGAAGTTAGGAAAATGAAACCAGGAGTGCTAAACTCTTAGGAAAAGGTGAATGTGTCAAACTGATCTTTTCAAAACCATTTCAGCATTAACAGGTAAAATAATGCTTACTTTTCTCAGTTTAAATGCAGTCTGTAAAGTGCCAGCAAAAAAGCACTCAAAACTTGGGAACAAATAACAAGAAACACACAGAGTTCAAGCTGCAAACATACTACATGAATGCATTGAAGTTACTCTTCTAATCTACCAAACAGTGCTTAAGAATACGTAGTCTGGCTCAACTGAGCCTGGGACAGCTAAAAAACCCCACACCACACTGAAAACCTGTGTTTCTTTTGTGTTCTAGATTTGTGTGTGTACTTGCACTGAGGAGAATATTGGACCATAAAACCTCTAGAGGTCCTTCTCAAACTGAGTCTGAAATCTCACTATTCTCTGAATAGAGACTGTTCCCTTAAATTGTATTATCTTCATTTTTGATACCCTCTTTGCCCTAGAAATAAAGCAACATCAACATGAACTGTGTGGATTTAGCACCCAAAACAGCAGTGTCTGTTTCAGTTTTCAGGACTAAAGAGTTCACCTTTTTGTTTTTAATAAACATTTATTACCTTTTGCATCGCAATTTGCTGTCTCTTGGTCATCATTGTCAGAAATTTTATCTCTTGGCACCTTAATAAGATAGAGGTGTCTCTCTCCAGACTTGGAACTAGATATCAAACACACCTGAGCTCTGCTCATTGCTACCTAGAAACAAATTTAAGGGCAGCATTTCAGATTACAGTAATACTTCCTATGACAAAGGCAGCTTTATGGCCAATCCATCCTGCTCATGTTGCAGGCCAAAACAGCCTGCAACTTAGAAATCCCACAGTAGAGCAATATCATGAGAGAACATTCCCAAGAGGAGTATTATCTCTGCATTGTCTCATGCTCCAGTGCAAACTGGACTATGCAAAAGAAAGACACTAACTCTTTAAATGACTTAAAAGACTTCTCCTGGGATTGGAACATCCCTGTATAGATTCAAATCAAACTATCTGCATAGAAACATAACAAGAACAATGCCTTTCTGTATCACTGTCAGCAACACGTGACATGCATAGTCAGTTACTCAACCAGTGTAATACAACAGTAATGGCTCTGCCCAAACAGATAAAACTGAGGGCGAAATATTCCCTTCCCTACCTGTTGATAAACAAACCCCAATAAACACAAAACTGCCACCACTCTATTTAATGGCTAAAATGACCACAGACAAATTTGTTTATCACAAGAAAATACATATTAAATAATTAAGAAATTCAAAAGAAAACTAGAAATAGAAGCCAGTATCAACACTTCAGGAAAGTGGTGCGTAGACTGCTAAAAAGGTAAGAAGCAGCTTTAGTATTCACTGTGTTCTACGTCCACTGAGGAACAGGGAATTGAAGTCACTGTATTAAGAATTACACACAGAAATCCTCTCTTCTGACCACTACAGGCAGGAACACCAGTATTACACACTCCCTGCAAGATAAGTTGTGGCTGCCCCATCCCTGGCAGTGTTCAAGGCCAGTTTGAACAACCTAATCTAGTGGAAGGTGTCCCTGCCCAGGGCTGGAACTAGAGATTTACTGTCCCTTCCAAACCAAACCAGTCTATGATTTATTATCTAACAAAATTATGGAACCATTTGTGTATAAAACCCACTAGCTTTCCTTCTGAGTTTGGTTGTTGCTTGTCAACTCACAGCAGTTCTTAACATGCAAAAAAGGGCTCACCTTCAGCAGCATTGCCAGCATTGTAAGTAAAGTGTCTACATAACCATAAATTTTGCCTTGGGAATACAACAGCGTCGAACGATGGAGGAGTAGCTTTAATTCCTAGATAATATTGAACATCATTCATTAATACTGCACAGAAAGTGAGTTTATAAAACTGTTTACTCAATATAGTATTAATAGGATTGTAAAAAGCTTATGGAAGGCTGTAAGAATCTTTGCAGCAGCAACAAGTAAGATATCCCTGAACTACCCTGCAGTAGTTACTGTTTCAAAGTCTCAGATTTCAGAGGAATTTGCCGTAATTCTTACCTATAGTGAAGGTGCTGCTAGACAGGGGATATAGAACCTTTGCTGCACCATCAGTTACAGTCAACAGAGACCAACACATGTAGCTCATATGTACCAGCTGCTGATCACCTCAATACAAAGTGATTGTACGAAGACTGGTCCTCAGTGCCCAAGAGCTTGTACATCACACAGAAGTAATCAGGTAGGACAGGGGAATACCAATGAAATGGTCAGAGAAAACGAGCCATGAGGACTCATTCTGATACTCTGTAGTGAATCATTTGCTGTGCTCTGAAGCCTCACCGTGCTATAGATAGCAATTCTCAATCCCTGGCCTTATATAGCTGACATTTTGGACCCTGCCATAGTTTAACAGGGTAATATACCCTAAATTGGAAGAACACTTCACCTACCTGCTGGGCAGCATTAGCATCCTGAGCCAATGTATCTGGATCATACATTGGTTCCAGAGCCTCCAGAGCTTTTTCGGGTCGGCCCAGCTGCTGCTGAAGTGTTGAAAGTGAGATTCTTGCGTCCAGATGCAGTGGAGCAAGGTCAACAACTTTGGCATAGCTCTCTGCAGCACGCTCCATGTGTCCCAAAGCCTTCAAGCACTCTAGAAATACCATAAACAACACAACAGACTTAAATGGCAGAAAAGACTTGCAAAATAATACAATTTTCAGTTGAAACCACCCAAAACATGTATTACTGAAGTGACAATATTCAGAAATACATACTGATGCATCCACAGTTTCACTTAAGACCTCATCAGTTGATACAGGATGGAATGCAGAATAAATGCTGTTTACAGCATATTCTTACTTACATGAGAATGAAGTACTTTTAGCTGAAGTAAATGTCAATCTATATAAAGAACGAGAAACACTCCATGACAGGACTGTCATAATGAACTCCAAATACAGCTCTGCAAGTATAAATTACCATTCAACATGTGAATCTAAAACTCCTGTGACCTTAAATAAAGGTCCCTGGAAATGTTCAACATTGTATGATCTCTCCATACCAGATGTTCAGCAGTCCTGCTTCTCCTCACCTGCATGCCGAAGCCAGACAACAGCCAAGTTGTATCGTTCTGAACAGACAAGGGAACTCAGGAGAGGCAGTGCCGAGTTGTATTCTCCAACATCCAGAAATGCCTCTGCGACGTCCAAATACAAGTCACCCATTTCCTCTGGATTTTGTTCCACCAGAGTGGTCAAAAGAGGCTTAAAAAAACCCAAAACCACACAGAACACTAAGAACAAATATCCAACAGGAACATTTCTTTAAGGTATGGTTAGTGGAAGCTTATGGGTTTATGCTATGATTTTTATTGTATTTGCATTCTGAACTACACTTCCTCTATTCAAATGTGAGTTTGAAAGTGAAAAATAAAGATCTGAATTTCAGAGTTCCTAAAAAAGTCATGATTTTCTGTTCTAGATATTTCAGATCCAGTGCATGAAAGCACCCATCAGTGAGGAGCACTCTCCATGACAGAACAGTCTTCAGATGTAGTGCGGTTTTAAAGCAAAGCTGTGTTCCTTAGTGTTCAAGAAGCAATGTGATCCTGGGCTTGTAACAGCAGACGGGCTGTGATTTACTGTGCTTTATGCCACTGGAGGCATAATTTATAGGGACAAAAATAGTATTTCTGCTATTACAGGCTTGTTAGGTCTCTTTCTTGGAGTGGGAGGCAAGCAAGAAGAATTGCCACAGCCCTCTCAGGAACATCAGACATACAAAGGCAAGAAAAATTACTTGTTTGGTAATTTATTAGAATACCCTCCAACTTCTGAGTTGGTTTCTACTTACACTGAGCGGCTCTAGTATGTTCAAGTGAACTAAGCACACCATCAGCTTGACTGTGATGTCTATGGGTACGCCCTCAGGAATGCAGCAGCTGACCTTCTCCACACCTATGAGGAGACAGAGGATTTCTTTCTGAAGCCACGGGCTTTAACTAGCACTTCACCAGCTCCACATCCCCTCCAAGCCATGTTCAGCTCCTCTAAAGAAAATGCATTCTCATTGACTCTAGCAAATGTTGCTGTAGGCCTGGCCTCTCCCTTTTGTAACTTTCCTGATAGATGGAACAAGTTCTTCCTGCTGTCTCTGATCCTAATAATTTCATATTAAGTATCAAGTGCTGTCTGCATTGATTTTGACAGCAAGATCCCGTTAAGGCGTGTCTAGGGCCTTTGCCCTGTTAAGATGTGCATGCTTCATTAAGCTTTCCTTTAATCATTTCCTTTAGCAATTCCTTATACCCTCTTCTTGCTTTTAGAAGGACATTACCTGTGTTAAGGTTGTTATTAAGCCAAGTCCCATGTACCAGGGATCTGGCTATATGCATTGCTGAACACAGTTAACTACAGAACTTTACACCACACATAGACAGAATGCAAACATGAGACAAAGTAATTACCCATGACAATGCTAACAAATTAATGGTCATGCAGTAAAACTCCATTATCACATTTCCTTTATATGCAGCCATGCTGCCCTCTTAACTCCCCTGTTTAAATTCTCTTTCACCTTAATTCTTACACCAGACATTCAAAAGGTGATAGCTGTAACGTCAGAAAACTGGGGTTTCCAATATACGGCTTCTGTATTACTTCCTACATCCACCTCCTATTACTGCAAATCACAACCTGCAGATTAATTCACCCTTCTCTGAACATCTTAATATCCAGCATGAGCGTAGCTATCTACCTACTAATAAATTCTTACAAAAGAAGAGTTTGCTTTTGGAAGTGGGTAAGCCTGGGAGAACACTTCTGGCTTTGGTGGCTGCCTGGGTGAGAAGTAAGTTCTGAGTAAGGAAGACAGTACAAAAGAAACCTTTTTGGATTAAGCCCTGTTTCTCTGCTGCTGGAAAACTCTGCCAATATTTATATGGTTGCAGACTGGTTCCTGAGCACAGGATTAGCGCACGGACTTGCACAAAATCAGAAACTTCAATTACTTACCTGCAGCAGCGGGTTTAGCAACTGGATTGCTTTGCTCTTCAGGTGCTGCCTCCTGGCTTTCCTCAGTTTCTACCACTGGCCCTGGATCTTCTGAGAAAGATTAGCAGATTACCCCAGTAGCACCAGCTAAGCCAAAAGTTACTTGTTTTTGAATCCATAACTGATTGGTAGCTTACTGTGAAGAGTGGAATTTGTTGGGTTTTGGTTTTGGGGAGTGGTTTTTTTGCCAGCACAGCAGGAAGCAGTCAAAAAAGTTACAAAGCAACAAAGCGGGAAGCCAAGTTCTTGCTTTAAATTGTACACCCAGGTAACTTGGCAACATCATGTTGTAATTCCTAGACTCACAGATTTGCTTCTGCATTATCTGTAAAAAGTCTCTATCAGGGCAGTTGTTCATTGATGAACTGTGTTTTTACTTGGTCCATTTAAGCAGAAAGCCAACACAAGTTGGCTTTGTAATGGATTGCTGAAATAAGCAACCAGTTTAATCATAGAACAGGTTGTCTGCTTATGGAGTTAGGATGCTGTGATCATTCTACATTTTCAGTCTTGAGCAATGACTTTCCTAAAGCAGGTTTCTCAAAGACAACCTACTTCATTCAAGTACAAGCTAATAACCCTATATTTGTATATACCAAAACATCAAGATGTTTAATAACAGAAGTAGGCTTTATGAAGAATGTTAGTCTCAGGTCAAAAGTTGATACTCTTAATTATAGATGCCACTTAAGAGTACCTATTTGTTTTTTCAGAAGCTATTTAGCTGGCAGAAATAACTGGTCTAATGTGAACACTCAGAGGAATGCTTAGAACTTTAAAAGCCTCCAGTTGCCTGGAGAGGAGTCCTCATCCTCAATGATTCAGCAGGGCTAACTGGACATCAGAATAACTCCTTATAGAAAGCAGAGGTCACGCCGTATAACTCATTAAAAGCACTGAACCTGGATCGTCTAAGTAGCCTGTCAACATGCATCAAAATATACCCAGGAGGTGAAAAGGTAATGGAAAGAAAGATATCAAATGAGCAGCAGGATCATGCTAACTGCTTGTTAGCTACTTACCTTTTTTCTCCACAGTTGGACTTTCTTCTGCTACTTTCTTTTCAAGTGCAATTCCTGCAAAATCTGTAATAACCTAAAACAGACGAATAACGCCGATCATTTTAAAGACTTAAAGGATATAAGAAGTAACCAACCCGCATGCCCGCTGTTTTAGACATCACGATGATTACCAGAAGAAAAGCTTTCCCCCTTTCACATGGGGTTAGTTGACTAGTACTGCATTTGATCACCTTATGTCTTTGTCGGCTATTATTGGACTACTTAGATGATCCAATCAGCACCTCTTTAGCAAACACAACAGTTACTTTCATCACTAGAAAAGTTTTTAACCTTTATAGCTTCTTTCAATGCCTTATGAAAGATGGAAAAGAAAGCAAAGCACCAGCTAAAGAGCTGAGCTCTGCACACATCTTTCCAAAGTGCTCCAAGGATTCCTCAGTTTAGTATAATACACTGCATGGAAACCATGTGGTTTGTATCACTTAAAAGCAAAAATTAAATATAATTCACAGCTATCTACAGGCATTTTACAAGAGCCTCCATCATACACATCATGACCTCAACAAAACCAGTTGGAATTCAACAGAACTACTTTAAAAAACAGAAACCAAAGACAATTCAAGACATTCACTTGCCAGTGGGGATCTGCAAGGAGGGAAATGCACATGCATTAAGAACCACTGGTCTACGACCCAGTGCAGCTTGGTATTTTGTTCATGAATTGAAAAGCAAGTACTTAAATCATTACCATTGCCAGAACATCAGCGACAAACACAGAGTACATGACCCTTAGAGGAACATACCAGATGATTGCATTGAGATGGTTATTTTTTAAGGGCTCGGTTTACCAGTTCAAATACCCTTTCAGCTATCCAGGAACAAGAAATACCATCACAGGAATGGACCCAAGGAGAACCATCAAGAAAAAGCAGTTCTATGACTGTTATGACTGACATTAATAAATGTGGCAGCTAAATACTGTGTGCATAGAATTGACTGATTTTTATAATGGGAAGACATACAGAGGAGGGTCAGAGGAATTGTTTGCACGCTTATGATGCTTTGCACTGACAGAGAGTGAGCTAAATAAAATCTTAAGGAGGAAAAAGAAAATAAGAGGTAATTTAGTATCAGTTCACCAGGAGAAACTCCCAACTAATAGTGTCTCTTCAATCTATCCTGAAAAGCATAACAATGGCCAGATCCTAAAGTCTCTCCTCTCAAAGCCAGACCAAATCAACTCTGAAACATGCCTCAAAAGTGAGGCATATTCACTAGAACAAACTGGGAAGAGATAAGGACCTTCTCCAATTCCTGATGCCTTAGAGTCAAGATGTATTATCTTTCTGGAATGTATGATTCATGCTTAATGCAGAAACTACTGCTTGTAACACAAGTATGCCAAATAAAGCATGATGGTCTGTACTTGAACCATTAGCCCATTCAGTATCACCCTTTTAACTTTCAACCTAGAGAATGCCCTTTGCTTGCAGCACTCACAAAGACCTAGTACTAAGTCTTCTCCGGCTGCTGTGACTAAGGCAACTGTAGAGGAGTAGAGGAAAGGATCCCAAAACTTTAAACCCGGTACAGCACTGCAAGTCTGTCAGCCTCCAGCTTACTAAATCAAGCTGTTAAGTTCAATGCTAATTACTACAGAACTAATAGGAAGCAGTCTGTATCCGATCAGCTCTATCACTATACAAACATGACCACATGTAAGCACTACAGGAATATAAACTGTCCTTCTGACTGACAAAGAAGTGCTGAACGTGATACAAAAATGCATTTCACTCTCCATACCGCCAATGCTTTGTCGTACTGTTTGGAAGAAATATATAATTCAGCTGCAATGTTAACATCTTCCATGGAGACAAGGCTCTGGTGTTTACTAAAGGCTTCTTCTATTATGTCAATAGCAGAAGTCACATCATTGGCTTCATAATAGCTCCTGTAAAAGAGGTATGAGATACTTAGTATTGGAGCTGACAATATATACTTTGAACACCAGCAAAAGGGTTTTTTGTATGTCATTTATTTTTGCCTATTAGCAAACATTTTCATTAGCAAGGTTAAGTTAAAAAAGAAAGGGAGAAAGGGTGTATTCTTCCCTTACAACTGTTTACATCTTTTATATATTCCAGACAATCACCATTTGTACCTCCCCTATATGTTAGGACATTTTGATCACAACAGCCCCCACCTCGATCTAGGTATCAATAATGTATCACATTAACATGGTTTCAGAAAAAACTTCAATAATGTACAACACTCATTCTTGCATTGTTGTGGTGCATTTCACAACCACAAAGATCAAAAGATTTAAACTGTTTTGAAACAGGCTAGTAAGAGCTTTCTAAAAGTTATGCATAGGAAAGCTGAGATATTAAGTAGCTAACTTACTAAGAACTATGGTAAGAGAGCTACACACTTTAACCACAAGCCCTCTCTGTCTCGGACAAGCTTCTGTGACTTGATCTGCTCTCATATGCAGAAAATGGGAGGAGGCAGATTCCTCTTTGCTCCAGAAACCAACCACAAATGACACATATTCTGTTGCAGGTAGCTTTTATTTCAGATTGAATACTTTGTTTCATTCTATGATTTTATGATTCAGATCTGCTGGCATTAAATTTCCAGGGCTCTAGTGATATTATATAGATTAAAAATGTACTGCATTTGTATATAATTGCATACTATTGGCATTTCTTTAGTAATCAGTATTTGCATTTTAATTCTCTTACTCTAAGAGAACGCAACACTTCTAAGACAATGCATTGATCCTGCACATGTCAGGCTTTAGAAACACCATCATAGGTGGGGGGGCATGCTTGTGAATTGATTGCTTGCATTTCTTTATTTCAGCCACATACCCAGCTTGAATCAGCTGCAGAACTTATTAATACCAGCTTTTGAGAAACTCTGGAAAATCAAATCACAGTAATTTCAAATCCAACTTACTTTGCCATGTCTCTAGCCAGCTGCATAAAGCGCTCTCCATCAGTGGGAGACAGGAGATTCAGAATCCGCCTGTAGCCATCCATAGCCATCTTATGTTCTCCCAGCTGCTCATACAGGCTTGATCTCTCCCACAGGTAACGCACGTTGGTTGGGTCGTATTTCAGAGCTACGAGAAAAAGCATATAGGTAGCCTGGTTTAGGAAAAGGCAACAATAGATTTCACCTTCATTTCTGTGACTAGATGAATGTTAACAGACACACACATGATCTCTGTAAGAAAGGACATTCTATATTAAGCATTCATTAATCTTGTACCGAAGTCCAGACACAGGTACCAGAATCTTAAGCAAACTGTAGCAAACTAAATTAGAAAGCAGAAGAAAATTAGACTACATCCATTAGCCCTAATGCTTATTTTAAACTATTAAAACGGTTGCTACGTTACCTTTTGTGTAGCAAAAAATAGCCTGTTTGATATTGTCCTGTTCCAGTGACATTTCTGCTAGTCTGACCCATTCTTCAGTATCACTCGGATTTAAGTGAGCTGCAATCAGTTCAAACTGTAACGACTTCTCCATATCACCCTGGTCTTCATAGATCATGGCAAGAGTGGAAAATGGCTCATGAGCAAGAGGAGCTGCGAAGAGACAAAAAGTATGATGAAGAGCTATTGGTTTAAAACTACCTTGAAAATAAGTAACTTGCCTTTCTCCAAACAGACATCAGAATTATATGAAACATCAACATTTCTCTGTTTAAATTCATAAAAAAACTGTGGACAAGCCTTCCAGTTCCTTTTTTACAATTATTAATGCTTAACTGATAAAAATTAATAGTTTTATTAATTATTAAACAGCCTGAATCTAACAACAGCCACTTTTAGCATTATTCTACATTGCAGAAATCATGCTGGTATTTATACCTCAGTTCTACAAAGACAAAAAAAGCAAATTGTGCAAAGCTAAGCAAAGGCCCAGGTGTCTGCAGAATTATGGTGCTAGTTTCTTTTTATAAGCAAAACAATAAAGGAAATGCACTACATATTCTTAATTCCACACTACTTATACAGTGACTTTCCTTGTACTGAGTATTTTCATCACCAGTGAAGCCACACTGAACTGTCCTAATGCATAAGGCAACCTCACCCCGTCCTTAAGGCCAAAGAGTTTCGGCATTCTAACATACCTTGTCGAATGATTTCCATGCACATTAGAATAGCCTCCTCACGCTCCCCTCGAGCAAACCTGATATTGGCCTCTCCCATCAGACCCCTCAAGGCACGAGGAAGTTTGCTGCGGGGTCTTTTCTCCTAAATGGAAAAGAGATATTATTTCTACCAAGGATTCAGTTGTACCCACATTCAGGAGCCAATAGTCACACCTGTGCCTAACACAAGCTAATAACGAGTTATGTATTAGTAATATTCAAATGATTGACCAAAATATTTGCTAATTTTCATGCCTGACAGACACTGGAAACACTTACTTCGTTATGTTACAAAGTTTTCAAACAGTAATCCAGATTAATGATTTAAAAAAGAAATACAGGTGACACCAACATACACAGAAGTATCCCACATGGAATTATGTTCAGTCAAGTTGCATAGCAAGTAGCTAAAATGACATGAATTGGCATTTATGCACTACGCTTCAAGTCAGGAGATACAGGGAAGTTACATGAAAGTTTAAATACTTGCTTTCATAATTTTTTTGGTCTCTCGATTAAGCACCATCTCCAACATAAAAACATCTCCAGCTGTGGGTTGCTCGGTAGTTTCTTCTTCCTCTTCTTCTTCATCTTCCTCTTCCTCCTCCTCCTCCTCCTCCTCTTCATTTTCCCCAATCATGGATGCAAAGACCCGATGAACAGACTTACTGACGCCATCTGAAGTTTCACCTGGTAGAGAAAGGAGAAAAAAAGGTTTAGGATATAATCAAGAGTACGCACTGCTTATTAGGACAAGTGCACAGAAAACAGAATTCTTCATAATTACCAGCCCACTTGAAACAGCAATTCTAGAAGAAAAAGACCTGCAGAAATGCAGAAAAACTATTAACAACCTCTATGGTTTTAAAACTCTGACTCATTCATAACCAGTGCTCAGTATACCCCAGCCTCTAACATTTCTTGGATATCTGAAATGAAAGCATGGAAGAACACATATTAAAAATCAACAGTTTACACAACATTTTTCTCAAGCCATATAAGAGAAGCAAATAAAGCGATTTCCAAGCACTGAACTGCACAAATGGAATAAAGCTTTTCAGCTGAAGAGGCTAAGTGAGCAGACAATTATACTAAACAATAGTGCAGCAACCCATTTTTAGAAGCAAGATCCATCAAGAAGGATCTTGTAACCATTCTATCCATGACAGTAAGTACCTTTTAATGTGTGTAAATGCACAATGCAGATTATTCATTTCTCCAGGAAAAGAAATAACAAAATTCTTTAAACAAAACAAGAATATGATGCTATTTTCACGTTTCTAAATTTCAACTTTTCATTACCAACTTAACCCAAGGTTATAACCACCCACAAGTCTGCATATATACAAAACATCAAAACAGGTAGTGTTCAAAGGTTTCAGCTCAGGGATTGAGCATCAAAATATCTAATTAAAGAATAACCACAGTATCAAGTTGGGAATGTCAAAATAAAGCTATCATGTACTGTCTAGATGCAAGAGGGAACTGGGCATTATACCTGAGTTTATGGTGGTTTTGGGGTTGGGTTTTTTCTGACTTGGATGTATTTGGTTATTTTTATTCTGACTTGGATATTAAGCATCTAAAAATCAAAAGTCTTCTTTCCCCCATCTGAAAAAAACCTACTTATTAATTTAATTTCCCTTTTATTTTGGTCTTCTTTGCTGCAAGGGTCATTTGAAGATCATAGCAGATTGCCTCTAAAGATTCGTTTATCACAAGCGATCTGAACAATGACCTTTTCTAACAGTTTTAATCTGAATATCATATATCTGATTCTAATAGCAACTCTTTAAATAGTGATAAATAATATCAATGCTTCCTTCATTCTAACTGCTCCTGAGACTTCTGTGTTCCCTGTCTGTATTCTGTATTCTGTGTAAGAGCAGAGCATCACTGTCACACAAATCTATTGGGATATATTTCTTTTTAGGTAAAGGCAATATGCATGAAACCAGTAACAGGAAAAGGCACCTTGGAAGTATTAGAGACATCAGCAAAAGGAAAGGGTCAGTAAGGAACCACAGATATATAGCTAGATATATATATATAGAAAATGGAAACAAACACACAGTGAAATCTCTGAAACAGAGAATTCCCAGTGAAAGTAGCAGAGGGCAATGAGGATGATCAGGGGACTGGAGCACCTCCTGTATGAAGACAGGCTGAGAAAGTTGGGACTGTTCAGCCTGGGGAAGAGAAGGCTGCATGGAGACCTCAGAGCAGCCTTTCAGTATCTGAAGGGGGCTTATAAGGATGCTGGGGAGAGACTCTTCATGAGGGACTGTAGTGACAGGACAAGGGGTAATGGGTTAAAACTTAAACAGGGGAAGTTTAGATTGGATATAAGGAAGAAATTCTTTACTGTTACGGTAGTGAGGCACTGGAATGGGTTACCCAGGGAGGTTGTGAATGCTCCATCCCTGGCAGTGTCCAAGGCCAGGCTGGACAGATGCCTTGGGTGATATGGTTTAGTGTGAGGTGTCCCTGCCCACGGCAAGGGGATTGGAACTAGATGATCTTAAGGTCCTTTCCAACCCTAACTATTCTATGATTCTGTGATTCTAAGAGGAGTCTAAGAAGCAACACAAAGAGATCAAAAACTCTACTTTTGTATCTCATAGCATTGGCAGTCCCACAAAAATATGCCCTGACAGGTGTAGGGAGTACAGCTTCTGAAGAGAAGGTATCTAAAACAGGCTGTAGCACTCTAAACCCCAAGCTCAATTCCAGAACCTGAGGCATAGGACAAACAATACCAACACAAACTAAAGAGCGGTGTGCTGTTCCTACCACATCCTGCAAGTCCTTTCATAATGCAGGAGCCCTAAGGAAGTTAAGCTTATTTTGCTGGAGCACCTAAGGAGATACTACCATCGCAGTAACTGCACAAAGAAAGCCAGCAAGCAAATCTGTAGCTAGAAATATCTAGCAGTAACTAAGGAGAGAAATCAATGTAGGAATTCTAAACAGGCCAAAGGATAACTAAGCAGGAGAAAAAAAGAGAAAAAACCCCAAACAACACAGAGAAAAACTAAAACTGCTCTTTTTAACCGTTTTATTTCACCTTGAGTGACAACAGAGGAAGGCAATGTTCACTCCGTAGAATCAAATACTTTGAAACATTCAAGTGTCAGCAAATGACTGCAAAGAGATTAACAGAAAAAAGAGGCCAAACAAAAGTGCCAGAAGACTTTTTGAGAAAAGCTAAAAACTTCAAATTATTTGTAACTTCAGAGAGAGCAAATAATTGAGGCCATGTGGTTAAGAAGCCAGGAAGTGAAAAACAGAGGGTTTCCCAGAAACACATGGTGAATTGGCCGGATTCAGCCCTCAAAACACTGAACAAAGCTAAAACCCAGGCTATGACTCAGAACACAAAGGTGTATGTTCTAGCAACATGCTTCAATACCCACAGGTTCAAAAGCAACAGCCAGGTGTTTATAACAAGTCAGCTATCAAAGAGCAAATGCTCTCAGTGACCTCTGAAATACAAGTTATTATGTTAACATTTACCATCAGTTTCATCCTGACTTTGGGATTTCCCAGATGCTTTTTTGGATGATGATGGAGCCTCTGTATCTTCTGTGTTTTCCTCACCAGATGCATTTTCACCATCCTACACACACCAACAAATTAGTTATCAGCTTTACAGTTTTACATACAAAATTAAATATCAAAATAGCATTTGTTAACCCAGTAAGAAGGATTAGGGAGGTGAGGCACTGGCACGGGTTGCCCAGGGAAGTTGTGAATACTCCATCCCTGGCAGTGTTCAAGGCCACGTTGGACAGAGCCTTGGGTGACATGGTTCAGTGTGAGGAGTCCCTGCCCACGGCAGGGGGGTTGGAACTTGGTGATCTTAAGGTCCTTTCCAACCCAAACCATTCTATGATTCTATCTAAGAGATCAGTTGTCTTTCTATGACAGCTGAGTTCTCCTGAATTTTCTCTCTGAAGACCAGGAGATACCGAAATGCAGTTGCATTCTGACATAAAGATGGCAAGGTTAAAGTTAACTACAACACTCCAAGCATACAGAATTGCTCTTAACACCTCTATTTTCTTACTTCTAGCCACAAAGCTGTGTCTCACCCTACTTATTGCTGTCAACAAGCCACAACAAAATGAGTCAAACTGGATTTCTTCCTTAGATCTCAAACAGAAGACTGTGGGAGAGCAGCAGCAATGTATGCTGGATGATTAAATCAAACCCTGCTTCTGCTCACTGCTCTGCCCTAAAGACGAAATTGATCATGGTGCCTGAAGGTAAGTGCCACTAGCTTTTGCCATGTCCAGGGACTCAAACTGCACTGGCATGAACCAAAGTGCTGCACTTGGCACTCCGAAAGGTGTACGCTCTCCTGACCAACTTGCTGTATTAGAACCTAATGACTCCTATAAATTTCAGTTATTTTCTTACAATTTTGCACAGAAACCAGCAATTATACAGCCGCAATCAGTAGCTGAGCACCACAGCCATCACCGCAAGCCCCTCACCCACACACACACAGAGGAGAGCGGCGCTGAGGCGGTGCAGGTGCTGCCGTGGAGGCAGGGAGCGGCCCGGCCGGGCCGTGGTGCTGCCAGGCGGGGCAGACTCACCTTCTCGCGGCTCTTGCGCTCCTCCCGCCGCCGCTCGAACTCCTCAAAGGAGATCTTCCCCTCCAGGTAATCGATCAGCTCCGGGCTGAAACCCGACATCGCGCCGGCACGGCCCGCGCAGGCAGAACCTCTTTCAGGGCTGCACGCGGGTCCGTCCCGTTACAGCGCCCGCCGCGCCCCGCGCCGTCGCGCAGAGGTTCCGCCCCGCCACTGCCTCGGGGGAAACATCGTCCCGTGTGAGCAGGTACCGGCGGGGTTCGGTCTCCCGGGAGGAGGTCCGGGCTCGGGGGTGCGGGTAGCAGTGGCGGTGGGCGCTGCGGCTCTGCTCGCTGCCTCCCAGCTCCCACTGGGATAGGGTGAGAGGCGTGAGGGAAGCACCTCCGCTACCGACACCGTGTTTTATATATCCCCCCCCACGTTAGTTGTACGTGAGAGGAGTTTCTTAACTTCATACACGTACACAGTTGTCGGGCAAGCGGCTTAGTGCCAGGGGCACGGTCCGAAACGCGTGTGAAGGGGCTGGGTGTGAGGTACAAGCAGCCATCGCGCCGGGGGGGCTGTGCCAGGGCCCGTATTTCCCCGCTGCCTTCAGTCTCCCAAGGAAGTAGAAGACTTGTGATAAAAGAGTATCTGAAAAACCTGAGGATGTCTAGTTCCAATAATGTGAAAGTAACATTTATTTACCACTTTTGAACAAAGACACTTAGCAAGAGTTACACTGTTGCATTCCTCATTTATTCACATCTAAACACACGATTCTGCTAGGCACATCGTAGTAGGCAAACATCACACATTTGTCAATGGAAGGCAAATGTGCTACTTGCAACAAGACATCAGATTCCATAGGTAAAAACTGTCAAAGCAATTGTCAAAGCAGTCAATGAAGTTAAAAAGTCAAAGCAGTGATAATTGTGCTGGGCAGGGGATCACTTCGAGTGAAGTTCAACACTTAATGCCTGGAAAAGAGAGGAGGAAAAACAAAACAAACAAAGGATGTGAGACAAAGACAGAAGTACTTATATGCAACCAGGGTATGATTGAAGGTAACACTGGCTGCAATACCCCAGCTGAGTGCAGCAGACCTCTACTTCCAAAACCAGTTCTGAACACTGAAAAGAATGCCTGAATTACGCAGTACAAACTACTTCCACCAGTGAGTCGCTTTCTCACTGCTGGTGTAACTTACAGGAGAGCTACAGCATCCCTTTTAAAGGCCATTTTCATTTATTTATCATGCACAATACTCATTATGTAGAGCAGATTTTTTTCCTGACAAAAAATCTTGGCTGAATGAGAGCTTCGTATTGAAATCTGAGTGCAGTCTTCATTGCGATTCAGGATAATATCAACCTTCAATTTTAGTCATAGAAATAAGCAAAACGACATGAGTGGGCAAAGTTATAAAAGGTAATGTATGATTTGTTAATGCAGCATCTTATGTCTAGATTAATTGTCTTAATAATATCATGGGAAACCATTAGTCTCAAGTTATAATTTATTTCTCAATTGATAATTTTTATCAGTTACCAAAATGCTGCATTCTATTACCTGTACATTTTCAGAATTCTTCTCCACATGAAAAGGAGGAGGAATAGAAAACAACGAAAAAGTGGTCTATATAGGTCTGCATGAGAACCATGTGTTATTCTGCCAAAGTAGTACATACCTCATAAATCTCTCAACTATTTTAAACCCAATTCAGGCAAGAGTTGCTACACTTTTAATTTCTTCTGAAAATTAAGCTGTTTTTATACTTCAGACAGAAGTGAAAATCACTTGAATCCAAATCTTTTGCTTGGTTACATGTAACAACATTAGAGGAAAAAGCAGCATCGTTTACCTTGGTCAGCCTTTGAAATAATTTGGGAAAGAATTTTTCCTTTCTTCATAATCTGCAAATGCAGAAGCAACAGGATCCGAGTAGAGCATGACAGGCCTTGGTCCTTCATTGTTCACGGTGAAAGTGGCTGGGAGCTTCCTGACATCAAGACCCCTGCTTGAAAAGTAAGCCTGGAGTGTTCTGAAAAACTAAACATATTGCATATGTGAAAATAAAGTGTACCCAGTAGAGATTAATTATTTCCACTGACAAAGTACATCTATGTGTTCCTATGTGGGATGAAATCCTCTATTTTGGCCATAAACGAGTACAATATAGACAATATAATTCAGACATGAATGTTCATGGCTTGTACACCTGACATGCCATCAAAAGCTCACCAACTGCTTACTGATCATCTGTACTTCCTGCTGAACCACAGAGGATTCAAACTGTGTATCTTGTAAACCAGGCACAGCAAAAAACCCTTGCTGAGAGCAAACACTACAGTTGTGTTAGACATTTCTCTAAGAGTTAGCAACAGTGGGCAATTGATTTGAACTGGTCCCTTAGATCACTTAAAAGCAGAAATTAATGCTTCTTAAAACGGCAAGGAAAAATTGCAGGAAAATGATGTTTGTTCTTCACAAATCGCTCATAACATCTTGGAAGTGTTCTCTCAATTCTCAGATGTAATTAACTTTCAGATCTTCAGCCACTATTCATAACCATGTGTCAGATGCAAACTTACCTTCTTGAAGTTCAAATGTGCAATTAATCAATAGAGTACACATTTGAGAGGAGCATAATCACAGACTGGTTTGGTTGGGAAGGGACCTAGAAGATCATCTAGTTCCAATCCCCTTGCCAATAGACCAGGTTGCTTAAAGCCCCATCCTACCTGGCCTTGAACACTTCCAGTGATGGGGCAGCCACTCTCCAGGCAACCTGTGCCAGTGCCTCACCACCCTCACAGTAAAAAACTTCTTCCTAATATCTAATCTAAACGTACCGTTGTTATTATGACAATAATCATTCCTCTTCTGTTTCATAAACCGGGTGGTTGTATAAACATAATACATCTTTAAAAACTAAAGCCCCTGGATGGAAATATAAGGAAGATTTATGCCCTACTGCACACTGAGAATGTCTCTTCAGTTAAGGGGTACATCTTGACTGAAGAATCCTCATCCAGTTGGTGGTTATTGACTACACAAAGTGCACAGTTACTAACACTACATTTAATGGGCCCCTCTTAGCTTTAAATTTAGAAGGTAAAAAAAATTCCATGATGGAAAATAAAAAATTCCCACAAAACTTAGGCTATCTTTCTTGCAGCATTTCCTTACCAGGTCTCTGTTTCTAGGGTTATCTAGAGGTTTCCATTTTTCTTCTGGTTGGAAAGGAGCACCCTTTACCAGTCCTCTCACAGCCACTACCGTATATAGACCCAGCAGCACCACTTTCCACATGCTGAAGAGATGAACAGACTATCTGTAAGAAGGACAATGAACCAGACTTCGTAAGTCATAGAGAGCTGTCACTGGTAACAAAGAAAGCAAGCACAACAGTCCAGTGGAATGCTGACAATAATTTACTCACGGCAAGGAAAATCTGCCTCCTGCAGGTTATGTCCATGCGCTATCAAAGCTTCTCTGTTTTCCTAGTACTAATGTACTAATACATTTCCTAGTACTAATGTATTACAAAGAATGAATTATCCTAAGGAAGTGCTTCCCATACCAAAGCTGTTTTTCTAGACATTGAATTCTCTTTTGAGAGAGACTAGAATGACATTTAACAAAAATTATTTACATTTGTAGATTTATGTTGGTTATTACCTACAGTCATTTACATTGGCTCATTAGTTACAGCATCAGATCTTTGCGTGCACCAAGAAATATGGCTTGAGATCCAGATAACTCACTTTTAAAAATGGCATTAAATGAAAGCGCACTACATAACAACACAGCCTGGTATAACCCACTAAAGACCCATTTTACAACTTGATTCAAGGATGGGGGGTGGAGGGAAGGAAGAAATCATTCTCCCTTTCACATTCTTTAAAAGAAAGCTTACCAGTGAATTTGGCTCTGGCTTGCCCCTTCTTGGTTAGTCTCCTTGTAATCTGTGAACAAACTGATCTCTGCACTTATATTTCTAGTGGACTGTAGGTGGGTGTCAATGACGTTAGCAGGAGTTCAAAAATACAGTAATGATTCCATTTCCATCCATGACATAAAGACCCTTGAGAATTTCATCCTTAATACTCTGAAGACCTGTTGCTATCGAACAGTGCAGTTAAAATTCCTCTTCCCTAAGCCGTATTGCAGAAAATTGGTGGTAAGCATATAAGAATTTTAAAACAATTCCCAGGAGAGATAGCAGAGCTATATCAAAATACTACTTTTTAATTAATTAGCCATATCTCTAGAATGGTGACTAAAAGGTAATTACAGCTGGTTGAATGGTTTTCAAGCAAGACGAGATACGGATCATTTTCTTGATGCTGGACAGACACAGAAAGAGAGTAGGGTCTGTTTCAAGATCCAAAATCATAACATTTTAATGGAAGTGTTGCTTTCCTACATTGGTTTTATCAGCAGTTAATATCCACTTGTCAGACTAGAAACTAAGACAAAAACTGCAATGAGGACTATGTTAATTTACCTTTGCCTTATTTCATAGCTTTCTTCAGCTCCAAGTTTTTGCTTACAATTTAATTATACTCTTGTGTCTGCTATTTAGAGTATGCTTTAGTTAGTATCCCATAAAACATCTCTAAATAAAAACATTAAAACTAAAGATATTTGACCGTTATCTCACTCCAAATTATAAATATTTATTTCTGACTAGATGCTTTACATCTTTGTTTGGTTTAAATTTTGAAAGCAAAATAAACCCCTAACACCAGCCTTCCAGGCAGGCAAAGTTGTGGACATCCAAACCTCATTAGCGACACAGTAAACAGAATCCTAGCAGGGTTGTTGTCATGACTGCAATAACATATTAAAATACAAGTCGATTTATCCAGCTCATATATTATTCTACAGACTTGGAATAGAGAAAAGATTTACACTCCCATCAATTACTTTTCATAATAGACAAGTTCCAGATACTAGACTTATTAAGAACCAGAACAACAGCAGAAACAGAACTTGTAAAAAGGCAGGGCCCAATGTAAGGAAACTCTCTGGTGATTTTCCAGGTAAATACTTTGTTCTAGTTTAATTTTTTGCATAAACATAATGAAGTCATCTGTAAATTTGAAACAAGTTTTACCTTAGTAACTTAGGCAGTTTGGTTGACTGATGAAGTATGCAGCTATGCAAGAGATCAGTTAGCATATGGGGGTTGGACTAAAAGGATCTCCAGAGGTCCCTTCCAACCCTAATGATCCTGTGATTTTGTGAGCTGTCTTTAAAAAAACAAAACAACTTACAAACTTGCATTGTTGCTTTCTGAGCTATGTGTGTTTGAAAAACTGCGCTAAAAGTCTGTTTAGACTTAGTGCTCATTTTAATGCATGTTTCTTTCATGGTGTTTCAGTTTGTTTGTTTTTTTCCCTGTTTGGGGTTGGGTTTTTGTGGTTTGGGGTTTTTGTTGTTGCTGTTAGTTGGTTTGTTTGCTTGTTTGGGTTTTTTGTTGGTTTTGTTTTTTAAGATAATTACATTATATCTCTTCAGTGAAGTACAAGCAGAACACGTATTACAATAGTATTAGTACAGTTACACTGACTGAACAAAACTGCATCCTCCTTTGAGAACAGTAGCTACTTTAACAAACACTTTCCAAGCTAGATGTCAGTGTGATGCCTTTTTAATGCAGCCAAATTTAAGCATTAGGTTTTCTTGACAAATTAAGTATACAGACACACATAGTCAGTAAATGGAACCTTTTGCAAGTGGCTACACTAATTATCTAGCCCTTATGGCATGGTCATGTTCATGTGTGTTTGAATGAAACTGCACTGAAGCCAAAGATGCATGTAGCACTGTTTGTTCAGTTTCATGCAAGTTAATTCAAAAAGATAAAAATTTAAAACCAATTAGTTTAGCTGAGAACAAGTTTTATACACATTGCTCTATATAAACTATATTATTCACCAAACATTTTCCATCTTATTGCATTACTGATTCATGATAGCAAGGCATGTATAATATGCATGAAGACATTGAGACAGGCTTCATCAGGGATGACCTTTATTGTACTCTACTTGAGATGGGGAAAAAAAGTGTCTGTGACTTAAAGTACTGCTCTAATCACCATGCTCTTTTATTCACTGTTTTTATTTTCTGCTTAGAATCCCAAGGAAAAGCACCAAACTGCTCCACATGAGTACCTGAGCAAAGACTAGAGGCAAACATTCATCAGAACAATTAGAGTGTTTGTACAACAGAAGTACAAGTAACATCCACAACACTCCACAGAGTATGAGAGGTAAGTGGCATTTTTTGTGAATTACAACCATTTGTATTAATGCAATCATGTCAGAACACCATACAAAAATATACAAAAGTGTTTGTTTAGCAGAGCATATGCTATACACTGCTCTTTTTAGTCATGCATACTTAGGTAAAAAAAGACAAGTAAAAAAATGTGAAGTATACACTGTAGATGGGGAAACCACCAAACAAAATACAAACATACCAGAGAAGCTCCCACTCAAGTTGCCCTCAGCTTCAGCAAAAAGTACCAGAATCTAAAAGCAGTTTTTAAAGATGCTGAAATTTCCACTTTCAGCAGTTTCAATGTTAGCTGAAGGCAGCTGTTCTCCAAGGTCGTCAGCTTCACACAGACAAGGACTTTGCAAAGCTCATCACACATTGTATGATCTGTATTTAAGAATTCAGGTATAAACATTTTAATAAGCACAATCATTTATTACAGCATTATTCAGACATTTACAGAGAAGACGCTGTCAGCATCTCTAGAAACATGTAACCATTAAGAGTTTGTTCCACCTACAACACCAGATTTATGCTTGCTGAAAGCAGGGGAAGAGTTAAAAATATGTAAGACAGGTTGCTTGCGAACTGATTTTCCCCAAAATTACATTTTTGGGAAACTTGTGTAATTTAATAACAATAAACACAATTTATGAAATCTGTGTTCTTCGAAGTTTTAAGTCCCCATAAAACCAACCAAACAACAGCACCCTCCCTCCCCTCAAACTGTCCAAACCAGGTATTTTGGCCAACATTATTCTGACTTGGTGCCTGGAAAAACAATTAAAAGCTAAGTAGGGAATCATGTTGCTAGGCCTAGGTTACACAGCTTTTCTAGACTAATCACCATATATAAAGGCCTTAAAGGTATCTGCTCTCTCAGTGATTTTAATACTAGCCTGTTCCTCTATTCCTGTAGCTAAAAACTCACCAGTGGTTAGGATTACTGAAACATCATCACAAAAGAAAGAAGAGAAAGTTAGGTGACCAGAACAAGAGTTTTTAAGAGTGTTAAACTAACATACAGAAGGAAGTAGCAGAGAAGACAAAAACTGCATGTTATCTGCTGTGCCACAGCAACAGCAGCATCATGGCAGCCATGGTCAAGTTAGTTCTCAGTGAAAGAAGGTTAATAACTTGGATTTGTACTGCTTCAAACAATTACTGTGATAAGCTGGCATGCAGGCATTTTGCGTGTGTATCTAAATATGCCATAGTTCAATGATAAGCTTTGAGATGGCATCTTTATTCAAGACTCGGTGTTACATAGTACCAATATGGGGTGGGGTCAAAATCAAAACTGAAGAACAAATGTTTGAAAAATAATTTGACACACAGACTTTGAAGTCGAGACAGATATCTCAGACATTTTAGTTCCTTTTTGTCTTTTTTTGACTTGAGAAACTAAGGTTAGCTAAAGCTTTCTAACTTGGGTTGGTGTGATTCCAAATCGCAAATACACTGGACTTGTCATAAATCTTCATTTCTGTAAGTGTAAAAGGGGATTAAAATGATTTTTTTTTTTTAGAGTCTTTTCCCCAAATCAAGTTTAAGTATGATCCACACAAATATTTTTGGTCAATTTCAAAAACTCAAAATAAGGCTACAGAAGCCCACAGGCTACAGTTGAAGTGTATTCATTTACTGGTTTAAGGCACAGTACTTTTGTTTGCCCTAGAAAGCTACCAGTTTCAAGTCACAGTGAGGAATTTCACATTTCAGTTTTGGTCTTGCACTATAATTATATGTGTCATGTCTACTACATGTAAAATATTTCAGTTGTCAGGTGCTGCAGTCTTGAATACTGTTTTCGCACTCGAAGTGACGTAAGTGGAAAATACTGAAGCCTGAATTCTGAATAGAGCCCAAAGTAGGGCACTTAAAGTTTAATACTTTAACACTTCCATGTTTAATACTTTATGCATACCCTGAAATGATTGAAGTTGGAGGGAAAAAGAGTCTGCTGGTATTTCAACAAACATGCAAAACTTCAACAGAATAACAGCCTACAGAACAGCTGCTGCATATCTTCACTAAGGCAGTCATGGTCACTACTATTACTGTGACATTATAGTTTACCACAGCAGAAGGATACTGCAGACCAAGGATAACTGCATACAGAAGGAGGAACTGGAATGATATGCCACCAAATAACAAGTTTGTGTTGCCATTCCTGACTTTCATAGGCATAAAATTAGCTCCGATACCACAGAGATTCCTGCAGGATCCAGACCACAATCTGCCTGTAACTGCAGAGAGGCTTATCAGATTTGTTTAGGACAGTATGAGTAGCAAAATCTGTCTGCATTTAAGAATGCAGAGTGAGACCCAGTGAAACTGAAGTCAAAACATCACAACTTTGAATCAGGTTTTCATGCTACAAGGTAATAAGTGTGTAATTTAAGGCAGTTACATGCTTAGATACCTAAAAAAAAATCAAGGTGCTGGGCAGCTCTACTTAAGTAAAAGATATAGAATATTCTCCTTAAACACTTAAACTTTATTTGTTAAAGCAGTAATGTTTATTAACGAGATTAAATATACAGGTTTTGTATGAGCTTTAAGATAAGTGAGCTGATTAAAAGCTTTAAATACATTCTTCCGTAAGTAAGAATATACATCAGAAAACATAGTATTTGTAAAAGGTTTTCAAATAAACTTTTAGAGATTTTAAGGATTCTGTTACGAATACTAGTTTAAAGATCTGGCTTTAAAAAAAGGTAGAAAAACTATTTGACTTTAACATAAAACTGAATCTGCTTTCAACTGTCATTCATTCGCACACATTTTCAGAGGTATACAAGAGCAACATCTAGCTTTGGTGACAAAAGTATGTCTCTCCTAAAGGAATGGCGATGAAAGTTTTAAAACCTTTCATAGTACAGTGCCAAGTGCTTATACAAGCTAGCTTGATTATCAGAGTCAAAAAAAGATTTAAAGAGTCAAAGCTGTAAATTAAGTGACTAACATTCATTATGAAGTGGAAAATTCGCATTAAGAATTTGGTCTGGTTTACAGCCATCAGTCTTCTAGTAGCTTATTGACTTAAAACAGCAGCACAATTATCGTACAGACACTATAACCACTTACAAAAACATTTTTGGTAACCCAGAGTATTGACAGTCTGTAAATATCCAGATATTCTTCCTTGGCATAAATAAGACAAAAGTCTAAATACACCCATCAGTGTATTGAAATAAGCTTAATCTAATGAAAGCTTCTCACATGTCTACATTTATTTCACAGGCACATAATTGACTTTATTCCGTCCTGTTAAAAGTTAAGTAACAAGTCTTTAATCTTGTTACTAGCAAACACACGGATAATTAGACTCCGAATCAGACACTGATATATGCAACAATGCTTTTTGGTGTGTTTAAGTATCAACATGTTTTGTTATTTTTAAACGCTGACCTTAAAAGTAGCCCAATTAGGTACAGTTGAAAAGCTCACTTAGACACACAAGCTGTCTCTGTCTTCTGTGATATATTACTATTGCCTTGTTTAGGGTTTTGTTGTGTTATTTGTTTTAAAACTTTGCAAATTAATGTTTTGGAATGAACTGCTACATGCATCAGCTCACTCAAAACCACAATCAGAGCAGAACTCTTAACTATGAGGAGTATCATTAACTTGTGTTTCAGTTACTGCAATTTTTTCAGAAACAAAACAAAACAAACCCCCAGAAAACAATCCCCTTTTAACACAATGCTGAAACATGACATACTGCAACCAACTTTTAAATCAAAACTGAAAATACCGCTTTTGGGCAACATTCATTCACTCAGTTTCAAGGTACATTTGGTAATTCAGTTAAGAGGTAATGGTTTTTCCTCACCAGAAAAATACAGACCTTTTACGAACTGTTAGCTATAGATGTAGCTATAATGACTGCAGCATGATAAGACTATGAGGAACACATGTTTGATCATATCAGCCAGAAAATATTACAGACTTCAAGAGCAATTCAGTGTATGGAGATGTCACTAAAGCTTCTTATTGAATCTCCCTCTGCCCCTGCCAAAGAAAGATGCTGCTGTACAAATATGCTGTACCTAAAATCAGTGACATTTGGTACTCTAGGTTCTTACCTGTTTCTTTTTTTAAAATTCTGTTTCTGATAGCTTATAAAAAATTAGAAAGAGGTACAAGATAAAAAAATAGTGGCTTAATCTCAACCTAAACGCTTATGTGGCATAATCTCCATCTAAATGTGGTGAACATCCACATGGATGAAGAATGATAGCTCTGCCAAATTAATACTGTAGCTTCTGAAGGAGAACAACAGAATTTGGGTCTGCGTGACAATAGAAATCTCCCCTTCCAGAGCAGAAGTCTAATCCATTACAAGTTAATTTGGGTCTCCATCTTCTCCCACACAGTCTAGATAATCTAAAATTTAAAGGAGAAACTAGAATTTTAATTAAAGGTACTAAGACACATTACAATATATTTGGCCAAGCTGTCTTATAGATGCAGCCTACTCATAATAAAGGATATTTCAGTAATATTTACACTTCCTCATATACACAATTAGAAGTATTTATATTGTTTTAGCCTATGTTTCTGCAGCAATTATAATTACGAACAGTGGCAGAACCAGATCTTCACATACAGAAGTCTCTTTTCCATAACTAATAACAATCAATCAGTATATTTTACCTGAAAAACAATTTTAGACTGTTACAAAATCTTGCCCTTTTCAGAATGGCAACTAGGCATCCTCTCTCAGAAGCGGATGAATTGTTCTCTGGGCTTGTTCTAAGCCTATCCCCCTCCTCTGATTATACAGAAAATCTAGTTGGGATCAGACACCTAAGCTCTCAGAGTTTGCTCTCTTTATTCTGTTCTACCTTATTCTGTTCTACCAATAACTCCAACAAATGCATTTGTGCATAAAGAGCCCATTAAGATGACAAAACAAAATCAGGGGTATATACAGTTGTAAACCAAAACCATCATGAAAGCCAAGGAAAATTATCTTTCACAGAAATCAGATCCTTTCCCAGACAGCCTTTTACCAGCCCCAATGCAGTGCTGCCACCATCTTTCATTCACAGCTATTTGAAAGTAGAATACCTACTCTATTCCTGTATGTCTGAACAGCAATTTTTAAGTTAAACCAACTGGTGGATTTCGCTACAAGTATATTTAGACACAGAAATTATCTTACATACATATACTGTAGCGTACATTTCACTAGAAAGTATCAAGATATAATCTATTCAAATAACTTTTCCCATTTATAGACACTATGTATAATCTAACCTTTTCTAAAACAGGTTAAGACTAGAATACCAGCACACAGATTACTGATAACAGTGACAGTGATCTGGTTAACTACAGAAGTTCTACACAGTTAAAGCAGTTTGAATGACTTAGTGATAATCTGAACTGCTGACTTGCATATAAGCACACAAAACACATGCTTACTTCACATTTGTCCTTCATTTCAGAAAGTTACTGTTTGAATTAAGTCTTGCCAGCCATCTCAAATTCATTGACCCTAACAACACACTAGAACTAACTGAGGCACTTCAGGCAAGATTAGTGAGATACCATAAAATTAATGGGTCAGGCTGGCTGTACTACTGTATCAAGAACATACTTGACTGACTGCAGGTAGCAGATTTCCTCATATTATTCATGTAATATAATATTTCCATATGAAGATAGCAGCTACCTTGGACAGAGCAGAGACAGCTAACGCAGAAGCAAGTAGTAGGCTCATCTCTATGCAAAATCAATGCATCATTATCACCTAATGGCTACTGAGATTTCTTCTGTTGGCAAAACAGAAACCCAGGGGAGAGAATTCCTTACACAAAAGGTACTTTAGGCTTTATTATAAATGGCAGTCACTGTAGCATCTAGGCACTAATACTTTATACAGAGCTAAAAATTATGGTCAGTATTTCCCACTATTAATTGTTTGTTCACATGAGGAAGTTAGCACTGTATGGCAGGGCATGAGTTGTTGTTAACTATTTCATATTAATTTCATGTATGGATATTTGTTATGAGACAGCTGACTGAGAACAGGAAAAAAGCCCTGCCTTGTCTATTTGGAAACAGTGTGTTTACAGCAACTGCACCATAAACACACACCATACCTCAGTGTTTGCTAGCTTCTACATATGGACAAGGTCCAAGGAGTGATTTCAGAATTGACAAAATTCCAGAGAAAACTGACAATGTTTTAAAACAACATTACAGCAAATTATTTATGAATCTGCTGGTATCCTTCCTGAATAGAAAGCTACACAGAATATTGTTGCTCTGTCACAAAAAGTAAAACATGTAAGACTTCCAATAATCTCATAAATGTTCAATTCATACTGATTGAACAAATGATCTGATAGAAATAACAGTTCTAAATAAGCAGTACATTCTAGTTTGTCTAGTCACAACTGTGGCAGCTTTTAAATGTAACATAAAATGATTGAAAGTATACTTGGCTGTGTAGTTTTTGTGATAGTCACAGTGTGCTTGAAATGAGTTTTAACCAGCATAATTTAGACCTGCAAGAGATGCAAGTTCAGAACATATGCACCATATGGCACAGTGAGTAAAAAAAAGTCCATTTCAGCAAAGAAGTATAGTGAAATACCAGAGTGTCTTCTACAAGGCTAACAGTACCAAGATGTCATACTGATACGATTTATGTGCTTAGACACAATAGTTAATTAACTTAATTTTCACAGCCAGGAAATAAACACCATGAAAAAAACTTCTAAGCAACATGAACAGAACCACAAACTTTCCATAAAGATTCGCAGTTCTGTCCTCTTTCCCATAGAATGTAAACTAAGGATGGTATTGATCTAGGCATTCCTTTGTTGAAATTTGCCTCATCTCCAATGTTCAGTTTCTAGGCTGCACTGTTCTTTCTAAGCATAACAAATGCTACACAATACAACACAGCATGTGTAGAAGAAGAGAAAAAGTCACAAAGTCTGGTACTTTGTATAAATGCATTCGTCCAAAGGCCAGCATCGCAACAGACAAGGGAAGTGGAACTTTGGCTGCAATCTTCAAGAGTTTACTGTAAGAATATAAAGAAAAATTGCCATTTTGTATCCACATATGCAGAAGGTATGCAAATATCATGTTTCACTTTCTTTTGAAAAGTAATTTCTAGATTTCAAGACTTTGTTCATTTTTAATAAGGGAACAAATAGGTCTAACTGGCAATAACAACATGCCTAAGAAAGAAAAATTATTCCAAAAGACTGATAAAATGTAATTTCAAAATATACTCGTATTCATTTAGAAAGAAGACAAAGATTTAAAGTTTTACATCATTTGAATTAACAGGTACTGGTCAAGAGGATAAACTATATTGGTTATTATTCATTGTCTTTCATGTGGCACTGACTAATTGTATAACTGAACAAGAAACACTATTACTGTCAACAAAAACAAGAGCTCAAAACTTATTAATCCAGTAGAAAGCACATTTCCACAAGTGTGTCCATACAGAGGAGTCACAAGAACTTAAGTATACAGGTTTAGAATTCACTTTTCCTTATAACATTTTGACAACCATTGCTAAGTACATTAGGATTCTGTATCCCTTGGAAGGATTCAATGAATTACGATTTAAAAAGTCACAGTTAAAGAAGACTATATGTGACCAACAGTTTAGATAGCAAATACTTCATTTAAGTCCATGTGGTAAAAAGAGGTGATTTTCTCAGGTTAGGTAAACTACAGGTAATTTGCATGCATTTTATTTAGTCTTTAAGATTTAACCATACAAGTTGATGAATCTCTGTGTAGGCTGAACAGTTATACATCTATGCAGCATAAATTAACTTTTATCACACAAATGAAGTAGTAAGAACAAAGCAGGAAAACAAAAACTGGAGATTAGGCTACATACAATACCTTGATTTCACTTCAGAAGAACTTGAATTCATGAGAATTTCTAAAATGCATGTGATGATAATAGCTGTAGATCTACACGGATCAGGATCAAGTTTAACACTGTACCTGCAAAGAAGCAGTTTAAAAAGCAAGTTATTTCTAAGCTAGGCTTCCAAATAAACAACTTGAGAACAAGCATGTGCTGATAACAACACACACACATGAAATACATATGGCATTGCAGCCTGATTTTAAATCCTTTCTGAAGCATTACTTTCTTCAATGGATCACCGATTCACTTAACACCTACTTATACCATAACATAAATCAGATTGCATAGAAAAAAAATCCAATTGCAATATCAAAGAGTTCTGTTAATTACAAGGTAGCTGATAATGTAAAGAGTCAAATGTTAGCAATTTTTATTATCTTCCAAGTTTTGTGTTCTTTTCTTCTACCTTACTGGCAATTTAAGAAGTTACCTGAGATTTTTTAACCAATAAATTAAGGATGGCAAGTTGAGCAGCACGATCCATGTGAATAAATTGAGAATTGTAACGTGCATCTTAAGACTGTTAACAGCTTCAGCAATGGTACTGTTGGAAAAAGACTGTGTTGCTTCTGAAATACTGTCCACTGAACTCTGGTTTTTGACTGTGTGTATCCTGGAGTCCTGTGAAGTTTCTTTTGAGCAGCCTGAATCCTGAAAATAAAAGACAGAAGTCAAAATCATGACTTGTAAGAACAGGGAGGAGGGAAAAGCTATCAAAACAGTATCATACCACCTCCATTTTAAGAAGAAAATTTGCAGTTTATGCCTCAAAAAGCAAAGTTCAATAGTTTAGATTTAAAGCATCTAGATTTATAGCATCTAGATTTATACAGAAATTTCTCATGCACTAATAGTTTATATGTCTTTGGAAGAAAATAATAGAGTGGAGATGGCCTAACATCAATGCAGTGATAAGAAATGAAGTTCCTGGATGGAGGAAGAACAGAATAAAAGGAGTAATAAAGCATGCCACTGAGAAATCACAGATGATCATTCATGGGAAAAGATACAGGAGGTAATGCAGCTGCAACAAGAAGTAAAATATCAGCTGTAGGAATAAATAACAAAGATAAACTAATGAGTTGGCAGATGCTATATTCCAACAGAAAAAAAAAAACCACAAAACCCAAAACAACCCCAAACCACACAAATAAAACAAAACAAAATTATATGGAGAGGAAAGAAGGGAAAGAGAGGATTTAAAATTAAACACACAAAAACCACTCAAAAAAAACATAGAAAACTATCAACAACTTTTTCTGGTAGACTGCTTTTTTAAACTATGTTCTATGTTTGCAAAAAAGAACAGGTAGGTATTAAATGCTTGTATCCACACCTGCTTACATCTTAGATCTTACACCTTAAAGTAACTGAAAAAAAGAAATGAAGTTCATTCACAATGCAAGAAACCTCAATGCTTCTTCACTCCTTTTTAAACAGCTCCAAAATATATAGCAGTCTCAGCCCATAGCCATGTAATAAGTCATATTTGTCATCTCCTGATTAAAAAAATCCCCCTAAACTCCACAAACTACCTATCTGGAAAAAAAGTATGTACCTTTAGTATAGATGTTACCTAGAAATCCTTTTTTTTAGGTAAGACATGCATAATCCAAACCCAAAATTTAGACAAAAACCATTGTTGCTCTGTGTGTATTCAGAGAGTAAGTTTTCTTAAAGCTACTTCAGACAAGTTTGCACTGCAGTGATCTTGAACAGGGAATGCCACGGTCACATGCAATGGAACAGGCTACTCATGCCCTGGCTTTTCTTTCACATTATGCACAAAGTAAGTAAACTACAGCCATCCAGTCATCACATCACAACTTAATACTACACCAAGGCAAGATGATAACAATTCATAATTCATAGGTTTGCCAGACAATTTTTGGTCACAGTTCTGAAGAGGAAACAGACATACCCCATTGAGCATGTTTTGTTCTGCTTTTACATTCACGTGCAGTTTTATAACCTGCAAAACAAACAGTTCAGCTTTTTTAATATTGCTTCTCCGCACAAAAGCTGTAGTATAGAAGAAAAAAAAAGGGGTTAGTTTTTGTCTCTTTTATAGTTAGATGATTCTAGGATCCCAGTGGAGCTGCAATACAAGAATTCCCTCTGCCTTTTTTATCAGCAGCACCCAAAGTGCTCTATGAAGGAAGGATTTCTAAGCACAGAGAGAAAACTTATGCTGCTCTGCTTTCTCCCCTTTCACTGTGCTCAACAGAGAATACAGAGTGGAAAAATTGGCATGCTCATCACCTCCTCCTGCTCATTCAGTTCTACCTCACTTTCTGCAGAAACCCATAAATGGGCCACACAGGAACCATATCAGAAGGTTGCAGAAAGGCAAGTATTGTCAGCATGGGGACATCCTTCACAGGGTTATCTTATGTCACAGAGAGCTCAATTAGAGATAGCACTGTTCCTCATGCTCTGCTTTCAGCTGCCACCTATCTGCTTCAGACCACCTGTAAGTAGCTCTGCTTTGTGCCCCTACTTCCAGACACATGCTCCAATGCTTCCCTAGTAGCTAAGTATAGCAGCTGATTTAACAGCTATATATACACCATATATATATACACCATAGGGTGAATCAGGTAGGTTAGAAGCTCTGATGCAAGGAAGACCATGGAAACTGAATGGCAGGGACTAAATATGGATCTTTGTGGCACTACACAAAGGATCATATTAGACATAAAATAAGACTATCCTAGTTCTACAATATATAGACCCTCCTTCCTTTTACTCAATGAAGATTTGGGGGGAGTCTTTACAGACAGAAAAAGTATTCTACAGAACATAGCAAGTCAAACCTTTGCTAAAGTTTCTCTTCAAGGGAGTTAAGTACTCTTTGATTTTATAACATTACCTACCCATAAGTTAAAAACTGCAATGATGTGTGGGCATACGGGACTGTGCATTTCTGTAAAGGAAATGTTATCAAAAGAAGAAAAATAGTTCTAAAAATTACAAGATTAAAAAAGTCTAATAAATTCAAAGCCGACCCATTTCAAGTATGCAAATAACATTTCTTTTAAGCACAAACCATGGTAATCTTTAGTTTTGCTTTTAACATGGGGTTAATTCAAAGCATACTAAATTTTGAACTCAGTTTTCAATTCAAAATGTTTAGCCTTTCAGTACCTTAAACAAGTATTGAAGATAAACAATGACTACAGCAAGTGCACCACAAGTGGTCCAGCTAACTAGAGCAAGGGATAACGCCCCACAGAGTCTTCTGGGTGTAATCAACTTATCTTTTTGAAGCACAGGAGGTCTATGAAAAGAAATAAAAATTGCTGTTATACTTTTGCAACAACACCAGAACTACAAAGATAAAAATATAATTCTGTTTCATGAATGACTGGAAAGAATTTTTCCTGAATATTGATTAAATTAATGATAAATTAAACACAGGAAAAATAAAGTTAGACAAATTTTAACACATACACCAATACCTACATAAAGTAATTGCAAGAAAAAACTTTCACACTAAATGAACAAAACTATCCTGAAAAAAGCATTCTAGAATGTATGTCTGCAATGTATTATTTTTACTTCATTTGGGCAACATAAAGGAATTATCATTAAATATATAACATTAGGTAATGCTAACTATAGATCAGTTAGCAGATCTGACAGCAGTTAGATCAGTCATCAAATTCTTCTGTTCAGCCCAAGAGAATAAGTATCTAATTGCTGCACAGCTGCATCACAAAAGTGATTCCTATAGACACATTAACGCACTGCAGCATTCAGTGATCATACAACAGTACATAACAGAAAATCTCCAAGAGATCAATTCTGTGACAAACATTCTTCCCAGACAGGAATTTCTGCTTGCTCATAGTCTGAGAAAAGCTTATTTGAAGTTTGTGGAGCTCAGCTGATATGACTAACAGGCAGATATGAATCTAAAATGAGCAAAACGAGCTAAGAAGGTGTGACCATAAGGGGAATGCGGTGGGGAGGAAGTGCAACAGAACTATGAAAAAGTTTGTACTTCTTGGATATCCAGTATTAAAATATGCACTGGGAACAGAAAAAACATTGGAAAATATGATTTTAAAAGTCTTTACCACAGATATTAAAAACCCAAACCAAATAACCCACCCACACAGAAACAAACCCCCTCCACAAAAAATGGCTCGCTGAAAAGTACAAAAAATTCCAGAGATACCTAGTGACAAATTCTTTGCTGCTAGCCCTATCAGATCATTCCAGAACACGGCACAAAAGTCAAGCAAATATTATCTACTTTGGAGAGATTTGTAGAAAATAAATGTTTATTTTTTTTCCCCAAGAAAAAATTCAGGAGAGGATGAAAAAACTGTGTAAGGCACTAGAACTGTGTAAGGCACTAGAACTTCAAAATGAACCAGCTGACTTACTGTGGGCATAAAAAAATCCTACTTTCCTGCCTCTGCCTAAGGCATTCTTGGGGTTTGCAGGAAATCAAAAACTTACGTGAAGAAAGTATGAATTGAGCCAAACCCCTTAAAAATTAAGAGGGAGTTGTTTCAAAATTTAGAAGTTCATCACTTTGTCACTTAAAGCTAACACTGAAGCATCCACTGTAATTTAGAAACAAGGTGGCTGAGAAGAAATAGCTGACACCACATCTATTATTTAGTAGAATAGACCAGAAATGCTGGCAATGAAAAAAGAAAGAGTTCATTTAGTGGGTATTTTCTGAGTAAAGTCCATCCCAACCAACTTTCTGGAGATACAGAGTTGACTCAAATGTAGCTGAAGACTCTTACTAGTGTCAGAACAGTCAAACATGCATGTTATCCAATTTACTAATTTACTCCTTCAAAATCTTTTTACCTTTTCTTGCTTCTTTAAAGTCATTTTCATATTTGAGTACTCATTGGTACAAAAACATTCCAGTGTTCTTAAACATGATCTATAAAATTAACGTCTTGTGGAGCGAAATGAACATCCAAGAAATTTTTGTTTTACAAACCTCTTTGTGTTCTTTAATGCAGTTTACCCAATTATAAATAATGAGGAGTGGATTGCAGTGCTTACAGTCCCTTTTCTAACTATATACATTTATTTTTTGAGCTGCTGAAAAGAACAGGTCAGTTGCTTCTTCCCCAACAATCCTTCCTCAAAACCAAACTGAACACTTTAATAACAGCTGATGAAGGAAATGAGAAAGCTATTTACATTCCTTTTTTTTTTCATAAGGAATATGAGGCAATATTCATGCTTCATTAGTACTTAACAATGACAAACCCAGATGTCTAAAATCAGGTATGAACTATATATTGCAGGATTCAGTATACCCAAGCATTCGCACTGATGCAAACAGAAAAAATTTACAGGGTCACAACCAGTTAAAGGAGCATAATTATATAGTACAATAATGTTTTACCTCATCAGAGTTAACCATAGTGAAGAGAAGAGTCTCAGAGATGCAGAGAAAAATACTCCACTCCAGTAGGCAATGCCTGTCCCAAAAAGAAATAGAATCAGGGACACAAGGGGGAACCATGCATCCTGACTGCTCAGTACAGCAGCGTCCACCTCTGGTAGTGACAGTGATTCCCATATCTCTCTAAACCAGTTAAACCTGCCAAAAACATGAAAGCAGTATTACTTATCATTTCCAATTGCTTTTACAGTAAGATATCTATCAACAATTCCTCCTCCAACAGTGTTTCAAACAAAATCACAGCAAGATGTTCACAATAACTACAGATAAAATATTATTCCTCCCCACCAATATTCTTACTGAAATTTCTGGTTTGGAAACTGCTTTAAATAAATAAATTATGCAAACTCACCCCTGCAGAAACACAACAATGCTTATAAGAGGTTCTATTTTGTAGGGTTTAGCTGTCCTAACTAGTTCAAGGGAAAAGTCTGAACACTGGCCTAGAATCAAGAACAGAAAGCATCTATAGTTACTATTTTGCCATGAAATTTAACAAAGAAGGCACATAACAAAAAGTACATTCAGACAAAGGTTTGAAAGTTTACTTTAAAACAAAATAACTGTCTAACAGCAGTATTGCAAGTCAGCATACTTCATCATCAAGGCCCATATTCACTAGATTGCCCATTTTAGGTAATATGTCACCAGAGCTTCTAGAGAGATTACAGTGTTGGTTATGAACACCACCTGAATTTAAGCAAAAATGTATTTTGCCTGATGTCTAAAAGTTAGTCTGCAACTCTCATCTTCATGCACGAAATAAAGTGTTTTGTGCATATTAACAATATGTTTTAAATTTTTACATGTATTTTTAAGTAGATCTCCATTAATTCTAAAATACTCTGCAACAGCAATCATTCACAAAGAAGGGACAGCAGAGTAGAACAGTCAGGAAATATTCTGCTACACCACAACCTAGAAGTAGGTCAACAAAACCTGGAACTGAAGAACACAGATCCAAGTACATGCACAAGTTCAATGATACTTGGATAAAAAATGCACAACAGTCAGCTAGTTTTTCAACAAGAAATTGGCTAACTTCTCTAAAAAGACTTGACAAAAGAGAAAGATTCTACAAAGCTACCTGTTGATACCAATGTGCTCAACTGTCCTCCATAAGCAAGAAGAATATTAGAAACAATGTAGGCCGGAAGAGCACCAGCATGGAACCTTATAATCTGAAAGACAAGGATATAATGATAACTTTTATATATATAAAAATATAGAAAAACCACACATAAAAATACTATCTTGAAGCCAGCATGATAATATGATTAGAAATACTTTCTTAAAAGATTCAAACAGCTTCTTATTTAGATACATAAGTATTCGATCACCACAATTGGCAATTACTCTTATCTATAGAAAATACTCAGCTCTCTTATAAATGTATTTTAATTAATGAACAAATTATAAAGGAATGCTATTTTTCTAGTCAAAATAAATATTAAAATAATAACTCCAAGAACAGTACCATGCCAATGGTGTTTAAGTAAGATAAATCAAAAATATTAAAAGGTCACTTTGCAAGCAAAACCTGCATATAGAGAGATAGATATATATATATTTATATATATATATGTGTGTGCTCTTCAGTAAAGAATGTTTGGAAGCAATTTTATGTATGTTTTAACTGGCTTTCACTGTCCCTATTCATAATTAATGTACAAATAACACACAGATTTTTCTAAAACAGCAACCAAATGAAAAGCCCTTCATATAAATGCATACATCAGAGAAACTTGTCAGTACCATTCCTAGCACTACACTTAGGTGCTTGCAAATTAATTATATTTCACAATTCAAATGTAATGTAAATACATTACAATTTCAGGAAACTGCAGATGGCTGGTCTATTTTTGCTGATACCAATGTTGCAATCTATTCTTCATTGATAACCAAAGAAAATTTGTTGAGAGGGAGCATATGGATTTACTTAAGACTCTTCCTCTCCACCCCCAATGCTTAGTGGATGCCAAATACATTTTAAAGTTTTAACACAACTGACCCATCAGGCAACAAAGTGAAAGTAACCTACAGCGTCATCCCTTTGCAGGTATTCTGCTAACCACAAAGTCAAGTGCTCAACATTTCCATTAGCTCCTTAGAGCTTGAGTGCTTTTCTGCTCCTCTGAAAACTGAGCCCTGACATTTATCCGAATGGGATGCCTTGACAAGTGAGAAGGTTTGAAACGACCGTTGAATAATGATCCTCTTGGCATCAGGAAGGAATCTGAAGTGCCATAGGAAGGAAGGGAGGAAAATTTCTATAGATGCTACTGACAAAAACCAGTCTAGTAGTAGAAGGTTTTCTTACTTGCCCAAGAACCTGTAAAAGTGAGGTCTTCAGAACTACCTTGATAAATGACAAAAAAAGAGAAATATTTTATTAGTTTACACAATGGTATGCATAATTAAAAAATATTTTTATTTTTGAGAAGCCAACTTCAGTATTAGAATACAACAGTCCCATAACTAAAATGTACAACTTACTGGTTATTATTAAAACCCAAATGTTTCAGTTTTTTCTTAGAAAATGAGTCGGACTTTCAATACTGCTCCAGCTGTTGCACAATACTTGGAACATGCACTCCATTTCCAAAAAGGCCAAACAGCCCATCTTTAGATTTGTTTGGTATTTATTTTCATCAATTAGCTACACGTTTTAAAGACTGAATTATGCAAAAATTATACAGCAGTTTGAACTAGCTATAAAGTAAATGTGTATTACTCACTTCGTACTGACAGTCTGAGGAAGAGTAAATATTTAACTCTGGAACCCTGTTGTCATTCTGAGGCTGAGCACTATGCAGCTTTGCAGAAATCTCAGTTGAAGATGGAATTCTGAAACAGCAACTCAATTTGTAACTGTTGTCCTTACATCAAAAAAACCCCAAACATGCCATAGCCTTCAACAAGTGCACATAGAGCAGACTTATTACACAAGCATTACCACAAGCTATGAGGAAAATGGTAAAATCAACTTGTTTATCCTATCACAAAGAACTACGTAATATTCTCAATCCACTGCTCCCTGAACTATGAAGATACTAATGAATATGGTACTGATGACAACAGACAAGTTTAGCATTGCTGTACACACTGCCTCACAGAACATATAAATAATGATGAGTAACAAGAACAGGAAGGCCAATTCTCAATAATACAATTCAGTTTCCTGCAAGTATTATGCTGGTAGAAAATACCACGGGGGAAATAGGGAGGTATCCTGAAGTTAGGCAGTTTTTCAACTATCTAAAATAAAGTCAGGTTGTTTAACTGCGATTCACGAGTGACTCATGTTACAAGCCATATCATTTGATTTTGTCAGGACTATGCTGCTGAAACAACTTAGGGATGCTGTGTGATCCAAACCCTGGCTTACAGGGAGAAGACAGCGTCCATAGCAGCCTCTAATCCCCACTCATGGTCAAAGGCTACGCAGAGAATTTCAGACCAGCAACTCTGACTTCCTTTTTGAGCAAATCAGTGGGAATTATTAAACAAAGAATTAGTATATATTCTTATTCTGAGGAAAAGTCAAACTGACCTTGTCAACAAGTGCAGAAAAGTAAATGAGGAAAAGATGCAGAAGCCAAAATCATAACTGAAGAAGTTATATCAGAAATATGACCACAATGGCATGCAATGCGTCTTCAAAAAATCTATCAAGAAATAAGTCACAATTGTTGAAGTCCTTACTTTGCTACAATTATGGAGTCTTCATGTGACCAGGGTATATGAAGTCTGTAAACACTAGGTTTTCTTTCTGAAATGGAAAAGAGTTAAAAAAATACAAAGAACAAAACGTGGCAACCATCTCCAACACCTAAATGCAATTAAAATGGAGGTGGCATGTAGATCGCTATACAGAATCACTGGGCTTACAGTAACATTGCAACTGACATTGAAATGCAGATCAGTGCAGTTAGCATTGAACAAAAATTACTATTTTTTAACTTATATTGTTACAGGACAAGACAGACAGACATCAGTGCTTAAAGGCAGGACAATTGTGAGAAAACTTCTGGTTTTCAACACAAAGCTGTAGCTTCAAGCTAATAAATCCATCACTTTTTTTTTTTTTAAACAAACTCCTTTAGCATCCCATTTTGTTTCAGTTTCTGTAGCTCAACATTCAAATTTGAGCCACATGATTAGCAAATAAAAATCCTAGCCAGATGTTGTATTCTTAAGAAACACTTTCAACATAACACAGAATCCTACTGAAAGTTCAACTTCCCTTTGCTGATGTAAGAAAACCAAACAAATGAGGACTAATTCCAGATTTTCTTTGAGCTATTCTTCTTAACAAAAAGTGGAAAGTTGAGAGATACAAGCAGAAACATTTGAAGAGATGACAGTATTTCCTAAACCGCACTGCATGGGAGGACTTTTGCTTCCATCATTTTTTGTCTTGAGAATTTTCCTGGTTTCCTCTGGGATAACAGTTAGTTTTCTTCCTAGTAGCTGGTGCAGTGCTGTGTTTTGGCTTTAGTCTGAGAACAATGCTGATAACACACTGATGGTTTAGTTTTTGCTCAGCAGCATTTACCCTGATCAAAGACTGTTCAGTCTCTCATGCTCCACCAGTGAGGAGGAACACAAGGGGCTGGGAAGAAGCAGAGACAGGACACCTGACCCAAACTATCCAAAAGGGTATTCCATACCACAGCACATCATTCCCAGTATAAACTACGAGGGAGTTAACCAGAAGGGACCAGTCACTGCTTGGGTCAGGGTGGGTATCTGTCAGCAGGTGGTGAGCAATTGTATTGTGCATTGCTTGTTTTTCTTGGTATTTATGTCTCTCCCTCTTTTTGTTGTCCCCCTTTTCATTACTACTACTACTATTTTTTATTTCAATTATTAAACTGTTCTTACCTAAACCCACAGGTTTTACCTTTCTTTTCCTCACAGTTCTCTTCCCCAACCCACAAGGGGGTGAGTGGTGAGTGAGTGGCTGTTTGGTACTTAGTTGTGGCACTTTGTTTTATAAATATGTACTTCAGAAGACTTCCATTTACCTTTGAGTGACTGGCAGTGGCTCTCTATATAAATTTTGAAAGCTTGATATATCTAGAGCATTAAGAAAAAAGGGAAACAAAAAATCATTTACATTCTCCACAGTGGTTACATTACCCAAAAAAATTAAGTAGTGTTCTTACTCGGTTGAAGTGCTGGAGCTGTACATTGTAAAGTAAGCCAGTTGAATTTAATAGAATTTTGCTTGAAGAAAGCCCTATAAAGGATGTATTATTTTCACATATTAGATAAAATTATTTGAGAACTCACTGCATCTTCTGGTATTTTTTTTCCAGGAGACTCATGTGCTTCTATATGCATATTAGTCAAAACCCCCACATTTCTTACTTGTCTAACAAAAGTAGTATTAACTTAAGTAAAAACAAACCACAAAAAATAGCTCCTGACCATGGGAATTTTTAGGCACATTTATGATCCAAATATTAGCAATATTAATTTTCCATTTTTTCCCCAAAATAATCAGCTATACTTACCAAATGAAAACAGATGCGTTACAGGAAGCTGTACTGTTCTGGAATCCTCCTCAAAGAATTCACACTCCAAAGTATACTGCAATTGAGGATATCAAACAAAGATCTAAACCAAGCACAAGACTATAAAGCCTTTGCATTTGCCAGATTCTATTCACAGGCTCAAGCAGAGTCCAGGACACAAACACTGAAAAGCCACCTACCTCTCTGCACTGCACTGACAGCGTGAACAAACAACTGGCAGATAGTTTGTTTCTGCACACAGCCATAGAAGCTTGGGTAGCTTAAGCATAACTTCCAGGTTACTTTAGTTCTCACCCATCTGCAACAGCCTTCAAAAGGCTATTCAAACAGCTGAGAATTACTAGAATCCAGTTCACATCCCTGCTGCTTGGGTACATCTTTTCTTGTATTTGGGGGCAGGAGGAGGTTTGAAAACAACAGCAACTTCTCCAAACCCTGAATACAATTTCCTAAGCAAAAAGAAACTTTATTTTATCTCCTGAAGTTTAATCACGCAAAAGCAAACCAAAGTATCCAGCAGGTACCATCTCTAATAAGCATTTAGTTCACTTGAAAAATATTTTCCATCCCATTGTAAATCCAGCATTTATTTACTTTTTTAAAGCAGTTTCCAAGCTTTAACACTGGACTGCAACTTAGCATTTCAAAAGTGAGCTCTCATCTATCTTTCTGATCCAGAATGTTGTGTATTACTAATTTAACTGCAAGAGTTCTGTCATTTCCAGGACTCATGAGAAAGGCCTGCCAGACCCAGCTGGGCAATATGCAATGTCTGCTTTGGTTCACTGCAAATGTTTCTCTTCCTGGGATCCTGAGAGACCTTGATGCAAATATATCCAACTCATCTGTGAGATTCAGGGCTATCAAACTTTGCACAGTTCAGTCTACCACATTATTTGTGGTCTCAGAGCTTGTAAAGTTATCTGCGCCATGTTCCTCCCCTCAATCCATATGTGGTGCCTTTAACTATCTACGGCATTTCCTGCTACCCCAGATAGCAGAACTGACTGTTCAAAAAGATAAATATTCAGTAACTCAATCAGAATATCAAGAAAAACAAGTAAGAACATTAGAACTTCCAATAAGAAGTGGTTTGAGAACTGTTGATTTGTATGTTTCAAGTACTAGCCATGCCTTACATTTGGCATCTTATCAACCGAAAATATTTCTGTGCTTACAGAAAATAGTTACATTCAAACCACACTGGAGCATAGATCTATGGTTTCTAACTTAGCACACATTTCATATACTTTTCCTTCTGTCATGGCATCTGAAAGCTATGAACGCACTAGGCAAGCAATTCCTGCATTTAATGTTTTTGTTTACCTTATTGCCAACTGTGGGTGGTACCCGAACGACAATGTGGGACAAAGAAGGATGGTCCTGAAGTTTTAGCATGACAACCTTAAAAGGAAAAGAAAAACTAAAAGCCATTACCAAGCATACCCATTAGCTTGCCCCTCTCCAGTTCCCAGATGTTCACCTCTTGGACCCCTTCCTCTGGAGTACAACTGCATATTCCAATGCTGTAAACAGAACAGATCCTTCTCCCATACATGCCGCTACCCTAGAAAACACCTCTCCCTCCTACAAGTTCTGTTCTATACTTACTTTGGTAGTTGGAAGTAACTCAGCTTTCCAGGATAAGTCAGTAGCTTCCAGGCTGTAAAAATTCATTCACATTAAAGGATGAGCATATTCATTATGCAGGTATTACGTTATGACAGTAGACTAACATACCAGCTTTCTTCTCTCTCTCTCTGCATTCATGAGATTTTAAAATGAGAACAAATTTGGGCCTACTGCATTTAGCTCGCTAGTAAATTATCAAACTGTGATCATTGCAAATACTGCAAATCTTGGTTTTGCAAAAACAAGTTAAGTAAAGCTCTAACTTTGTCATAAACATTTAGCAGTTATTAGCCATGTAACTGTAGACACATAATGAAAATTCGTAATAAGCTAAACCAGCACTGGCACTGAATGAACAGTTTTATTAGCATCTTTTGAGCATCAAAAGTACCAATTTTTCCTATGGCAACATCCAAAACATACAATATAAATAAAAAATTGTTAGCTGCTACAGAGCTAACAATTCTAAAATTATACGTAAACTAAAACTAGAACTAAAGCAATTCTAAAATGATATATATTTTATTAAGTTAACACATTGAACTGCAGTTATTTTAAGTTGTGATTTTTAGAATACCGGGATATTTCTCTCTCCCTAAATAAATTGTGTTACATGATCTCAGGATACAGTCCACAGCAAAACCACTATTATTAGATGAGATTTTAAGGTAGCAGTCCTGAACTAAGCTAACCCGCAACTGATGCTGATCAAAGGTTATACAAAGGAGTAACAGCCAATTTTTCCATGGATCAGGAAAAAGTAATTATGACTTCTGGCTATCCACTGGAGGCAAGACCCTGTGGCTATATACCTCAGCACAGACCCCAGAACAGATAAACATTATAGCTCAATTCCACCTTGAAGCTTTCCCTAATCTGAAGGGTCAACTGAATTTACTTCGAGCTTCTTTTGCAAATGTAAGCTAAGCCAGTGTTTTAGATTCATTTTGTAAGGATTGTAATGACCTGATTCAAATAATCACTAAACCCACCCACATTTCTACATATTTTTCATATAACAACAGGCATTTTGGAATAAGAAAAAAATAAAGCGATGCTTCAATCCACTCTGTTAAAGGCTTGGAGTGACATTTGATGTATTCTGTCATGGGATTTCAAAGAGACACTTTAGAAGATGTAAAGATGTAGAGAGAACACACAATTTAGGGAATTCAGCTCAGCACACAGCACCCACAAGAGAGCAACAGGAGCAAGTCCTCGCTGCCATAAAGGTCAGAAAAGTTTGACTATTCTGTATTCATGCAGTAATTTTAAGAAAACCTATCCTTCCCTGGATTTTCGGTGATACAAAAAGCATGAATTATTCACAGTAAGAAATTTACTTCCCAGTATCTTTCTCCCTAAGGAGGACGATATTTTACATTATTTAAATTCAAATGTAGTCCCACAAGATCCATTTGAATATAGCACAGGAACTGTTTATACTCACCACATTGGTGAATTCCTGTTCATACAGCCAAAAATCCAGCTACTTGTGTCCTGTAAAGTCAATACCATAAAACAGTACATTACATATGTAAGTACCTATATCTATAAATACATTAAAAATAGCTATTCTTTACTCCAAACAATGCAGGAGTTAATACTGACAATCTTCTCCAGTTTCTACACGCTAGCTGTTTCAGTGCATCACATGTCAGCAACTGTCCTAAAAATCCTCAGACACCTGAATCTTGGTGCAATTAACTTAGGGAAAAGAGGAACAAACTTCCATATTCATCTCACTCCTTTTCTATTCAGTGTCCCAGCAGCAGCTGTCACTATAGTGACCAAACCCTAATAAGGATATCAAATGCTAAAGTGTAAAAGCAAGAGACAAACACAGTATCTCAGATTTGCTGTTATTTATAATGAAAGATATCCACCAACTTTTTTCCTTATTTCACAGTGATGTCAGACTTCTGCATTAACAGCAAGTGATATCCTCCATTAAAAGTCTTACATCACAATCTTGGACTCACAAGGATGGAAAGCTGAAACATAAGAGTGAAAGGTGGGGGTTTCCAGAAACCATTTAAAATAATTACCATTTGCCACCTTTCAGATATCATAACAAAGGCAAAAGTTACCGTGTAAAGCACAACTAAGATCACAACAACTTTGTAGATACTGAAGGTGCGACTGGGAAGAACAACTAGAAAAGCACAAAGAATATACTATCTCTTTTTGCACAGTGGTGGTGTGAACTTCTTTGGTAAGGGAAGGAGTGGCAACAAGAACAGGCAGGATGGAATGGGAAAGCATCTCAATTTTTGTTGCCACTCATCTAAAACACATTATTCTGAAAAGCATATTTACCCATCTCCAGTTTGCCAAGATATTATATTCATTCCTTTGAAAAAAATATTAAAACGGAAACCATTTTGGTTGAACTTACGTGTCTTAAGCTAAAAATCTAAGAAATGCACATTATGACCTCTCCTCTCAACAGGGGAGACAAGGCTGGCTTTTCATCTGGCTTCCATGCTGTTCCACTGCTTAGTGGAAGACCTCTGTAGCCTTTCAGGCCCACTTAAATTTTATTACGGAAAAGCAAACTTATAAACAGCTTTGCCAAATTAGAAGTATGGCTGAATCTTGGCAGCACTAAAAATAACTTCATTCAAAACCATCAATACAGAACTGCACTAAATTAAAGGAGAAAGTCATCTGAGAGTAGCCATAAGAGAGGCAAAAATAAAACATTAAGGTTTTATTCAATGCCTTCAATGCCATCAGGTGGCATTGAAGGTTTCAGATCTTGAACACTAAGCGTGATGTGATAAAACAGGAAGTACATCTAACACAATGTATTAAGCTGTGAACGTAAATGGATGGCAGCAATTTCAACAACTGTTCATTAAACTGTCTTAAGACTGCAGTAGAACTGAATATAAAAAAAAAAGCAGCTTTATAAACAAACTCAAGATATTAAAGAAGTATTTTCTCACCAACAGAGTGCTTTCACAGTGAACATGACTGTAGGATTTTCTGTGACTTGCAAGAGGAAATGTGAAATATTTTCCATCAGAATCCTTAAAGGAAAAAAAAAAAAGAAATGCTCACCAGTAAAAAAAAAAAATAAAGGTAAGAACACAAGGTGGGAAAAAAAGTTACTTACATTGTAAACTGAGTAAGTCCATTTTGAGGCTTTGACTGTAATCCACGTGAAAGTTCCTAAAAATAAATGGTTTTATATGCCACACTGCAGGAAGTATTCTCCTTATTTCAAAAAATCTTATCTTTTACTTATAACCAAGGTCTTTTCTCTTACCTGTAAATGGCCATAAACTTTACAAGCTTTAATCATCACTCAGGATTGTTCCTGTTTAGAATTATATGCAACAGCTATCACCGGTTACCCAAGAAACAGCAAAACCCTGGGATCCATTATAATTACTATATATTCACTGTGAAATAAAAGCTTTATGGATCTTGAAATAAAGCTTTCAAGGCAACAAAATGAATCAATATCTGTATGGTATTAATGTAATTACAGGGTGGCCAATTAAAGCTGAGGAAACATTAGAAACAGAACATTAGAATCTCTGTTCCTGCCTTTCAAGAAAATACAGAAACTTGTGTAGAATCAAGTCCATGATGAAGTGAATACCATGTACAAGAAAAGAGTAGCAGTTTAAAGGTGTGTCTGGAGAAAAAAAGAGTAAGAGAAAAAATGAAGATATGAGAGATATCAACAATGCAAGTTATCATGCAAGAAAGTTTGAATCTTCTATATAACTATAGTAACAAGTTCATCACAGAAATTTAGCTAAGTGTCAGGAAGTCACCACAAATAGGAAGATGCAAACATGAAATCTAATTTAAATCTTTTCCTCTTTATTGCTAAAACCTGACCAAGTAAAAAGACAAACAAACAAGAAAGTCAGTTCCACAACCTCTTTGGGCACCTGTTCCAGTGTATGACCCCCGCTCCTGGTGGTCAAACCAGCCAGGAAAGTGGCTGGGGTTTCTTAGGAAAAATATCTAATTGAAATTTCTTTTGTTGTAACTGGACTCTACTGCTTGTATGTTATCACTCTGCAGCCTCACCTCTGCAATCCTTCATTAGGTAGTTGAAGACAGCAATAGGATCCCCCTCAGCATTCTCCTTAGCATGAAAAACCCAGTTCAATCAGCCTCTCTCCCTCATGTCCTATGCGCAAGAGCTAACCTTTTTGGTGGGAATCTGCTCCATACTCACTTCAATGCCTAAATGCCTTCTCATATGGGGACAGCCAAAACAGGGCACTGAAGTTCAAGCTACCTTAGTAGCTCTGCAACAGCTTACATTAAGAAAATTCTTGAAATAAAATGGCTTTCATAAAATGGTTCAGCCCACTTCAACAAAACTGAGAACACAGCCATGCTCCACAAAAGTTCTGGTTTGTTCCTAAGACTTCATGCAGTCAAATTTCACACCTTTAACGACGCATTCTTAGCACAAGGAAACCATTTGTGTGCAGTCCATTTTACCCTGCCATGTCATGAAAAAAAAGGAAGATTAAGCAGATCCGAATATTCAGGATTTCCACGAGTAGCACAGAACTAACACAATGGCTCTACAACACCCATATTATCCCTCTCACAGTCATGGGATATAAGCATTAGACTGTACTTTTGACATCCAGCTATTCCCATATTCTGAGATTCTCTACTGAACACCCTGATGTAAATATGACTCCAGCTTGTCTCTCATCATATAAAAATGACAGATTTTCATGTGCTGAAACCACACAAAAGCTCACAGTTTGGGTCTATAACCCATATGTAATTTTAACAATGTCTGAAGAAAGACAAAATGTATTCCAGATGTTTGTCAGTAAGAAGATGTAACTATTAACAAACAAGTGTCACTGAACCCTGTTCAAAAGAAAAACAGGTGCTCACCTATGAGTTCTGTAAAAGCTTCAGGATTTTCCTCAAATATCTTGGCAGGATGTCTCACAAAGTGGTGATTCAGTACAGACATCCTCTTCTTGGGATCCTCAGTTATCTAAAAAATAGTAAAATAAAATTTGAGAACATGCTTATTTGTAAGTATTGTTAAATGACATGATCATAGCTAACAATACAGTTTTGGGGATGAAAGGCAGGAACAATTGCTACAAGACATGGTATATTTTCTATTCCAAATTCAACAATCAAAATCGTGAAGTGCCATCAGTAGTCAATCACTGCAATACAGAAAGTCTAAACATGTTACTGGAAATATTATCTATTATATATCATGTTATATATTATTTATTATATATGTAATTAACATTCTATAACATGTTATAAAGCATAGCTGAAACTTTTAGGAGTTTTATATGCTTGCCTACTCTTAACACAGGGAAACCATTCTACCATACTTTTCTTATAGACGCACATGCATTCTTCCTGAAATAACATTTATACCAGAGTTTAGGGAAAATCCTCAGTTATATTTAGTAGCCTGAATTCACAAATCCAGCTTATTACATCACACCTTAACATTTCAAGCATCCAAACAGCTGTAGCACTACAGTGGGATTTGCCTTTGTTTGGGGTTGTTTTATTTGTTTGGGGTTTTTTGGGGGGGTGGTGGTATTCAAAATAAAATTTCCAGGACTGATTTTTGCCCATTCACCTTTTCAGAATTGTGACATTACAACTGATTTCTGAAGTTTTACCCTCCAGCACTTTGTCAGTCAACTCCGGAACAACTGTACCCCCTTCCTGTCTCTTTAAATCGCATGTTAGAGTGGATACACCTAGGAAACGAGATAAGTCAGCCTCAAATTGCCTCAAAAAGAACACTTGGGAGCCTTTCTCTTCTATGTCTGGGGCTCTGCTGTTACATATTTTCAACTTCTTGGACCTTAATTCCAATTCATGTTGAGTGCTTCATAACATCTCAGGAAGAACAGAGTATAATGGCAGATCTCTCCAACAGTTTTCAAAAGGTAAGATGCAGGGTATTTATTTAGAAAAGCAGTAAATAATGGTACCTGAAGGTAAACAGATATGCTAGTATTTTACTTGCATTCTATTTTTAGAAATGCTATTTGCAGAAGAACACCGCAAATGCATGCTGGCCAATATGCTAACACCACACGGCGAGAATTATTATGTCCCAGTTAAACTATCACAGTTTTGCACTCTTTATAGTCAGAGAAGGTAACTTGAACACACATTGAGAGGTCATTCAAAGCTACACAGTAGCAAAATCTATTTATCAGGGTGCAAGGTCAACTAAACCTGCTGCATTACGGAAGTGTAAGCCATGCTCCAGCTATAAAGCATCAAGCAGTGAACAATAAAAACTGAGTTAATAACCTAGTTATTTTTGACACATTGGTGAAACAACACAAACCCACAGGATTTGTCAGTGACTGGTATAAAACAGCAATAATTTTCTCAGCATGACTCAAAATAATCAAAAAGGAGTTTTCTGTAGAGTAGGGTAATGTTTGTCCTGATTAAGCATTCAGGAATGGAAGTAGAAAGTGTGATGGGGGAATACACAAGAGATCACATGTACAAACCTGCCTTGTATTTTCATCTATGAGATCAAAAAAAGCTCTAATGGTAGCCAGGATCAATTCTTTGCACCTACAAGACAGAATAAGCAAAGTTAAATCCAGAAAGGAAATACCCAGGGGAATGAAAGTAGTCAGAAGAGATGCTGCAGTAACATTATGCTGAATTTAAATTATCATATAATGTGATAACAGTAGAGAAAAGAGGGATGGACAGACAGCTGATTAACCTTTGTCATTAGCTTACCACACTATGGAGAGATGGTCTGTTGAGGCCCAAGCTCTAGGCACAGCTGAGCTCTGTTTGGGAAAGGAAAGGAGTGCAGATTTTGTTAGTATTCAACATTTTAAAATTCTAAGCAAGCCTTTCCCCTCCCTGTTTAAACATATTTGCGTAATTGTTAAAAAGAATAATGTTTATCTGAAGCATTTCAGGGACTTGGGTGTAATACAATGACTTCTTCAGTCAAAAATCTTACAAGTGCTAAAGCAGTTGAAAACAGAACTTGTAATACAAAATGACCAAGTTATCTATGTTATATAGCAGACACTACAGTGAAAGGGCAAATAATGGTGTGAAGGAAACTTACCAAAAATTTCTTTAAAGACAGTTTCTATGACTAATCTTACTATTTTAGTAAGTTATCCTGGCACATAGGATAGAAAGCTGCTGCTGAAAAATCAAGGGCATTCTCAACAGAAAGCAGCATCAGAACATCATGCAGAAAGAACTGGGCAGTTGGAAGCTATTCCTTTGTATAAGTGTATTACATGTATTGCATTTTAGGGACTAATAATATCAAAAATGCCTCCCATAAATGGAGCTCATCACCTAGTTGTACAACTTGATTTAAGTATGCTATGAACTATTAATGCATTACATTTGGGGAGAAAAAAGGCAAACCAAAGCAACACCCAAACTAAACAAAAAAAAATCACCAAAAAATCCCCAAGCCAAAAAACCCCAAACCAAACCCACACAAGAAAAAACTGGTACCACAGCATGAGCAAGATCTCATGCAAAATTCTGGCACCAATACTCAATGAAAATGAAAGTAAAGCAGATGTAGGGAATGGATACTAGGACAAAGGGAATGCAGAGTTAATCTTCTTAGTGTAGCAGGATCAGAGCTGGGGCTATTTATAGACAGTTTTCTGTACGACGGACAGGGAGGTAAACACTAAGGGAATGCAACTATTTTGGACAACATTTCAAGCTGATGTCAGAGCAAATGCAATTAAGAACTGGCTTTTGTGCAGTAAATGGAAGTTGGAAATTAAACATTTTCTCCCTAGTGGGGACTGTTTTCCAGCTTCTCCCAAGTAAGGAACAGGTTGATGGCAATGGGGAGGAATGACAAACCTAACTACTTTAATTTTGGAAGGAGATAGATGCCTGCAAAAGCAGAAGACTGGACTTGATGATCCAGTACATCCTTTCTATTCCTCAGTTCTTTGAAAAGCAATAAATACAAAAAGAAGTCCCTAAACCAAAGCTCTCTTTTTATAGCCAAACAGTTTTTCTGTACTGCACATCTGTTAGTCTCCATATACACATCTCTTGCAAAAATGCTGGAAAATGAAACCTGAGTTCTGGATCTGGCCAGGTGCAAGAAGGTGGTGAGAAGAAACAATACCAAGTGGTAGATGATTCAGATCAACCCCAACACATACTCTTACAAGTGGACACTCATACTGCATCAACTAGTTCTGATTTTATAACCAACCATCTACTCTCAGGCTTTATATTTAGTTATCCTATCCTGCATATACAGACTATAATTATACACCAATACATGCATTACATAAATAACTATTTAACACAGCTCCATGCAAACCCCCAAAAGTAGTCTGCTTTTTTACCACAACAGATAAGGCACTGTCATGTTGACTCGATCTTGGTAGAAAAGCCAGTCCTGAACGAACTTGGTAATCTCTGAATCCTCCCGCCACAGAAAGGGTAGTTAAATTTCTTAACTCTTGGGCCTTTAGAATCCAATGATTGTTTACAGATGTATAAAAATCTATAAAATATATTGAAATAAATCACAATTTCCCCATAAGTCTATTTGATACACAAAAAAGCTATCTAAACGTTTAACTAAAAGTTTCTGTAAGCCCCCCTTAGAGGCATTCAAGCTCTGATTATCACTTTTGAGTCACATAAGGAAGGAAAATTATTATTTTAACCCCAAGGAGGTAGCAGTTATGAAAGCCAGATATGCTTACGCTTTCTGTGTCAGCTGAGCACATATACTGTTACAGTAGCAAGCCATAGATAAATTTGAAGGACAGCCACAGTCCAGAAAGAGTCAGCAAGGAAGAAGCACTGCATTGCAATCAATTGTAGGAAAATTAACATAAGCATAATAAAACAAATTCAGCAGCTAAAGATAATCCATTCCTCTCAGGTGCCACAGAGAGTAATGAAAATAAATGTGTATTCCCTTTCCTCCACCAATTACCTAAACATCTACATGCAGCAGTACAATTATCACAGAGCACATATTACATCAGCATAGTTTAGACAAATTTAGCTTTTCAAGAAGTGTATAGTACCTGCATAATGACAATACTGTGGTATGTTTTTTTATGCCACAGCTATTTAAGTGAGCAGAAAATACAATCCATCTTTTGTGTAAATAAACCTCATAAAATATATAGATAGATCTATATTTAATATTCACACCCCTCAAACTTTGGCCATGACAAACATTAAATTGAGCAACTTCTACTGAAATCATGCTATTGAGGCAACTCAGTTGATAAAGATGCCACTGGAGTCAGGGTTTACAAAACAGAAAGAAAAAACATCACTCACTGGAGAGCTTAGAAACTTAGTTACATGCTCTGCAACTCAGTATAATTACAAATTATTGAGAGTTCCAGAAGCTCAAGTCCCCATAATCCATTTTTTATCACTTTACTTTCTCCCAGCATCCCAGGCTCTCAACCAACCACCTGAGTAACAAAGGAACAGATTACAGTAAACTAAACAGCACCTTTTGCTGTTGATCTGCAAGAATCCCATCTATTAATGCTTGAGATGCTCAACAAAGAAATACAACGTAATTAGGTAACCTGCAATACTTACCAGTAAGATATCTGTCCAAAGGCATTACAGGTGCAACATGAGGTGTGGCTTGTGTAATAAGGAGGTTTATAAGTTCAGGCTTAAAATTCTTCAGAGTAAGCAATGCCCTTGCAACAAGACCACCCATGGAATGACCTACTATTGCAACACTGCTTGGTGCAAATTCTCGATCCTTAAGCAAAGAGCAACAACACATCACAAACAGATCTGACACTGAACTATGGTGATACATTTTTTTGCAATAATTCACTCATGTTCTCTCAAGGATAATATCAACTAGTATCAAACTGATGAGTTTACAAACTGAATACAAATTTATTTGCTGTCTCAAAAAAGCATGCTTAACATGAAGTTTGCATCTCAAAAGGAAATATATAGCCTGTGCATACATAAGCAATTTAGGCTTATTTTAATTTCTGAGAGTCTTGGGCACATAGAATATCAAAGAACTTTCCTACAGAAAAGAGCAAGGATCGTGATGCTGTATGAGTATTTTAATAAGCAAAGGAAAGATAACATCTCTTCTACAAAAAAAGCATACATTGTGCATGGAAGTATTTCTTTAGAAACATAGTGCAGACCCTAACCAAAGCTCTGGGGCTGTCACATGTATTAAAAATCTACTAAAGAACAGCAATTTTCTGTTGCATTATTATCACATTCAATTATCTATACACATTATAAAGTCTCCTTCCTTTATTCATCATTCAGTTTTCCAGCAGAAGAGACAGCCAGAATTCCATTCCCAGATGCAAGTACATCATTCAGCATACATCACGTACTTACCTTGTACAACTTAAGAATTACTTTTATGCATTCATGCACAAACTTGGTCTGTCGTTGCAGACTACCACCGTACAATGCAACCAATTCCTCATTAAAGTTGACGCTGAAGAAATTAAAATGATACTTGAAGTCAACATCTTCTGCTTTTCTAAGTGCAATGGAGCCAAGAGAACGTACTAGGAAAAGAAACCACATCAATTAGAATAGTCTAATACTCGCTGCTTTCACCATCATAGACAAAACACACAAATATATCATCTATGAAGAGACAAATGTTACCTTAAACACATTATTCATAAATAACTTGAGATGAAAGAGACATCTAAAAGCAAATAAACTCTTTTCTCACGTGCAACCACATTTGTTTTACAAAAGCAGATTTGAAAATACAAATAATTAGATAAAAAGTATCAGCCAGTCACTGTCAGAACTGAATTGTAAAATGGGAAAAGATATACTTATTTCCTATTCTCATAGGAATCCCTCTGATTAAAAAAAAAAATAAACATATCTTAACAAGATCTTACAGAAGAATGTGGAAAAGCAAAAACTTATCAGATGAAAAGAAAGTTTAAAATGAGTTACCAAGAGTTGCATGCTATGCTTTTATGGCAGTTAACCACTACCTTACCACTGACTACAGAGATATTTTGTATCAAAACAACATTTATACAAGATCAAGGATTATGTTCTTCCACCTGAGCCTTGCTTTTCTCATCTCATTTGCACCTTTCTTAGCATCGGTAGGACAAGAAGGTGAAATGAGCATTCTTGACTTCAACTCCAGAGGCACTGCTACTGCTAAACTTTTTTCAAATTCCCTTGAAGACTAAGACAATATTCCCAAATACTACTGAGATGTATAGACAATTGGAAAACCAAACCCTGCCTGATGTATAGAGGACTGGAAAACCAAACTTTCCCACCTGAAACCTTGAGGGAGAAAATCAGGTTTACAGGTTCTTGCTTCTGACCCATCCTGTCCATCTAACCCTGCCTGCTATTTAATACCACCTTCTGAGTGCAGAATTGTCCCTGAGTTTCCATGGAGACATTGCAGGATGGGAACAGTAACAGCTGCAAATAAAAAAGCATGGTAGGGAAATAAAAAAATGAAAGAAAGTCCCCAAAAACAAGTATATAAAATAACTAATGATGGCCAGAAAGGTCTGCCCAAATCTGGCACACAGAAGCAAGGTTATTCTAGAGTGCAATAGTTTCAGCAATCTGCAGGTTGCAGAATCCTCCTTCTTGGAAAAGTTTGCTCTAGAAAGTAATGTATCAAACAAATATCAGTGAATCTCATGAAATGGGAAAATAATATTTTTGAAATATTTTATATGTTCAAGAACCCAAACAGATTTCATGGTATTATACATCTGATTCATGGTCAATCATTTCACCAATTCTAACTATACCTAATAAGCAATAAAAACACTTTCAAAATGCTTTGAAAAAGACAAAAAGTGTTTAAAAGATCAAATATCTTATCACGTATTTATACCTTGGGGATCATGGTAAAACAAACAAGAATACTGCCAAAGACCACAAGGCAAATGTGTGACAGATTCCTAAACAGAACTGGGATCTCAGTTCTCCTAACCTCAGGCTTGTTCCCAACAATTAACCCAGACCACCATCTTCTACTCCAAGTCTGAATTTTGTACATTTTAAAAGGTTCATTTTAATGCACAGGAAAGATGATGAACTAATATCTTTCAAAAGTGCCTGTAACATACAAAAACCTCCTGAAAGGAAGTTGTAGCAAGGTGGGTGTTGGTCTCTTCTCCCAGGTAACAAGCAAGAGGACAAGAGAAAATGGCCTCAAATCATGCCAGGGGAGGTTTAGACTGGATATTAGGAAAAAATTTCTTCACAGAAAGGGTTGTCAGCCATTGGAACAGGCTGTCCAGAGACTAACTGCTCCTGGAGGTATTTCAGTGACTTACAGATGTGGCGCCCATGGACATGGTGGACTTGGCAGCATTAGGTTTATGTTTGGACTCAAGATTCTTAAAGGTCATTTCCAACCTAAATGAGTCTATGATTCTATGAAAATAATGATCCCAGCAAAGGTGGCAGCAGCAGCACTTCTCTCTTCAGTGCTCAGCAAATATTCACAGCTTTTAAGAAACTATGACAAGAACAGCAGCAACACTTTCTTTGCTCGTCCAGGTATCAGATTGAGAGCGTTATCCCACAATAAATTCTGAACAAAATATACATTTTCATGAATTCCATAATAAAACAGAAACTATTCTGAGCCACTGATTAAGGCAAAAAATTTAACAAAGATTTTGAAAAATACATATATGACTTATTGCCAGTCTCCCCAAAGCAATTTCTCAAAGCATTCAAATATTCACTGATTCTTTCCACACATTATATCCACAGCATGTAGTACTTCTACTCACCCAGTTTAGGTTTTTATTCAGATAGTTCCTTTTGATTCCTAACATGCCTTGAAAGTACCATTCTATTTCCTGCATAGTGACGTGCTGCTGTGTTTACAGAGACAGCGTTAATTCACAGATCTGCAATATTTTATGCACAACTACAAAAGTCCATATGGCATCCTTCATAATCATTATGTTTGCAGTCTTCTTTGGATGCTGTTGGGCCTGCATGGGTTTTCTGAAAGTCTGAGTTGGTAAAATATTTTACTTTGTCATAAGCTAAGCGAGTGTGTTCCTAAAGAAAATAATTTTGCAAAGTTTCCCTGAAATAAGCTAATCATCAAGCTTAGTGCAAATATGAGGAAGAATCATCACAGTAAGACATCAGGATTTAGATTGTGGTGGTTTCCCCCATTCATACACATTAACTTTACTAACATCCTAGGAGTGTCACTAAGAGTGTTACTTTTTCAAAGGCCATTTTAGAAAACAAAAATAACAGTCTGACAAAGCCAGCCTGGAAGGAATCCTGTATACCTAAATAAACACTTAAACACAACACTTCTTGTTATCAAACTATTAATTTCTGTATTTACAATGAAAAATTAAAATTCTTTAAAACAATTAGTTCTTTTCATTTGGAGCATTGAAGTGTAATAGGGTATAACCTGAAAAACAATAGCAGGTTGTGTGTAAAGTAGGAAGGTGATGCTAAGGAAAAAACACCACTACATAAAGAAGTAGGAAATAATGAAGCTACAGGGCAAGCCACAAGATAATGCCTATTTCAATAGCATGTAGTTACTCAACATCACAGATGGTACCTTGTTCAGTTTCTTCTAATCAAATTCAGGTCTTTTTTTATTTAGCATAACTGCTCTAAGCATGTTCAAATCAAAACCAATTAGATGTTTGTAAGCAAAATTACAGCAGGGGTGCTATAGTACGGCACAAACTGTAGTGCTTCTGGCTTGCCCAAGTTAAAGTCTCACTCCAGAAAAATATTATACCTCAAGTGTTCGACTGATTTCAAACCAAAAATAACCTATTTTGACTGCTTGAAATTAACTATCGACTAACTAGGATATCTACATCTTAACAGGACTGATCATCCTGACTTGATATTATTCCAAATAGAAAACCTTTTGCCACTAATGCATCAATATGAGACCTCTTCATAACTTACCTGTAACTCAGCTAAACACTTACCTTGTTTGTAACTGCCAGCATTCCCAGGAAGAAAAAGAACTGGAATTCCTGTCAGGAGGAGATTTTTGTTTTCTTTGGCGTAGTTCCCTTCCCCATAGAGATACAGCTCATATGCTGGGTATCGTCTGGCCGTTTTCTTGGGTAATTTTATTTTCTGTTGCAAAAGTTAAAAAGAAAACAAATATCTCTTATTTTGTTGCCAACAAGAAAACAGTGTCTATCCAGTCATTTAAATGATGTGGCTTATGTTTCATATATTGTTTTAAATTACAGTCTAAAGAATACAGAATGAAAACTGGGTTTTGCTTTTAAAAAAAAAACCCATAAAGTATTTTAAGTAGGTATTACTGTGCATAATGACTTGCTGCAGTTATTTATTTTAAACAGCTATTGACTTTGCCTAGCTTTGAAACAAACTACAAATAATGCATTTCTGTATCTTTAAAGATGCACATTCACAAAGTAAATCCAGGGGGAATTCCAGGGGGAAAGCATGTCCAAACCTGATTACTTCTCCCAGAACATTAGAATCTGGGACCAGAAACTGGGGCATGTGAGTGATCCTAATGCACATGAACAGGTCTGGAATCCTTTCCAATACCATGTAACTCCAAACAAGGATGTGCCACTGTGCCTGATACCAAAGATAAATCTTGAGAATAGGGGTGCGTAGGCGACTGTCAGATGACAACTCTTATGTCAGGGTAAATTACAGATGTGGTACGAGCTCCCTTAGATGATTTTAAGAGATGTAACCTGCAATGGGAATTTAAACCACCTTAATATGGCTAGCAAGAAAAAACTAAACCCATGATACTTAAGGGGCTTGGTTTTGTTGTGGTTTTCAGAGTCAGTTTTGTGGCATAGTGACAACCACCTGATTTTGTAACAACTCAGGATCCAACTTACACAGTCAATTGCCATCTTAAAGGCGACCATATTTCTTGTATTAAAACAAAGAAGACAACAACTAACCACCCAAGCTATCACAGAACTTACTCTAAAAGAGAAAAGAACAAAATCTTTTTGAGCCAGAGAGCTAGGTGATCATTAAGTCTTAGACCTGTATGTTATGACTCTTAGAGGCAAATCATACTTCTTTAAGCCAAATAAGTGGTAAACAGGAAACCACTTAACTCCTGTATGGAGGTTGGCTGGTTTATAATTCTGAGTTTGTAAGACATGGAATGTTAAAAATTCTAAGAATGCAAATACACCTGCTATAGCATTTGATTGTTTATGTCACAACAATTAAGAGATAAATAAGATCATTAAAATAAATCTATTAAGACATAATTTGTATTAAGGAAACACTATTTTATGGAATAAGGTCAAAACTAAACTCAGTTTTGCATCAGAAATCTTCTCTAAAGTCCCTCAGAGATGCTTCTATTTCAAGCAAGCAATTATTTCACGTATTTCAGTTGTTTCTCTCAATTGCATCTACAATAAAGGCAATTTTGCTTTATTTCCCTGCCCATGCACATGCTTTCTCTTCCCCTATTCTTCTCTGTCTCCCCTCAGCTAAAGACTACTTCCTTTCACTCTTAGCCTTCAAAATGTTTGCCATATTAGTTATTTGGAACCTCTTCTTATGATGTTTGATATATATATTTAAAATGCATACTCTACAATATATATAAACATATTTTATAATATTATGTAACATATTATAACAAAATACTCAGAGAGCATGTTTAATTCCTTCATTGTGAACAAAAAACATTAAGCTTTTCTCAGCACTTATGTCTTCAGATCATCCTTTCAATGTTCTTTCCCTTTTCTCCATCATGTCGCCTTTGCAACTTCACTGAACTCAATGTCCCTTTCTCATTCCTTTCTACTGTTCCTTTTTCAACAGCTTTCAAAATTATGTGAAGAAAAAAACCCCACAAAACCAATTTTAAATTAATCAGTTTCCATCACTAAACTACATGCTATCAAGATACATTTATATGACTTCACAGTATCACAGTATCACAGTATCACAGTATGTTAGAGATTGGAAGGGACCTCAAAAGATCATCTAGTCCAATCCCCCTGCCGGAGCAGGAACACCTAGATAAGGTTACACAGGAATGTGTCCAGGCGGGTTTTGAATGTCTCCAAAGAAGGAGATTCCACAACCTCCCTGGGCAGCCTGTTCCAGTGTTCCGTCACCCTCACTGAGAAGAAGTTTCTTCTCAGGTTTAAGTGGAACCTCTTGTGCTCCAATTTGTACCCATTACCCCTTGTCCTTTCATTGTTTGACTTCCTGGCAGATCAAATCAACTGCTCTTCTACAGTATCTTCCTGGTTCATTCTCTTCTAAAAAACTTTTATGGAACATACAATTAACGAGCTCCCCTTCTTCAGTTCAGTGTTGAAACCTAAAATCTACACAACCCATGAGAATTGTATCACCAAAATACTGGGGAGGGGAAGTGTCAGTAAACTGAAGGAAACTGCATAACTCTGAAGGAAAAGAGAAGTTCATGTTCCATAACAATGGTTTTAAAATCCAAATTCCACGACATTCCTTATCTAATTGGTTGTAATGAGCTACAGTAACTTTTTACAATGTCAATGTAGGCTTCATTTTTCATCATGGTTCCTAGAGAAATTAGGCTTAGATGAAAAAGTCCTCATTACTAACTTCCAAATCTCTTACCAAATATAGCTGAAAAGGACAAGGGTAGGCTAAACTCAAACACTGCAATTCAACAACTCACACAATAAAAGATGGTTAAACTTATTCCACTACTTAGTATTAGCTTGACTGCGAGCCAAGCCACACTGTTAGACACAAAAGAATTGAAACTTTCAACGTTTAATTGCTCAAATAGCTGTTTTGCAATGTGATACCCAATCTGGAAGGGGAAACAGGTACTTTTCCCTTTAAATTCCTACAATTGAGAAACAATACAGCCAGCTGGGACTTCTATTTCCTGCATGGAATTACCACTTCCCCTTGCATCTCCTATCAGCACAGTGCTTTACCTAAAGATGCTTAGAACTTATGCCCCAATATGTATACACAAAAGAAGTGTGGCAGCAGATAAGAACTTCAGGCAACCACCAATAACATGACATAGATTTTGCTAGTAACTTTCTGCTGGTTGGCTTCAAGATTGAAACTGAAACAGGTTTTGGCTGCAAGATCTGAGAACTTACCACACAGTATTTAAGTATTTACAGCCGCTTAGCCAATTCTGCCCTACAGCACTGACAAAACCCTTGTAGCTATTCCAAGGGTCTCTTTTGTAGGCTAACAAGACTGTGTCAAGGTTAACAAATGAAGGTTAATAGACCCCAAAATTAACTGTCTGCTTCATGACAAATTTAGGTAGTAAGGCTTTCCTTTAAGATCTTTACTGTTCAAGCCAGCTTGCAGCCTATTTCATAACAGAATATTATTTAGAATAATTAGATTATGTCCTAGATAATGCTAAATGAATGTCTGAGAGCCACGAAATTATGCTTTGGGAAGCTTCTCATAGGGCAGAAAATCCTGTACTAAGAACTACTGTTAAAAAAGATTAACTGTTTTTCAGCAACTACATGCAGTATTAGCAATAAGCCTACATACACTCACACACATCCTCCCCCTCTTAAACCCTAACGCTGTGTCTGGAAAACAAGAGTTCCGTCAGCAGTCTTCTCTCTCAGGCTGATCCGAGGTTTTCAGAGGTTTCTAAAAGGCTTCAGCAGTGAAGCGAGAGGAACTTCAGAGAGATTTACACGTTCTCCCATACATCATAGGATGTGCCATCTACAAAGCGCTCACTGAGAAGACTTTGTGCTGCTGTTCACTAGCTTGAGAAATACCCTCATATTTGCATCCCAGTGATTCACCAGTGGTTGCTTCACTGTTCTAAAGTGACAAAAAGGACCAGGAAGTACAAGACTGCCTCCCGGTCAGCGACAGCTCTGAGAGCTGTCAGGGACCTAGCCCTGCCGATCCCGCCTTTGCCAATGATTGTATGAGCTTTTGACTGCTTTTATCAGACTACAGATAGCTGCGGGCATTTACAGGTTAGAAAAGCGGAAGCTTTTCTATTCATTTTCTGTTGTACAGGTGGCGGTACGAAACACCTCAGTTACTTCACAGGCATACCACCGCTTCTCCCTGCTGTACCTATCCAAGGTGCACCCGTACAGGAGGGCAGTCAAGGCAGCGCTTTCTGCCAAACACACCGGCCCCTCAAACGAGACACTGCTATTTGTGCCCCATTTACAGCTCTGCAGAGGCCGCCTCAGCAACTTCGCACCCCCCAGAGTTCAGGGAGCATCCGCAGCCGGGCGCGTTCAGGGCTGTTCCTCGCCCTGAGGTAGAGCAAGGCAGTGGAAGCCAGCCCCGAGAGGGCTGCGCCTCATACAGGCGGCTCTCGGCCGCAGCGAGGCGGGCGGTGACGCCCCAGCGTCTGCGGGGCCGCCCAGCGGCAGCACCCCGGGAGCGGCGGGAGCTCCCACCTGTTATAGCGCCGCCCGCCGCCGCTCTCACTCACCAGGTACTCGGGGTACTCGTACATGTAGGTCATGCTGCACCGGTTCTCCTCGTAGACCAACAGCACTTCCCGCACGCCCAGCAGCACCAGCGCTGCCAGTGCCCCGTAGAAGAGCGCTGCCAACGCGGGCAGCCGGCGTCCCGCCCGCCCCATGGCGCCCCGCCGCGCTGAGGTGAGAAGCCCTCCTCCCCACCCGGGCTGTCCGCGCACACGGGCACGGCGGGGAGGGGCGGGAGCGCCACCGCCCGGGAGGCGGGGCGGGGCGGGGCGGGCCGGCCGGCGCCTCAACCTGGCCACCGGCGGGAGCGGGAGGCCGCCATATTGAAGAGGTCCGGTGATTGTTCAGCCGCTGCTCCGCCAGGCTGAAGGGGACTGTCCGCCATGTCATGGCAGCCATCACGGGGAGGTCAGGAGCCTACCTACAGGCTTCCCCCATCCGGTAGGTTGTGGAGGGACGGCGTGTCCGCCATGATAGGGAGGTCGAGTCATCGGACTGCTGCTGCAGTGCGCCTGCTTAGTCCGGCTGCTGCTGAAAGGATCCCTCCCGGCCTGAGGGCCGTGAAGAGACTCCTTCTCCTCGGCCCCCTCCACAGCCGGCCGGGCCTCAGGCGGCCGCTGCTTGTAGCCATTTGCGGCCTCCAAAATGCCCCCCAGATGTCTGGGGGGGGGGGTCGCGGTGCTGACAGGAGCGAGGGTGGGGAACTTGCTGCGATTCGTGCCCCCTACTCAGGTGCTTTTACGGCTCCTGGCCTGTTACCAGTTAAAACATCCGTAAATCTTCAACGTACAAAAGACGTTATTGATGGTGGTTGGTGGTTTGTTTGCTTGCTTTAAACAACCTATATACCTTTAGTATCTTTAGGAATTCTTTGCTGGATTTTAGTCTGTGGGGGACTACTATCACGATGCACCCACGACTGCTAGCGTTGCTCACCAACGAAAGTGTCCAGTAAAAGTAACTGACAAAAAATGTTACTGATTTTTGTAAGGGATACAATTATGATTTCGTGTCAGCAGCTTAGAAACCCTTGTAAGCATTGCACTTAGTATAAGAAGAAAGAAATAATGTAATAATCATTTTTTTACATTAGTTAAGTACCATAAGAATTATATTGTAAAATTCTGAACACTTTGTAAACTTTAGAATATTGCCTAAAGGGAAACAGCTGTAACCCCCAATATATGCTTATGCAAGACTGTAATCACAATATATAGGAACTAAGTCTTAAGCAACTAACGGTCACAAGATAAGGAAGAAGAATGATAAGGAAGAAGAATGAAGAGCAATCTTCAAGAAAGCAGAATAAGCAAGAAAACAGATAAGGACCTTAATAACAGGATACCATAGACTCAGACAATACCCTAACAGGATTATGCAGGATGTAAAGAGCACAGATACCAGATGTGATAATGTATAAAAGAGTAAAACCCAAAAGAGACAGTGTGCGTTGCTGGTGGAGTGAAGGCTCCCCTGCGCACCCAGCGCTGCTTGCTTATTGCCTCTCAATAAATTGTAAATAAATTAAATTTGGACCAAAACCCGGTCTATGCTAAATTTTTATAACAATTTGAAGGTTTTTGTATTTGTGTTTTGGGATTTTTTTTCAGTTACAGAGGAAGCCATACTAACAGGGGCTTACTAAGACAAAGGGTAGTTACGTATGAGGGAAGTACAAACCAGAAAAACACAGTTGCGTTTTCAACTTCTTCAATTCTTAAGCCTTTCCCCATCCTTTAAAAGAAGCAAAGTCTACTCAGTTTTCCAACAGTATTTGTACCATTTTTATTTGTAAAAATAACCATCTGAATGCATTGCAATAATAGTTTACAGTTAGGGTTCTTCATTACATTAATAGAGCATTCAGTAGTTGAAAAAGTTACTTAAATGTGCTTGAGAAGATTCAGATTGAACTCCAAGTCATTCAGTGAATTGAGTCTTTTTTTCTCATTTCAAATGTGACATTTACCCAAGTCCTTACACTTCAATTTACAAAAGCAAACAATACCGACAAAACCCCACTGAAACCATCAAACAATATTTTATATTGTTTATTACAAATGTTATGCAAAATATAACACTGGCACCAGATCGTTTCACCATGGTTTGTAAAGATATATTGCACATGCTAAAGCATAAAATATAAGACAAAACCTACAAAACATAAGATATTGGCTTTAATATGTAGATCACTGCATAAGAAACGCATAAAATTACATTTTATACACACACTCAAGATTGTCACTAGTTTTAAACGCCCTTTCCTATAACACTGACCTAAGGTTTACTTTTTGTGTAATAAGAAAGCATTTTCAGCACTGCAAAAAATTATACATTATTCCTATAGAAATTTAGCATATTAATTTTCATTTCAATGCAGGTAGAACATATGAAAAGAAACACTTTATACATTCAAAGAAGGTCTGAAATGAAAATTTACTGGTAATATATTGCTTTTATAACACTCAAAAAAAAAAGGAGACAAGTTTCACAAAACATTTCCATATTACACAAATATAAAAAGGCACTCTAATATTCCTTACATGACTAAGAATAAAAATCACAATTTTTTTCTTTTAAAATCATCCTCAAGATACATAACCAAGTTTCTCAACAGTACAATGGATAAACAATTCATTTCATGTGTTTGTTCTAACTCAATAATCTGGCAGTTATTTACTGCATAAAAGTACCAAACACATTACGGTGCCCTTTTAATAGCGATGAACAGAAATCCCCTGAGCTATTTCACAGCAATTTCAGGCAGTCCAGAGGTTGTAACTCAGTATTTATGAGAGAGACTTGGGACCCCATCCTGCTATGGATTCCACCTGCAGCTGTGATTAAAACACAGGATGAAACGATCCTGCTAATACACCTGGGCAGATGGCTGTGCCTCCCCAAATACCCTTTGCTTGGTGCAGACACATAAGTTGTCCACGTACTGTAAATTGCAGGATCCAGGGTTAAGTGCAACAATTACAGATGATTACTCTTGTAAAAAGTCCACAGAAAGGCAAGGTGATTATTTACAAGAGCAGAATGATACCCATGCTTAAATACCTGCCATAAATTACAAATGTATTTCTACATGTGATAAATTATATTACAGATTAATGTACTAGCATATCAAAAAAGGGATTCTGGTAACTCACATGAGATGTGGGAGAGGCCAATACTGAGTACTTCCAAATGTCTTGCTCATGACAGTTTTCCTCCTAAATACAGCATACTCAAAACATGACTTTCACAATGCCTTTAAGATGCTAACAAATTACCTATTTCTATGATTTTGGGAATATTGTATACTTTGATCACTGTTAGTTTCAGAAAAGTTTTTATCAGTTTAGATTTGATTCCTAGAAGGATCAAAGTAATTCAGTAAGCACCTATGCTTTTATAATGTTGAATACATCATTAAGAGGCAGCACTTGTTGCACTATGCAACTACCAGGTATTGCAAATATACAGAAATATTTTCAGTAACTCTGTATAATAGCAAGTAAAAATACTGATTTACTTTTGTTTTTCAAATGGCTGCTTAAAATAATACATCATCCCGTTTCGAAAGAGGACTGGATTTCTCCTAATGAAGCAACTTCATGTAGGAGAGTGTAACTTTGTGTATTTTAGGGTGAGACTTACAACTAATCCTGCCAAGGAGCTTACCTACATCTCTGGTTACAATAAAAGGCTGATCCTGCTATTAGATGGGTGGCAGCCATTTCCCATTTGTTTACTTGTTTTCAGTGCCATCATTCCACATTGAAAAGGCAAAATTTAGGATGAAGACACCACTGAAAACTTTAAACAACTGATCTCTTATTTTCAGTGCTTAGAGTAAGGTTGTTATTGCTATTCTGCAACTTTTAAAAGGAAAAGTGTTGAGAAAAATCAATCAGAAGAATGCTATTCTGTGCTATCTCTGAGGATAAAACAGGGATTTCAGCTGCTCCATCATTGTGCTGCAGAAAATACAGAGTTGGGGGAAAAGAAATGTTCACCTTTAGAGACATTATCCCTTGTGATTTTTTGTTGTAAACTTTGGAAATTTGTTAACGTTCAAGGAAACTATTCATTTTAGCAAGGCAAAATTAATGTCTTTCCTAATTAAAGAACTGGAATCTGCCAGTAGAATTTTAGCAGTTCAATGGAACATGGCTAAGAACAGCAATTAAAATTAAAATCCCTTATTTTTAATTTACCCTGACAAAAGCATGTACTGAGAAAACTCGTCTAATCCTCCCAGCACATATGTAGCTCTGCAGAAAGCCTGGGTGTAACACTTTGACTCCATGCTACACTACCCTTTCCCTTCTCCTGTCACTGTATAGCGCTCTTTCAGTTGCCTTGCTTTTAAATGAGGGAACGTATTTTGTTTTCTGCTTTATACCAATATAGCCTGTGGACTTAATCTTTGCATTCCATACAAGAAGATGGGCACTCTCCCAAAGTGCATCAGCCCTTCCTTTTTCTACTCAGGCTATGAGTCTTGCCTAGATTCACATTTCATTTCGCGTCATGCCAAATAATATGCACAAATGCTAACTAGGAGAACAAGCCATAGGTATTTTTTTCCTGGGCATTTGTTTCACTTCAAATAAATATAAACACATTTACATTAAAAGTATATGAACATATTCTTTAGTCTGGAAAGAAACCCAACCCGAACTGTGGTCAACACATCATCAGTTACAAATGTCAACTTGAAACCTGCATCATAAAATGTAAAATTCAGTCAAGACTACTCATTACCTCAAAAGTTTCTATTTTTATGGTTTAGAAAAAACTGGTTCATTATGTCACTCACATTTGAAGAAAAAATAAAAGTAGCAAAGTCTTCCATTTAATTACTGAAGCATTTTGGTCCTCTTGGTACAGCTGATTAGTTCGTGATAGCTTTTTTTTTAGTTTTTGTTTACAAAGTCTCATTCTTCCTTTTGTACATCTGTTGCAGGTGAGGGTCGTGGTCCATTTGACCTAGAAACTTTGGCAGAAGGAGTAAACATATTCACAAAGTTGACATTGCTTTAAAAGCTGGTGACAATAGGCTTTTTTAGCATGTATCTCCGATCCCTGCACGGTACACTGCCATGTTTTCTGGTGTTTGGTAGCTCAGCTTTTGGTGTTATGCTTTCATTGCTTTACCTTTGCTCTGTTAATCCAGACACTGTTAATACTGTTTACAGTAAAAATAAGTTATTTAAGCACAGAAAAGGAAAAAAAATCCATTTAAGTTGGCAAGTCATGATCAACTTTTACGAACACCTTTGCCTACACCTAATTCCTCACGTCCTCAACCCCCCCTTATTTTTTCTGGTATTAGATTCATGGTTAGTGGCTCAGGTAACAGGAATGTCTAATGACCCTAATTCTGTAGTGCAAATAAACTGTACGTGTTTGTGCTGAATTGAAAAAATATAAGGGCAAAGGGATTTTCATTTTATACCGGTGGTTTCACTAATGTCTGTGGGGAAATAGGGTTAGACAAGTAGAATTTGGCCTTAAGAGTTAATAACTATATTTTTCTCATTGTGTGCTGCAAATAAGAGCTGTGAAAAGTGCCTCTGTACGTTTAAGTGCTTAATACACGCAGAATGCAAAAGGTTTCATTTCCTGTAGAAAAGTAATACAGGCAGTTTTAAGATTTACAACTTTACCTTTGGTTTGTGTAAAACAAAAAATTAATAAATCTAATTAACAGAGCCCCTGGAAGCAGGAAACAGACACACATAGGAAAGGGGTGATGCTCCAACCTATGAAAACTATGGAAATATGTCTGTGTACTAAAGGTACAGCTAAAACATGTAAGAACTTTTTACAAACAGTTCCCTGTTTATTTGTGCTGTCAAAAAGAAAAAAGGCATTTTCTCTTTTTCTACTTGAAGTAAGAGGTAGAGGTTTTCCACAGGGGCACTTAGGGCCTAAAGAAAACACCAGGAATCTGAAAAGCTGCAGAACGTTAATGGGAGTATGTTCCAGTAAACCCCTCTAACTTAGTTATTTGAAGGCTTGATTCTTACAACACTACAAATCTTTCAATACCTACTTGTCAAGAGTAATAGTTAAGAATATGGCCTTGGGATTTAAGCTGTTTAAAAAGACAAAAATAAAGCTGAAATAAAACAATAACGAAAAAAAAAAGTTTTTGAATACTGAAAAGTCAAAATGTTTCAGAATCTGAATCATTTTCATTGTACCCATCCTCTGTTCCTATGTTGTTACTTAAGGGCTTATTGTAAGAGTTAATGCTACCCATACTGGAGCCATCGCAGAGGTGTGTCCTGCCCAAATTGTCTTTTTTAAAACAAACGAAGTTGAAAGCCGTCATTGAACTGGAAGGAGAAAAAGGCATCATGGTTGCCAAAATGAGTGCCAGGCAGTCAGCCACGTCTTTGTTAGGAGCGCAAGCCAGGGCTGGCGTATGACCTGGGCACAAATGCAGACAAGGCAATGGTTAGTACGAAGGGTACTGAGAATGGCACTGAGCATTCCTCATATACATCTCTAGGTGACGTCGTAAGCGGGAGATGTATGTTCAGCTGCAATCATGCCAGGCAATAGGGGTATGTTACTTACTTTAAATTAGACATGCTGGGAAAATACACACTTCATGGAGCATTCAAATCATTGTGACCACAACAAGCACTGTATTTTGAAAATCAGGCAGCAAACAGACTTCACAATATGAATAAAAGCACTTGCTAAACACAGTTCTACAGCACAGACAGTACGATGAATACAGAACATGGGGAGTACAGCAAAAGGGACAGAAACTGGCTTCAGTTTCTGTGCGTATGAACAAGTCCCATTCTGAGAACAACGACTTTCATCAGAACATGAAAGATACTAGTTTAGAAATACTTTGAAGTAAAAAGCAAAGTATTTTAAAGACTGATCAGTCTTTAAAAGCTGAGTATCAGTTGAGTACTCAGAAAGCAGTTTCTTTAGGAATTAGAAAAGAGACTAGTACACGTGGTACTTGTCTAGCAGGTATGGCTACACGGATGTTATCCAAATTTACATTACACTGGAAGAACAACTGTATCCAGAAAGCACAGCACACTATTTAAATACAAATTAACAGTATACAGATGTCAGTAAAACAAAGAACTGGGGAGCCAGTAGAGTTTGTCTTCACTACTATAACTTGGCTCCTGCCCTAGCGCTGCCCCTCAAGCAGCTCTTCATATATATAAATCTTGGAAACCAGTATGCTGATTACACTTGCTATCTATACATTTTACAGGCTGCTATGTAGTACTCCAGCACTTTCCAACAAAGCCTGCTTTATGCTAACAGCAAACAAATTCTTTTCCAGATGGCTAAATCCTAGGTCCTGCAGCAACAGTAATTTGAGGCAGTGACCACTGCTGATACCCTACTGCTTCCAGTAAGCCAAGAACAAGACAAACCTACACCAAACTCACCTACGTTGTGTAGTTTCATAGCTAACTACCTGTATTTAAGCACTGACTACAGTGCATGCATATCCTAAGTGAAGTTCCCTCTTCCACTGAGGTCCAAGCTTTACAGTTGCACTTACACTAAGAGTGTGCTTAAATTTCTGTCTTTCCTTCTGCATATGCAGTTGCTCCTACAAAAACTAAATATGTATAAAATTTAAACTCAATTTCCATTCATTACATATGTGCAAACTAGATGGATCTGTATGCACAATTTTAATGATAAAAGCTGTGGTTAGAAGCTGGTCTGGTTAATTTTTCTGTCCCCTGTCTCTAAAAAGAGGTTATGATCAGATGACTTTAGTGGATCTGATTCATGCATGTGTATCTAGGTAGCATTTGGTAATAGTAAATACTCACCACTTAGTTCTTTTCATCCACTGATCTCAAATTTCTTGCAGTGATGGGTAAGTATTGTTATTTTATAGATATGGGAAGATGGAGGTACTGAATTGTTACATTAATGTCAAGTATTGTAAGAAAGACTAGCTTATTTCAGGAAGGCATTTTTGAAAATATTAATTTAGAAGCAATGTTTGGGGAAGGACTTTATTGAGAACTGAAACAAAATTAACTAGTTTATTAACTAATCATGTATTTTTTGAAGCAACAATAATTTATTTGCATCTTGGATTAGGTCACACAATTGGTAAGCACAAGCTTTGATCTCAGAATGAACTAGGACACAATCAAACATATGGTGATGGTTTTCTTCCTACCCATTTAAACATGCGCTGATTGAATGCATAATCCTTAATTCTTCTGCAAGGCGTCAGAATTATCCGGTGCCACTTGCACGTTTAGGAAATTCAAGTTACCACTGCACTCAAGCATTAAAAAAGACTAGCTGTTGGTAGTACATGCAAAATGAACAGTAAAAGGGACCACTGTGATGTTTAGAATACATTTTCATATTAAAGAAAAAGTATCTTTTATTTAATTTATTTTGATAGGTACTCACACAGCTTTTAATAGGTACTCACACAGCTCATTGTCTGTTCTTGGAGGGATAAAAGCATCAATGATGTCTATCATCAGCTTTTAAGTCTATTGCTTCGGTCTGTTGTAAAGTTACCTGCTAGATCTACTGAAGGTTGTTGAAGTATATTATTTACTTACCATTTTCATCTACTGCTAGGACACATGCCCCTTTGGCTAGCAATTTTTCCACCACCATCTTTAAGCCGTTTCGTGCAGCAATATGGAGAGGTCTACAAAAAACATAACAACTAAATTCACCTTCAATTTAAAACAGACTTTCTAAAAATAGTTAGGTAATACTTAAAGACAATGTTTTCCTTCTTTGGATCATTACAATCATTTGTAGGCATTAAATTATATTGCAGCCTTTAAAATAATCATAATGTTTCACATCTATAAAATACATGTGCAAGACAAATATCATTACTTTTACATACATAAAGATTGCTTAATACCTTTCCAATCTAAAGGCTTTCTTTAAAAGTAACTCTAATTTTTCCACTGTTTGCAGAACAGAATTGAAATTTTATACGAAAATGAGTCTGACACTGAAGAAATGCCTTTGTTCCATCTTTAATTCTGGCTACTACAGACTGCTCAAAATCATTGTATTGCCTTTGTATCCTTGAACTGTGAATCTCTTGTTAACACAGAGCCACTGGAAATTAAAAATAACCACTGGTTTGGTTCTTTCCTGGGCAGACACCCAGTGCTCCTGTCTGGAGGCAGCTAACAGGAGAGGAAAATCAATTTCATATTGGAAGGGGGAAAAAAGGGCTAAGATGGAATGAATTCTTCTGCAAGCACTAGATGATCTGCCACCTCAAATCGTGGTTGAACATTCTACAATGGAATTCTCCGATACTAGTCAAATAGTTGCAGCTGGAGTAAGAATATTGTTGGTTTTAACTTTGCTGATAATAGATGGCATGGATGGCAGTTGTACATAAATATCACTTAAAAAAACCCTCTGAAAATTAAATGTACCACCTTAAGTCTAAATGAATTATTTAGATTTAAGGTGAAGCTCAAAAAGTTAGGAAATGCCAGATGTCTACTTGCACAGTCACATGATTAATAGACATTTCGATACAGTCTTCAAATAAATGACCCCATGTAATTTTTCCACCAGACCATGTATAGAAGTGGCATCAAATTAATCAAAATTAAAAATGAAATGAAATATAAATCTGGTCTTGTTAAGGGCAAACACTAAAAAAAAAAGAAATCAGAAATTGACTTTTTTATTCAGTGAAAAAATCTGAGACATGAATTTGAAATGAGAAATTGGAATCTTGTTGTAAGTCAAGTGAACTTGAGAGGACCAGGCTATACTTACGTCTGCAATGCATTATTTTTTGCATTAATAAGGCTCTGTTCTTGTATCTTGTCAAGTATTAACAAGGCACATTTTTCATGACCCTGTAGTTGGGGGGAGGGAAAAATAGTGTTAATTTGCTGAAGAATGTGAAATTGCAACAAACAAAATGCTACATATATAAAAGTTAAATTTAATAACTCAATTTGAAATATAAAACATAGTACTCAGTTTATACGGATATGTAGTAGGTGAACTGGAGGAGCCCTAAAATACTGTTTATGAAAAGTGCCACTGCAAGGATGCTTTAGCACATTTAGAAATTTAGACATTCACCTGTCTTTCAACCCTTCATTCCTTATAGATGAATTCACTTCCTCAGCTTTCAGAGAAGATTACTATTTCTCTTGAGAGCCATTCAACAGATTATTTATTATAACTACATTAGAACTATAGTAACATAGAGATGGTTTAATCTCAGAAATGAATACTGTACTTTCTGGGTCTTTCTGTGTTATTGATAAGCTACTACAAAATCCCTTCAGTGTGAGAGTTCTGACAATGCAACTGTCGAAATAATACAGATCTGAGCCTTCTTTCTGATACTGTTTCAGCACAGCAGGTCACAGGTGCTGAGACTGCAGCCCTGGCATGTGAATAGCTGTCTGATGGACCTTGAGAATTCAGTGAGGCAGTATCCAGACTCAGTATCTGCAGAAACTGGAGTAACACTACTGCACTGGAGTTGAAGCTGGAGGGAATTCATTGGGCATTTTTCTTGCAAAAACAGCAATAGCAATTGGAAGTAAGAGGAAGAAAGGGTGGGAAGAGACACCACCAACAATCTTATCAGTGCCTCTGGTTTTACTGCTACTCCGTTAAGAGATGATTTTGGGTTTCTTCCACAGAAACTGGAGAGTAACTGAACCTATGCTGTTTACAGTGAGATCATTTGGTAAAATCTGAAGGGGTTTTCCATTACTTCTTTTAGTGTTATGTCCTTATGTTTCAGCTGTCATAAGAGGCACCCATGTCTCTCAATTTACAAAACTTTAATGCAGACTTGAGAAAAAGCTTGGAACAATGTTCTCTTCCTCATCACAAGTTTAATCACTACATTTCCATTGCAGGAAAAAATCTTAGGAGCATAAACATACACACACATACAGACAGACTGTGACAAGAATAGAAGCATACAGAGATCTTCAACTTACTTTACTGCTAGCCAAGTGCAAAGGCGTATTCGACTCCTTATCTTTTAATGTCAAGTCAGCCTTGGCAATGTTCACCAGAAAGTCTAAGGTGTAGAACAGAAATCAATGGACAAACCCAATGGGCAGACAAACATATAAAAATAGAGGGGAAAAAATTACTATTTCAGTGTATGTGTGCATGCACACTAATCAGTTAAGCCTGTATGTGACGTAAGCTTTATGAACATGAAATGAACACTAATCTTGTGCAGTTAATGAGCAAGCAAGGGCAGAGCTAATAGTTCATTCACTGTGCCCCAAACTGTCAAACATGTCTTTATTTATGAACTTCCCCATTTGTAGATCATCAAGTTTGGCCTGAATCACCTTCTCCTGAGAACAACTGTGGCTCCTGCTTTGAGAGGACTAAGCAGATATAAAGAATTCAGCAGTCTGTGCTGTTGAAGCTAGAGAAAAGGGAATTGTTAAACCAATATGATCCTAATCTGTATGCCTATAGTATATAGTCTAGCCTGGAAAAAGCAGCTGCTGATAGCTGCCGTTTGAAGCATAGGACTTCTCATAATGGAGCAGAGGAAAAGGTTACATAATCTTTTTCACACATGCAGTTTTACTGCTCCATAAAATCAAGGGAGTAAACAAGGGAATAGAATTACTGCTCCCCTCATGCTCCTTCCAGCGTGCTCTTAAGACACAAATCTGTTCCTGTAAATGTTCACCAAGTCTGCTGAGAAATAATGGCCGAGGAGGAAAAGAAATTATTTACGGATGTAAAAGTAGCTTTTCAGAGACAGCCACATAATTTATTTTCCTTCCTTAGTTTTCATGGGAAAAAAATGATTACTTATTTGGGATAGTCACTGCAGTAGCATTCACCCTTTGAGACAAACAGAGGATGTACTTACCTACAGCACCTGTGTGACCATTCTGAGCTGCCATCATGAGCGGTGTTTTCCCTGCATGATCCGCAGCATTCACTTGTGCGTTGTGACTCAGGAGGAGCTGGAGGCACTCCACGTGATTTGCGAAGGCTGCTGCGTGAAGGGGTGTTCTGTGGGGAAAGTAACACGACCACAGCTGTTGGTAAGGAATGGCAATATTCCTGTTTGATTACCTGCCCATGAACCTGGAAGCGCAAGCCATTTTTAACTTCTTTTCCTACAAAACATGAAGTTATCAGCAGGGGAAAGCTACAGAGTAGCAGCAGCTGAAGTAAGTTAAATAATAGTTACAGTCTCTGTCCTGGTGCAGTATCAACTTTAAAAACAGGGAAGCAGGAGGTGAATATGACAGTGTGGAAAATCTCAGAACCTCATATTAGCAGCATATTTATTTAACAGAGCATACTGTGTAACATGAAAAGCAGTGTAATCCCGCAGTTTTATCCATCTGATTTTACTTTTTTAACAAGCCTAAGATGGGAAGAACTATTAGAAAAGAACAGATCCATTACTAAAAAAACCTAAAGTATTTTAAGTTATAATCAAAGATGCTGCACAACAGCATTAATATAAAAGGCAGAAGGAATTCAATCCGTTTTGAAGGTTATCAGTTTTCAGAAGGCTGAGACACTGTCTCCCTGTGGCATTTTGAGTCTGAAGCATGACTAACAGATGAAAGTTGGTACAGAGCCCAGCTCATAGTAATACATCAGGTTTTGCTTATCAGAAAAGGTGAGATGGTCTTAGCCTTACAGGAGTAAGTAATCACTGTTACTGAAGGTCTTGAATTTGTTTTAATTAAACAATGAGTATTCCATTTTTAGAATTTCAGCAATTTTAATTAAAGATATATATATATATACATACACACAGAGTGAGGATGTTATTAATGTGACAAATTAAGGGTTTGGCTGAATGTGTATGTGTTGCTGTATCAATATTGTTTTGTTGCACAGATGTTTTCAGTTGTGCACTCAGCAAATGCCAACATAACATTAAAGCGTTTTATGAAACACTTTTCCATGTGTACACAGTATCACTCCATTTAGCAAAGATAAACATGTTTGAACATTTAACAAAGTAAACAGGTTCAGGGAAACAGCCTGCAGTCATGGATGTTCTGCATAAACAAAATACTATTTCTTCTGTATTCTTTTCATATGTACTATGAAACAGTACTTTCATAGTATTCCTGCTTCAAGTGAGCCACCATTTAACTTTGTTGCAGTGTAAACTGCTCTCTGAAAGAGTCAGCATGGCAAGTCTTAGCTCAACCAAGACAGTTCAGAGGTTCAGAAGGAATTATGAAAAATACTAGATGGATTCATGAAATGCAGTTTGTTTAAGAAACTATTACCTTCCTTTGTCATCTTCACAATTGACAATGCTGGCATCGATGGCCCCGATGAGCAGTGATGCACAGTTTTCATGATCATTGATTCTGCCAAAAAAAAGGTATTTTCAGAAAGGTAAAACGTCTTCATCTTTACCCATTTTACAATATTAATTCCCTTCACTTCCCATTAATATTTTTACTGGTTATCCTAACATAACTTTGCCGTAATGCTTTCAGTCACATTTCTGAATATTCATCATCTCTCCACTTAAGCAAACTACACCTGCTACTATGGATTTCAGTCTCTAAAGCAAAGCTGATCCTGCAGTTCACTATGGTAACTGAAAAAGGTAACTGAAAGTGCTGCACAAACCTAGCATTAAAACCTTAGTATCTTAAAATCGTTTAGTTTATATGTCAAATACACCTGGATCTGGAAAGCACTCAGTCAAGGCACTTTTTTTCAAAGCCATCATTTGGAATTTAGATTTCAAATACTATCTTTCAGCCACAAAGAACTTTGTTGTAAGCAGAATAAAAGCAGTGCTTTCTATATGCTTTTATGTTTTAATAAGCATAGGCATAACTCATGATAGTGATCACCTTTTTGTTGTTCATAAGTAATATGAGAACTTTGGATATAGAATTTGCCTCTAAAGCTGATCAGTCTCTTTGGCTAGGATCTGAGTAAGAAGTACCAAACCTTTAAGACATGAGATTATCTCAGAAGGAAAAAAGACCATGAGGAAAATCAGACTGGAAAACACTCAGTTGAGGATGTCCTGGCAAAAGTATGGCCTGCACAAAACATAATTCTAGTGTGACATAGATGCTTCTTTCAAAGTCCTTTCTTCATTAAGGCTGATTTAAGATTCTGACCAATATATTAACTTTCAGCCACTGGCTTTCAAAGGAACCTCAAAAGCTCAATGCATACACAGCCTAAGGCACTATAGCCCAGGTCATGGCCTAAGAAAGGAAGAGCTATAGTTCCACCCTGTGTGAAAAAAAGGCATAGGTGTGTAATTGTCAGCAAGGGAAAATAAACTAGAAAGGGAGCAGAAATGCAGCTATTTAATTGTAAGTTGATATTTTATCAAAAAGCTTAAATATATGACATTTATGCCAAAATACTCTTTATTTTGCCACTTTTTCAGCAGAAGCATCAGGACAATTTAATGATCAGCCTTAAAATAACCTCAAAAAAGCATGACTTTCTTCTCATACTGCTACTTCTTCCAGACATATCCTAAAACAACAGATCTGTGTTAAGTTCTGGACATTTCTACTTACACAGCACAGTGCAATGGAGAGAAGCTATTACCATAGAATGTGCGGAAAAATTTTTGTTCCAATAGTACCTCTATACAGTTTTCATGACCTGTAAGAGATCAGACACAGGTAATTCACTTCATTCATATTAGGTTTATACAGATTAGAATTTAATATTTGAAGTTCCAAGTTGAACACAATGTATATATAAGTTCTTATATGATAAATAATAAACAGATCCAAGCTAATATTAGCACTTATTGAGAAAAGAGAAAAGGGAAAAACAGTCTCTCTTTTAAGTGATGTTCTGTAAGTTGCTTTATGCATCTCCAGAGATGATCTTAACTGATGACATGATTCAACATGGTTTAGTGGAAGGTGTCCCTGCCCATGGCACGGGGGTTGTAACTAGATGATCTTAAGGTCCTTCCCAACCCTAACTATTTTATGATTCTGTGATACTGAGAAGCTTTGTCCTCATATTTAGCAACAAGATCAGATGATCCAGTTTAAAATAATCAGTTCAGAATAGCCATCTATTCATGTGGTGTCTCACATCAATAAATAAGAAGGTGACTCCTTAAAGGCACATTCCTGGCCCCACAGAAATCAATTTCATCATTGACATCAGTAAAACCAGAACTTCACCCTGGCCTCCTGTGACAGGGATTAGATGAGCTGCAAAGCCCCTGGGAGGTAATCCTGTAATTTCCCTGGCTTCTGAGCCGAAGGGCAAACAGAGCAAATGCTAACTACAGAGAGCAAGTAGAGGGGAGATAATTTGCTTCTTCACTTCAAGCTTCACAAAGTGCTCGGTTGCTTCCCTAAAACTGAGGCCACGTTTGAACTAAGTCCACAGGGAGAACCTTACCGTTGTAACAAGCCCAGTGCAGCGGTGTATAACCTTGATTATCTTTCAAACTGCAGTCTTCCTCTGAAAGTGCTATCTGCAGTAATTCACTCAGCCAAGTGGCGTGACCCAGAGCTGCTGCAAAGTGCAGAGGTGTTCTGCCTCTGGCATCTTTACATAAAATAGATACTTCTTTCTCTAACAGCATCTGAACACACTCTTCATGCCCGGTCATAATCTGGTAACAAAGAAATGAATAAAGAGGTTGACATAATACAGATTCTTGCCCAGGAAATATGGAATAGGATTGATGCTTGTGAACATGAGATGGCCTGGATGGGATTCAGAAGGCAGAAATGAAAGCTCCTTTTCTCCCATGAGTACCTATGATAACTGATACATTGAAAACACTTGGCACTGTCTTTCAAAGGCTGTCTGTGGAAGAGACTCCACTAAGTGAGGTACAAAACCAAAGAGGAGTTTAAGACTAAGGAAACAGATGAAGTAGGAGTGAAGTTCAGAAAACCTGAGTCTGACTTCTCAAAAACATGTATTGAATGTGAGAGAAGAACTGTGGAAAAGCTGCTTTTACAGCTGGCCAGCTACTGTATCAGTGACCTCTGTATCATATATAAGTTAACTTTGGTGTCCTGAGCATGCTAATGCATTGCTATCAATACAGAACATATGCCATAGCTTTTATTATGTGCTGGACTCCTAAGCTGAACTGCTCACTGCAGTTATCAGGGAGTTCTGCGTAAATATCACCTCTTGCATCAACTTTACTTTGGCTAAGAAGGTGACTCCCAGCAAAGATGTGCCTCAAGTTTCACCGCCTCTATTAAAAACTTGAGCTTTAGGTTATTTACACCATCTTCCCAAGAAAAATGGCGTAACTGCTGGGCAGTTCTTTTAAAGAGATTATTTTCAGAATTCATAGGTGCGTGGTTCTAAGAATAATGATTGCTATTGTAAAGTGTCTAGAGCCAAGAAAAAATGGTCTAATCAGTATTTCAGCTAATCACTTGAAGTAAACATGAAAGAAAGTCAAAAGCAGAGCATTACTGAGAGTGGATCTGACCTGCTTTTCACCTCATTGACCGTGCCTGGTTATGTTTCCAATAATTTACAGTATTTCCTACGTACATTATCTCTATCTTTATGAGTCGGTTGTAGTCACAGTAAAACAAGTAAGTATGAATCATAAAAATTAAGTCACCCCTCGATGTAAAGCTGTGCATCCCAGGAGATCAGCTGCATCTACAGATGCTTCTTTTTCAAGTAATAAAGAAACAGCATCAATGTGCCCATATGCCACTGCAAGCATCAGTGGGGTTCTAGAAAAAGACAAAACAAAACCACTCACAGTTATAAAATTACATGCTACTTCCTAATGCTAACTTACAGGAATAGAGGGATCAGGAAGCCCTGTGTTTCTCTCCGTTCCTATGCACAATCCTGGTTGTCTCTATGTAACATCCAAGTGAAGACCTTTTCTATTAAGTTATTAAGATGTTTAACAACCATCTACCATGACTGAAATACAAACTCATTTCTAAGCCATTTACAGAGCAGCATTACTCAAAACAATCTGTTGTCTTAATAACCTACAGTTACTGTCACCTCCATGAGCTTTACAATACCCAGGCGTTGTGAATGAATGCCCCTGCTAGCCACGAAGTTGAGAACCACCCAAAGCATTTCTTGTGCAAATGCTGCACGATTGCTTAAAAGGGAAGAAGGGACATGAGGAAACAGAATTTGGACTAACATATCTTCCATTTGTTTCTGAAAGAGATCTATTCTCCTTCTATAGATAGACTAATACCATTTAAAACCATATATACAGTCAGATATGTTCCAGGAACCCCACATGAGTTTTTTAAACTATTTAAGCCATATTTTCACTTCAAAAATATACGTTATTGTCCCTTTACAACTGGCATTTAATGAGAAATAGGATTTTTGTAGCAACATCTCAGATGCACGTGTCACTTCGAATAAACATTCTGTCCCACTGCGGCAGCCTGGTATACCAAGTAAACCCTGGAACGGCAATGTCTGAGAAAGAGCAAGACTCCATAGAAACATCTCAGTTTCTGTTGAATCTGTTCGCCAGCATCTACGAACAACTGTTTAATGTATGATGCAGAGCCTAAGATTTATGTATAATCCTTTCCAAATGGCTTAGGTCAACTGAATACGTACTTTATAATCTCTGCCAGAATCTATAAGGATAAGTGCAGGAAATAGAGTATTTCAAATAAATGATTTCTGGTGAGAAATCCAAGATGCTGTTTGAATCACGGAGCTGAAAAAAAACCCCATTACAAATAAAACTTACTGTCCTTTGGCATCTGTCACGTCAGGGTTGTCTGCAACTTCCAACAACAACCGTAAACAAGGTGTATGGCCGTTAATGACTATAAAGGGAGAAAAAAAGGCATGTTCAATTAAAATGTGTTTAATTTCAGACTTTTTTCCATTGGAATGTTTATGGATAAGAAATTTTCTTATAAACAAAATATTCCACAGTGTAAGAAACTGATATTCACACAGTTGTCTTGTAACTTGTGCATGTGAAATGGTGAGCTGTTATTTCCCTGACCTCAGTAAGATTAATTCCCTTACATACAAAAATCCCACATGAGTAAAGCAGAGACTGTGATTTTCAGTACTGAGAAGATTGTACTAAACCAGACAGCATTTCAGAATCCCACAGACTGAACAGGCAGACAAAGCTTTTTGTGACCAGGTTTGAGACCACAGCAGGAAGTGTGTGGTCAAAGCTCTTGCTTCTTGTGTGCACTGTACAAGCAAGTTCTTCAGCGCTGCTAGGAAAACTGAAGCATCTGCACAGAATGACCAACCATACATGTCATATTTGTAACAGCTCGTCACACCAGAGACTAAAATTCCCTTTGGGTTTTTCCATCTCATTTAATGCCATTGGAAGCCACAGCTATCTCAAAAATGGAATTTTCATTTTAAAATGTAACCTATTGCTGTTCAAATAGCTCTGAGTTACTACATTCTGCAGGGCCTGACACTGGAAGCCCATCTGTGTATCAGCTGGCTTAAAGGCTTCAGCCTTTTATGGGATGAAGAGATCAGTATTTTTTTCTTTGAAAACCAGTAATTCCTGTACTCAGTAGCTATAGATTGTGTTCTTATTACAGCAAGTCATGCATTCACACTGCCTACACCCCGTGGGCTGAGGCAGAACCCTTGGACACCACCTCTGTCACATCACATTTAAATAACTCATCCAAAAACAATCTTAGTTGCTCTAACCAGACAAATAAAGGACATTTTTAGCTATTTACCACTAAGTGATGCCATATACATAACATGTAAACAGTTCTGCAGGGCTGATGAGTCACTGGCTTAGGGGATAAAAGAGATCTGTTCTTTCTCCCAGTGGGAGGAAGAGAAATCATAACTTGTTCACACCAATGTCTGACAAGGGGTTTGGTAAATTAACTTTAGAACAGACTCTCCCAGAAATTCTCAGGAGCTGACCCAGTGACGGCAAAGCATTACAGACCCTGCAGGGAACATCAGTTTGACCAACAGAGCTACAACACTAACCCTAGGGGAACATTTGCAATGGATTCCCCAGGCTAGCCAGAGGAAAGACTGGTGGTAATAAAATTACACAGGGAACATATAATTTAGGCTAAGGAAATTCTCCATATGATGAGGTCAGAGGCAGTCTGTGTCCTCAGGGGGCTAGGCAGAAAAAATAACTACTTCATTAGGTGATTTCTCTACTGTTACAAATCCCCTCACTGAATGGAGCTCTGCAGAATCCTGTAATCCAATCCACCACCTCAGGCCGCCCTAACTGCCATTGCGTTGTGTAATTAGAAGGAATGAAGGCAAATGTGTTGCAGGGGACGGGCACACTTGCCACCTTGGCTCTTCCCAGTGCACTGCATTGCACTGGTATTCATAGAGTCATAGAATCGTGTGTGCAAGTGTGCAAATGTGCAAGGGATTTATTCCACAGGAATGCCCTCTGAGATATCAAAATATCCCAATTTACCTCTTGCACTGTAAATTAAAGCCGCTGAAAGCTGCAGTGGCAGCACGCAGAGTGGTATCACTCTTTGTTCCTAAACACAACATAGTGTTGTGAAACGGCATAATAAAACCCATCAGTTGCAAGTGGCTTATGGAGTAGCTGGTCATAGGAGCTTTACTCCAGAGTTAATTTCCACAGAACTCTGCATAGCTCTTGAATGGAAGCTTCTAAACTTACATCTTAATGGATATTAACCCAAAGTGCACTTACCTCACATTTGAAGACCTCCAAATTAATGACAAATTTCCTTTGCTAGGAGTTCATTCAACCTGCCTGTGCAGTGTTTTTCTGTCTGCTTAAGGCACATGGTCCCTTGTCAGTCTGTCATTCCCATGAGCAGAATTCCCTTGCCTTTTGTTTTGTTACCCACCTAACTTAATTTGCTTCACTGCACATTTCAAGAACATTTTCCTTCTGTCCCTGGGTTGTTTTTAATCTGAGGAGGAAAATTATCAGACCAGAAAAGTCTATGGGGCATCTTCCTACTGCTTTTACATAGAAGGCACTCATAGCATAGTGATAGAGGCAATTAAAATGTTAGGAAAAAACCAACCCACAATCAGAATTTGCATGAAGGTAAGAAATGTGCGTATTAAAATATCACCTTCTGTTGAACAAATCTACTGAATCTTATTCAAAAGATTTATTCAACAAAGTTATATCTTAAGTCAGAGCTGCTAAAAAACCTAGTGGTAACAAATAACTTTGGTATCATTTACTTTTTTCAGTATTACAGAACCCTCACAACTCAGCCATGACAAGAAACCTATGTCACTGTAACCAGTTGTCTAAACAATTCAGAACCACTGCTATAGTGCTAATGTACCAGACAAAGCCACGCTTTGTTCATCATCATGACCCATTCCTGGCAGTGTTCAAGGCCAGGCTGGACAGGGCTTGGAGCAACCTGGTCTAGTGGAAGGTGTCCCTACTTGTGGCAGGGGGTTGGGACTGGATGAGCTTTAAGGTCCCTTCAACCCAAACCATCCTGCGATTCTATGATTCTGTGTATATGCATTTTAATACAAACAAGACTAAAAGATAAACAGAAAGTCAATTAATCCTGTCTTAACTGGCCAAATTAATTTGCCCTGAAAATGTTGTCCAATGAAGTATTAATGTTACTTCCCACTAGAGGTCACTGCTATGCTGCACTGAGCCCCTCGATGAACAGCCAGAGGAGCAAGGTTCCCTTTGGCACCCCTGCGTATTTACCTGTCAGGTACCTATTAAATAATAACCTTTAAATAAATGGCCAATTCCACATTCTCCAGTTAATCAGGCACGCTGCATTATTAACACTCAACACACGAGCAGTGGAGCAGACTCCCAGCAAGAGCAAGTACACAAGCTAGCTCAGGAGAAGGATAATGCCTGAAAGGGAGCTTATTTCTGTTATGTTGCCTCTGCAAAAGGGTGAAAGCTTTGGACACCAGGATAATTTTATCAGCAGTCAGAGTCTACCTGTACTTTCAACCTGTCTTCCCCAGGAGAAGCAGTGAGGCAAGTGTTCTCTCTTCCCCTGGTTTTGTGGCCAAGGAACCATTAAAAGAAGGTGTCATAGGAGAAACATCACACATCTTAAAGGAGCAGGTGGTAATAGAGGGGTGAAGTAAAGCAGAGGCAAGCATGTAAGGGCAGAGCAGTAGTGGTGTGGAAAAATACAGGATGCTGTGTGAGCGGAGACTGAACCTCAGCGACAGAGGGAAGAAGAAAACAAGGAAATGAAAGATAAAAGGTTAAATGTAGGATCCCCGCATCAAACAAGCAGCAGTCCTCAGTACGTGTCAAAATCTCCTTGTGGTTAGAAGAAATGTGTGCAGGAATAGTAGGTAGGTAAAGGTAACTGCTTCTGTGTTGCAGAGTTTATACTGCAAGTGTAACATAAGATCATACTCACCTGAGGCATGGAGAGGGGTCCTTTTGGTGACATTGTCTTTTACAATGACAGAAGCACCCTGGCTGATGAGAGCTTCCACACACTCTGCATGTCCCCTAAATGCAGCCAGGTCCAAAGCAGTGCGTCCCTTCTCATCCTTAATATCCAGATCCACTAGAGACTGGAGGAGTACCTCCAAGGCTTGATGATGACCATTATAGGCCTAGAAGTATAAAATGTGTCACGTAAAGAACACAACTCTTGTCTTTCAAGGACTTTCATGTAAAATGAGAATAAAATCCATCACTGTCACAGCCTCCTGAACACAGCAGAAATTAGAGTTTTCTCAATTCCTTATGACTCTCTTTGACTTGAAAGGATTACAGCCAAGAAACTAAGTAATTCCTTGTGTTTAGGGAAGGAAATCGCTCTAACCTAATACAACCCAATATGAGGAACTTCAGGGCAATAATTTGCCAATTGGGCACAGGTGAACCAACAGTTCATTTTCCACATTCTACAGTATCTTTCAGGCAAATGTTTGCTTTCAAAGTCAGATTCACTAGAGTGATGCTGGGCAGAGGTCGCATGGATCATCACCTAACTGCGTGCTAACTTCAACATAGCTGCTGGTCTCCAACTAAACAAAAGCAATTCTCAATCCAGATTTTTGTGCAAATACAAACACAAACTTGACCTGCTGGTTACAGCTGATGCTTCATGGATTATTTCTGCCGGTAGGATCATTTGGTAGAACAGCTACAGTGGACAAGTAGATGCACTTCCAGACCTACAGCCTCATGTGGGCCAACAGCATGAACACAGGTGACGTTGTAGAAACCCAGCGGATAGTCCCAGAAACTGGAAATGCTTCATTCAGCTTTGTAGGGACTGCCCTGCTTTCATTACTGACAGACTCAGTAATGAAACTGACAGTTCCCCCTGCACCTGGCTGTGTACCAGACAGTGTTTTGTACTCTGCGCATCTCCAGAACATCAGATCCATGATCAGAACCACAGGCTCAACCTCTGGCCCCAACTTTATAAACTACTTATAAATAAAAGTTGCAACCTTCCATTCAGTTTAATTTCAGTGTCTTGTCTTCTTACCCAGGTATCACAATCAGTAAGAACCAAACCAAGAGCTTCAACTGCCGAAGATATAATTAACGATTCCAGCCCACAACCCGTGTTTGTTACATCTAAACCTACATCCTTTCCCAGCTTCAAAACAAGTCTATGATTAAACTTGCTTCAAAGACAGAGATTAAGGAATCATTCTAGTGGATGCTGATCAAGCACTTCACCCAAGTCCCATACTTACAGCTAAATGCAAAGGGCTTTTTGTAGCTGCAGAATCAGATTCCTCAAACATGTTGGTTTTTTCCAGGAGCTGGGGGAAAAATAAAAATGACAGTCTTAAAACATCTTCACACGAGGCAGGATGAATTCTTTTGGCTATAAACCAGCAGACAAAGGTATACCTTTGTCCCAGATGTCTGCACTGAGTACTGAAGGACTGTGAGGAATAAATACTTCACTACCTTTGCTGTGAGGTGTTTTTCAAGTTGTTCCCCACAGAATAAAGTATGAAACTGGTCATGAACATCCTTATCCATATTCGTTAGTCTTCCTGAAATCACTGAGCCTGCTGAGGTGAGAAAGGAACCCTCAAAAGGCCTGATGAGTGGAGTAGCTTACATTGGGGAGCACGCAGTTTCATGGTTATGTTGGTACTGCAGATGCAAGCCATGTTTGATACAGTGTTTAGGATAATTCTGATGCATAATTAGCATTAAGGAATAATTATAACTGTGCTGCGAGACATTCAGTCATTTTTATAACTTATCAAAGTAGAACCTGCCTTACAAAACACAACACAACCCTGAACTCTTACATTTATCTATAATATGCATTGCACTTTTGTATGTTCCTCTTAATTTCAGGGGCCCCAAAGTATTTTAAGTCTTAAAAATCATTTTAAGCTTGAATTTCTATCCATCTAGAAGGAGGAACTATGGGTCAGTACCACTTCACAATAGCACATGAACCCTGACAACTTACCCAATTGAGGCTGCAAAGAAAATCACACACAGTATTGACAATTCAACATTTGCTGAGCAGCACTGCTCAGGTGCGTGGCCTTTTACTTAATAACTACTCAAAGAGTTAGTCTCCAAATACCTTTGTGGCTGGAAATGAGCATTTCACAGAAAACTAGTAATATGAGACTGTAAAAAGGAAAGCAAAGCTTGACAGGTAACTAGAACTGCATTGTCATGTTTAGAAGGTTACAAGTCAACTTTTCACACAAGCTTTGATTTTTTTGTTTTGGATTTGTTTGACAGAGCAAGGAATTAATGGAAAGACTGAAGCAGAGGAAGGGAAGTTTTTGTGACAATCTGGTCAATTCGAGGGTATGACAACATGGAAGACTCTCCAAAGAGACCAGTGAAAGCCTATGGTAGGTTTGCCTACGCTGCAAGATGATGGCGTATCCTAATCTCTGATGTATGCCTGAACTCTTGCTGTAACAAATTAAGTCTTTAGTAGGCCTGTATCAAGGATTAATTTATCAGAAAAATCAAACTGGAATACAAGCTAGCATTAATAATGCATAAAGTGTCAGAAATAAGGACTCTAATTCAAATCCTACGGAAAAACTAGAAAATTAAGCAGTAATTTCACTTGTTTGTGTATTTTGTGCCTTGTAAAATGTCAGGACTGAGAACGAAATGCGTGCTGATGCAAATAGCACTCATAAGCAAGTGGGTGCATGCATTAAGAGGTAATATGAATTTTAACACTCCCTGCAGCTAAAGGGAAAAAAAAGCCAAAACAAAACCAAGAAACCAAGACCCACACTCTTTTTTCCAGTAGGTTTGGGGCAGAGTTAGGAAACACATTTGGTCTTACCATGTGGAGCCACCTCCAGTTTAAAATGTTGTTCTTCTCTTATATAAGATAGCTATAAACAGGATGGAGCAGTGGCCAGCTCTGATTTTCTCTAGTGAGTAAACAAACTAGAACAAAATCCCACCAAACAAACCCAATCACTGAGCCTGTTCCTTTGCCTGCCTAACCCTGGCCTTTCCTCCAAGTCTGTAAGGCCAGCACAGCAATCTAATTTAATCACTGTTAATTGCATTTATCATCATCTGCTGAAATTCCAGGATCAAAATCTTACCAAAGGAATACTTCCCTAAACCTGTCAGAAGGCTCCAAAAGTCTCCTGGAACAAGGCACGTAATTGCCTTTTGAACAGATGAAAAAAACACACACAAAATTGACAAAATTAAGGTTCTAAAGGAACGACTTGTGGGATTGGAGAGTCCCTCACAAAAGGCATCTCCATGGCTTAGAGTTAAAGCAGCTTAGGCTGATGCAGATGAGGCTTAATGAGCTTATTAGTCATAAGGCTGAATGTCTCCATCAGAAAGTCAAGCGTAAACAAGAATTTCATGGTAAAGCCAGTAGCTCTCAGATATACAGCCATGCAGCACAGGAAGGGAAATTATAAAGGAGAGCAAGAAAAGGAAGATTAAAGACACAGCACTCATGATTTTTCATTATACCTTATCAAGCACTGCTTCATAATGATCAGAACTAAGACATCTGAAGCATAAACATCATGCGCAAAGAGACAAAAAGTACCAGGTCCAAGTTACCAAGCAGCTCTTCAATTTCATAAGTGTTTCTATGATTTTAAGAATGTGATTATAGTTCATTAAATATACTTGTTATAAGAACACATAGAACAGTGTGTCCTTGGGGGGGGCTCTAGCTCCATAACGCTTCCATCTTAAGAGTAAGAAGCTATCCACAGTTGCATCTGGTTTTACAAAGGGGAATTTACTGCTCAAAACCATTTTGCCCTGACAGCCATGGAAGCTTAAATCCACAGACCCTGCAGAGCAAGCCAAGCATGTCTGCTATGCTGCAATACGCACCTGCTGGCTAGAAGCTGGCCAATGCATTTCAGTGAAGACAAGCAAATAAGCATGAATTCCTAACGGTATATTGTCTGAAGAATGTCCCAGCATCTCTCATTGGCAAGTTCTAGTGCCACACATTGTGTCTTTTAGATGATTACATTTCTACATATTGGTTGCCCGCAGATTTTAAGTGGATGTTAGAACTGTGTAGAGGCACTGCAAGTGAAATTGGTGGCCACTCCTCCTTCTCACTAGGTTATAACCTTTTTAAAGGTAAGGATACTCTTCCTCTCTGCTCTGGGAAATTCCCAGCATGCCCCCTTCACTTCCCATAACAGTGTTATTTAATGCTATATGTAATTATTCTGTAAAGTCTTCTTCACACTCAGAAAGAGGAGCTTGAATGCTTTGGGAGTGAGATGCAGACAAAGTTCAGATAAAACACGTCAATTACTCACTTCTATTGTTACAAACTAATAGCACTACAAGGCTGCTATTATGATCTGTCTTCTCTCCCCCAGCTCTGCATGAAGATCAATAACTTTTACAGCTACCACAACTGTATTTGTACAGTAAGGGTATTTACAGGCATAAGAGGATATATTGCTTGCTTTTATTCTACAGTTACAATAAAGGATCATATAGCAGGATATGGTGTCTGCTTCCTCACCACCTCCCCCCCATTTCTTTCGACTCATATGACAGTTAATGAGTCAGGATACTTCAAACCACAGACACTAACACTCGGTGCTATCAGAAATCCTAAGAGAGAGCGCAACATGTGATTCTGTACAAGCCATCATGCAGCCATATCGTGAGGCACAGCCATTTAAGTGCATTGCTGGTAGTTATGTCAAAGGTTTGATCTAACTACCACTGAAGCAAAAATGAGTGTTTTACCATGTTAGTAAGGCAATAATTTCTACATTCCATACTTCTGCACTGTTAATGAAATTCTCTGGTGCTGTTAATACTCACTGTAAAATGTCAAAACACTAGATTACATGTGTATAACCTGTAAGTGGCCTTTACTCTGAAAGGTCATTAAGCAAACAGCATTCAGAGATTTTCACACATGCAAAGAGCTGATCCAAAGGCAATTAAGACAAAAAAAGTAGTTGGGCATTGCTCATCTGCAATAATTGCATAGCAATGTAGCTTATCACAAGGTCATTCAGAAGTGGGGATTTGTAACAATTTTTAATGTCCCTTTCAGAACTGAACACAAATACATCAGGCAGGATGTCACTTTAAGTCTCATCTTCCTTAACGAATTGCCACAGATCATTGTCTCTGCTGGGGAAAAACATACCAGCAGCAGCTTCTTTTAAATAAAGGCTTTTCCAGCAAGTAGCAAGCACAAGACTGGAGATTCCCATCAGTTGTTTCAGATGAGACAGAAAACAGTAATAGAATTAACCTTTGTAGTACTTTATACCAGGGAAGCACAGTTTTAAATCTCAGAATTAGTCTTGACTGAATGATCCAAAGATGAAGTGGTACAAACATATCCTCGTGGGGACAAGCAATCCTATAAATGCTCTCCCATATTTGTAAATACAAATGATCACACTACTTTAATTTGATGAGGTTAACACCAATACACATCTTTCACCTAGTGTCTGATATGTTTTCCTAAAATCAGGCTTTAAAAATCAGATTAACCAGTGTTTACATCAATTCACTCATGTGTAGATTATGGGTGAAGTTAACATAAGCAAGAGAAGTTTCACTGCCTCTGAAGAAATCTGTTAGTTGTTCCATGCAGCTCTTCCAGTACAAAGTATAAATACCCAATACCCTACCAGAACAGTCACCACTATGCAGGACACTTACCTGGCATGTAAGAGAACACTGTTTGAGTTTTTAAACATATCTAAACCTCAAAATTCCAGCAGACCTCCAGGCCACTGGCTGTTCTCTCGCAGGACGCTAATCTTCTGTTGGAGCTCTTCCAATTCATACAAAATCATTTCATATTAAGCCATATGAGTGCCATACTCAGTGGGTTACACAGGAGATTCTCACCCAATGAGTATTTACACAAAGCACGACAGCTCCAAATGAGAGCAAGAGATCCTACCCAGTACCAGCCCGCATAATGTGATGGTCACTTCCTGGGATGTGCAAGTCCAATTTCTTTGTCAGTCAGAGCAGAGATTTGAACCTGGAGCTTTTACACTCAAATCATGTTTCTTTCTGGCCAGAAAGTCTACCTCTGAGGTTCTGCAAAGCTTCGTTGGTTTAAGGACCCTCCATTGAAGCTTTTGTAAGTTCTCATACAGTTGTGTAAAGGATACAGGAAGGCTTTTGAGAAATTATTACCCTTAAGAAATTTCCTCTTCAGCTAGAAAATTTGGGCACTGGTGAAATACAGTGACAGCCAATTCTTAAAACGTGCCTGTAAATGGTATTTCTGCTACTCTCCTCTCATTTGTGCCTCTACACACAAGTGCCTTTTAAATTTAGACTCACTTGAAGACGTGTAATTTACATCTCTTCTCTGAGCCACTTTGAAACTGGCCACAGACTTCCAGAAGACACACAAGTGTTGGTTCCATTTCACATCACCAAACGCAGAGTTACTTTAACATCCAGACAAGTGTCATGCCACTCAGGTACGTGCACTTGACTCACACTCCTAAGACTGACTGAGGGAAAGCAACAGACTTTCTAGCAAAGCTTAAGCCTGTGAGCAACAGCAAGAAGGAATTCCAACGGAAGTAGGAGCAGCACACATGCAGTTGCTTGAAGTACATGGCATGCTAGTAAAGAGTTGCGATTCTTCTTCCTCAGGCTTTATCAGAGTGAATGCAAGGATTGTGAAATACTACAAAGTTCAAAGAAAAATGAAAACACACAACATGCAATCATTTTTCATTTACTCACTATATCCAATGGAGTTTTGCTTCCAATCTAATTAAAAATGTCAATTAGAACAATTAAAGACAGAAGTATTTAAGAATAATGGTAATCTGCAAGTGTTTCTAGGGTTGTTGTTGTTTTTTTTGCATTGATTTGTTTTTCCTGTCCAATAAACTGCATTACTAGCACTGCACGAACAGAACCCTAAACCAACACCTGATCCTCTGTGCACCCATCTGTACCTATCGATAGAATACACCTGAAGCAATGAGACTACTGCCTACTGCAGACAGCCACTGTGGATAGATACCAGTTCTGTTCCTTCTTAAGGGAGGAGGGGAAAGAGGAAAATAGTAAGAATGCTTAAGATCAATCTACTCAATTGACGAAATACAGACACAAAATACACACACTGTGGGAGACCTTGCCTGATGAAGTTAGGTTGCTTTGTAACCCTCAAATACCAACCAACCACTGACAGTTTCTTTCTGAAAGTCTGTTCATGCAAGCAAACATCTTGCCTTGTATAAATATGCCTGATTACACCTCTAAAATCCCAGTGCCCACAGCTCTTTCTGAGCTGCACAGTCTAATGCAATGCCATATGCCATCAACAAATGCCCTTTTCATTTGATTCAGTAGATTTGAGAGTCAGATAATCTTCACACATTTACATTTAAACACCATACACACAGATACACAGACAAGTATCTAAGGCAACAGCAGAAGTCCATGACTTCTTCCAAACTGGAGGAAAAATGTCTCCTGCAGTTCTGCAATGGCCTTGTTATTCTGTCAGAAGACAGCAGATAGAAGAGCCTTGCTTTTTCACCCCAGGAAAATAAATACATAAACTAAAAAATAAAGACCAAATCTGTCAGAGAGACAAAATAAACCTCCGAGATGCCAGGCAATACTCCTACCCTACAAGCCAAAGTGCCAGCAGGGTGCCAGAGCAAATGGTAAATTCCTGCACTCATTCACTTCACAAAGCACCATTAGATGTCTAGAAAATGTTCTTAGGTTCAATATTATCTAGTTTCCAAAACACAAACTCTAAGCCAAAATGCACTGCTATAAGCTAACATATATCACCATACCTAGCATATATAGGCTCCTACTGATAGTTTAACTAGTGGGTATATCTGGCAGTAATGCTGACATTGAAACTCAAGTCATTAAATCAGTCTATCATGATTTGGGGGGTTCTAGGACTAAAAGACAAATTAGGTTTATTAAAGTTATTTTCAAGCATTAAGTTCCTAAGCTCTTTTCCTTTTTAGAACCACTCGAGTTAATGACCTTGCACTTCTCCACTAACAAAGGAGCTTCCACGTGGGAAAAGCTCTTATAGGTACAAAGTCATTCACTGCATGAAACACTATCACCACTTGTTTCAAACAAAACACTCCCTTTAAGATACAGGATGTTGGTCGTGGGGATGGACAGGTATTTATGGAGGAGAAAACCCAGAATGTATCCCCAGAATAAAGAGATTTGCATCAGAAGGAGGTCTAGGGACTGCCACTTGGACAAACATCTGAGCCAGATCCCTACGTGGCTAAAGGCTTTTTAACACCTATCCCAACCACACTTGTGATCCACTCATCACTGATTACCACTGTCCTGCTCACAGATGGATGAATGAACAAATTCTTACTGGTAAGAGACATATATAATTAGTAGCAGCCACATCAGATTTATGGGGTCTGTGATTTCAGTTCCTCCCCAGGCTAAAGAACCAAGTGCTTTGAAGGCACAGTTTAACTATTTTCCCGTGGTAGCAGCCAGTCTAATAAAAGGTGTTTTCCTTCTCTTCAAACCCAGCCTCTTCCTCCATGTCACAACCAAAGCAGCCTTCTGCTAGCAAGAAATCTCCCTCTGCCCCTTCTCCCTGTCACACACAGATGTGCAAATCACCGTGTTTCAGGCAAGCAGACTGAAATCTGCCTTTCCTTTTGGACAAGGTCGTCAGTGAAACCACGCCTCCTCCCAGCTTCTAATGAATTAGCCCATGGGCTAATTTGACTTCTATTAGCCAAGGAGTGAATTTCATTTGCTGTTTGAATAAAGAGCAGAGTAAAAGAAAAGAATAATCACTGACTCTTACAGTCAGAGAAGAGAATTCACTCCAGGAGACAGGCATTTCATTCTGTTTGCCCTAACACTGCACAGAAACCTATTTCTGCCAGCACAAAGTGCTTGACTGGCTCTCCAGACGGAACTTTAGTGTGAAATTACAATTTCAGTTTCACTCTGTTCGCACCAATAAGGATTTTGTGATAAGAGATCACTTCAATGAAAAAACCCACCATAATTTTATTGCTTTCAAAGTAGCTTGGTGATGTGATCAGCTCTAAAGCACCAGCTAGCAATCATGACCAATATCCCTGACTACCCAACACTGAAGAAGTCAGTGCTATGCTAACCAAATGTGCGGTTATTTTTAGAGGCAGGGAAGCAGATGGGAGTTTCAGTTGCTTGTGAGCACACATGCCCACCATTGAGCCTTCATGAATGGCTCCTTACAGATGGAGAAAGATTTCCAGGATCTGCTTCCACTCATCTATTTTTAGCAACATCACGTCATTCACTGCAGTGCAACAACCCCACTAACACCCCAGGCAACCTAAAGGTCCTCCAGCAAAAAGGAGTCTGTCATCGAGCTCTGTGGTTGAACACACAAACACAGATTTTATTTGTTTGGGTCAAAGGATGTGACCTTTTCACTCTTTATGCTTATTTCTCCTAAGACCTCTCCTCTTCCCAAGAAGTATAGCTAAATTCCAGCCAAGGTACTGGGCTCACAGTAAACACACAAGTCAAAAAATGAAAATATATATTATATGGTAGATAAACCAGCCTTTCCTAAACTACCCTGAAACACGTAGGTATCTTGTCATGCTGAGAAGCTGTGCTGCTTACAGCACAGATCAAATCCCTCAGCAAAGGAAACTCCACTGGATCCTGCATCCTCTTCTGCAGACTTTCTTAAGTGAGCATTTATTTAGAAGTAAACTATTTTAAACACCTCTTCTAAAAAAGCAGGGGAAAGAGAGGAAGCAAAATTAATGTTATCAGGTCTTTGATAAACTTGACATATTCTGGAACACGGAAATAATTCCCTGACATTTTGCTTAAGTACAGTGTTGTGCATGTAGAGAAATACTAGTAACCATTATTCACAAAATCAGAATTATTGTTGCACCCGCTTTGCCTTAGCTTTGATCAGAATTAAAACCTGGTATTTTATATGACCCCCTTTCCTCTAACAGCTTTATGCCCATAAAGAACTGTCTTGTTCTAGGGAAGATAATTCCTAGATATTTTCACCTATGAGCTATCAATAATATTTATCCAAGGGATAGATCAGTAAAATAACAGTGATTTTGGCACTGAAAAATAATGCTTTTATTTCAGTAATCCTGCCTGAAAATCCTCTTCAGGATGGAAGGGACTGGAAATATTTTAGGAGCATTCTGTATGTTAGAATTCCTGTGATGGAGATTCGTGTTTCAAAGTCAGCACTTTTATGACAGATATCAATTTAAAAGTCACACCTAGAAGCAATTAAGCCTTACTGAATTCTTCACTCAAATATGAATAACTAAAGCAGTTGAAGTACTGCGGTTAATAGCCACCAGAAATACAGATCATGGTTCATGGCAAAGTCCTTATCATAGGTCCCCTACAGAGAGCACAACAAACTGTGACCAAGCCACCAGTCAGCCTCACAAGTCAGTGAGGCTCCCTTCCATCTGCATCAGATGAATACTTACTGCAGCTTTTAGACAGAGCCTTCAAAGAGCCATGAATAACCATAACCCTGTCAAAACCAATCTGATTGCATTACAGGATTGTGATGTCTATCAATGACACTGCTTTATCAGATGAAGGCAGAATCAACACTTAGCTTAACACCTGGGAGTCTCATGTTGGAATAGGTGATAAATTTAGGTAGGAGGATTCTTTCCATTTCATACCAAAAGCACAATCACTTTTCAGCTACTGAAGACTTCGGTCTTGACCCTTTTGCCATCCTTAATCCAAGCAATGCAAAGAGATCAGCGTAAAGATGGTGTCTATATCAATTAGTCACCATTAACAGATACAAAGTTATGAAACTCAGGACTTGGTAACTCACTAGAGCTAGGGAACAACTGCTCACACGAACAAAACCGAATCACCTTCTTCTGACAGTCAGTGCAAAGACGGTGGGTCCTTGTCCTACTGTTGACAGAGCACAAATGCTTTCTGGTACATCTAGCTTTTGTATTCCAGAGATAAAATGAGATGTCTGTCAGCCTCTAAACACCAATGGCAAAATCCCAGTCGCCACAAACCTTTCAGGCAGACACCCTAGTCTGCAATAGTGTTCCTTTGCATGCAAAAGGCTAAAATTCATAGCACTTTTCTTTCACCATTGTACACAGAAGAGCTGTATGACTATAACTCTGGAAATTATGCTTGACCTTGGGTTTCTATACTGCAGCTGTAGTCACAAAGACAGGAGACTGACATGGAAAAACATTGGATTTCTCTGTCCAAATATAGAACACTTGCTGCACAGCTGTCTCTAGCCCACAGTTTGCATTTCATGCTCCAGAATTAAAAGAAAACCCAACACCTCTGATAGGCACTGCATTCCCAGCTCTTCCTTTTGTCTGGCAAGCCTAAGCAACACTGGGACTTGATAGCAGGTCATTGTCTGCAACTGATCTGTTGCCAGACAATGTGCACAGCAACAAGTGAAAGAAAAGAGAGGTGACCTTGCTCTGTGCCTGCTCCATGCCTCACAGCACACAGGGACCATGATACACAGGCTGAAAGAGAATTCCTTACTGAAGATGCTTTTACAGAGGTCCCTGCTCATGCAAGTCATGCAAGAATCTGGTGGTAAGACATCAGTAAGGTTTCAATACAGACTGCTGTAGCCATACAAGTGTAGACTTGTACACAGCAGAAAGCAGGCTACTCTCTCTATATATGTACCCTTCAAATACCAAGAACCTTTCCTATGGTTCCAAATGGGCAGCAGGTTTAGCAGAGGACTCTTCCATCCCCCGGGGCAGAACCACAAGAGATCAGCTCAGGTAGAAGGCTCTGAACAAGGAAAGGCCAAATTTGCTGCCACAAGCAACAAAGGAGCAGTGATATTTTAAGTGTCCTAAATACACATGCTTGCAGACAGGAGCTAAAGGTTTAACATCCCACCTGACATTCTGACCCAGGGTATAACTACAGGTCAAGGTTTCCAAGCTGCTGTAACCCTGATGTAGGCCAGCTGCAGTATTTCTCCTGCAATGGCAGGAACTGACAGCGCTGGTACATGTGGTGTAAAAGCAGCATGTGCTGTGCAGAGCTCCTTTTCAATAATTAAGAACTTTGACTCTTCAACAAAGAAAGAACAAACCAAAGAACATAGAACAGTAACCAGCACACAGTGTTCTTACTAAAGCAGATCTATACAATACTCTAATTAGAGCTCTTAATTTTTTAAGCAATTAAAGCCTATTTATATGTGACACACTAATTTTGGGTCACCCTGTATATCAAGCAGATCAGTTAACACCTATCTTCATGACACTTCTTTTTACAAGTCACAAACTTCTATAAATCCATACTATGCCTCTCCCAAATCCAATTTTTGGATAAAAATATTTTGCTTCTTATGAGATGCAATTTCTAATCATTCAGGTCCAGGATATTAAAAATCAACAACCACACCCAGTTACATTACATACAAGGTTAATCTTGATTATAGTAACTCTATCAATGCTGCTATTGCTTCGCTAGGGGTAAAAAGGCATTGCTGGTACACATCTGACAAAAGCTATTTACTCTCAATTTGCAAGTCGGATAATGTGTCAGGTAAATAAGGCACACATGCTGCCACGCACTGGAAACTACCCCTTATTGCTAGCACATACACATATACTGGGAATATGTTGATGACAGTTGAAAGTAATTTGAGCACACAAACTCCACTCAAAGAAAACATTTAAACACCAGCTTGTTAAACAAGGACTGGATTATCGAGATGAACACGTTTCTAAGATCCATCTGGTTGCATATATTTGAGTTTGCTGCACCATATTACATGGTTTTTACAGATTTCTGAATATCCAAAGAACTCAAATAGTAACTGTCAGGGAAGTTCATAATACTGGCATAGGCACATGTATATCAGCAGGTAAGAGACTTCTGAAACTGCCTGAACACTCACCAGTTCCAAACACTGCCGGTGCCCATATGCAGCAGCATAATGCACGGTGTTGTACCCCTCTTTGTCTTGGATGGATGGATTGGCATCATTTTGTAGGAGGAACTCCAGACACCTGTGGACAATTCACTAGTGTAAATGTGAGCTCACAATATTTAAGAGACTCGTCCCTCACTGCAGATAGGAGTGTCCCTGAACACTGGCAGTTAATTCTAGCAGCACCTCAGATTGCCTTTCACCAACAGCTCCTCACGTTCACCATTATTTCAAACAGAAAAACCCCACTCATCTTTGAGGATCAGCTTCATAAAAAACAGTTTCAACCTCAGTTTTGCAGGTACTCTAGATTACAAAAAGTACTGTCTATAACAAAGGCCAAAAGAATACTACACAACTCTACCATTGTGGACACAGCCTAGAACTGCTACAACTCATGTAAAAACCTGTATCAAACCACTGGCCTCCAAACATGCACTATGGCCAGCTGAAAAATAGACTTAACTGGGTTAATTTCCTGGCATATATGTACATAAACACATGTTCTTCTCTTGTTTGGTTTTGTATTTTGTTTTAAATCATGTGCTTTTCAAAGGATCCCTTAGGTTCCTGCCACTTTTTCTTATAATCATCATGAAACCACTTTGTTATTAGTTCTGTCTTCCATAGCTTGTAATTTGTGGTGAATGTAAGGCTGTCATATGAAAAAAGGGATTTTTAAAACAAAAACTAGATGAACATACATACTCTACACGAAGCATTAAAATAAGGCAGTGCATGATAATAATGAATTATGAAATTACTGAGGCAGTGCATTTTCAGTGGCATTTCAGCAACAAGCACAGAAACAGAAATGTTAGGTATTATGTGCACAGAGAAGAGTGTAGAGCTTTTTCCTTCAGATTAGCCTTCACTAAAGCCAAGCATTCTTTAGCAGAGCAATGAATGAGCAAAAGCAGAGTGTGAAACTGCAGCCCAAAGCAGCGGCATTCTCCAGAAATAAGGTGTAACTGCTTTACTGACACCAAACTTACAATGCAGCTTCTTTTTCCTTCATCTCAGTGGCTCTTTCAAGTTCTTCAGCATTTTCATGGGAGTTACCTAAAATATTCTTTCTTCTTAGCACAGAGGACAGAAAAACGCACCTTATTTCATAAGTATCATAACCAGTGATTCTGATGCAGTCTGCCACCCATCCCCAACCTCCTCTGCAAGGAGCTCGCCTCCTCCAGCCAACAGCAAGAATTACATACATTAAATGAGTGCACTGCATGGGTCTGCAGCTGATGCGTTTTGCAAGCTATGGAGACAACTACAGTGTGCTAGTTTATTGACCTGCAAACCAATGCCAGGAATGAAAAAAGAAAGAAATCTGGTCTCTATCAGAAACAGTTTGATCATCACTTTCTAGAGTCCTTCCGTTTCTCCCACAGCAATGTTGTGCATTTTGCTTCCTTTGCAGAGAGAAACTCAAGACTACCAAGTTTGCTTCTTCCTACAGTAAGCTCCTAGTTCTCTAGCATTTAGGATTTAGAGAAACTTTAACCACTGCTACTGAATTGGCCTATTTGATTCTGCATCAGCTGGGTTGCTGGCTGTTCTTCACTTTCTGTGAATCATCTTGGAAACAATGTGTGCATCTTCTGGTGAGGTTCTTCAGATTCGTCAAAGAATGTCTTCTCAGCGTGTCTTCATACTCCTGCACCCTCCTGGATTACTTCTGGCAGGTCTGCTTCCCAGCTGGATGGATGGCACACAGAACACTATAATTTGTGATCTTACAGCCGTAAGCTTTCTTGGCCACTAAAGCTAATAGAGAATGTGCTTACAACTGCTGTCATCACGGACTGGTAGCTTGAAAGGTTTGTAGAAGGACAGTTTGCTAATTTCAATCCATATAACATGCAAATTCCAGACTGGCTTCTGCACAATGCGCAACAGTACATTACTTCTTTACTATGCATTTTCCCATTTGTAATATCAAGATCTGACATCCTTCCTGTGGGTGCTAGCAATAATGGTTGTTCTGCAAACGCAGGGTCTGTCTGATGTCCACTGATTCCAAGAAAACTTAATTTCTAATAAAATAACTCCCCTGAATATTAACATTGTAAGCTCATAAACAGCACTCATGTGCTATGCTGGAGTCCTACCTGCAGTTGCTTTCAGTTAACTACAGATGTGTGACATCCCAGAAAAAGATTCCCTGCACCAAAACTTCTTGCTCATACCTGCCCACATCCAAAGTTAAATAGTTATGAAGATTCTTTGGGCTGAGACTGCCTGACCTTGGGAATTTTTGCCATTCAGCAGGAAAAAAAAGATATGCTGACCTATAAAATCAGGGGCTGCAAACAGCATTTCATCTGTGTAACAAGACTTCTTCCAGAGCATCTCAAACTGGAAAATTTAATGAGAAGACAGCATCACGACATCAGATTCAATTTAGGTTTGGACTATGAGGGCAAATAAAGGCCACATAGTCCTGACAATGTTCAGGATGTGACTAAAGCAAGCTTTTGCTTTTAATTAGTTATGGAAGTAGATATATCCTGAAGTTAACCAAGAGCTTGTTTAAATGCAGGAACTTCATCTACAAAGAGCCAAAAGCTGAAAACCACACACCAAATCCCCACTGTCAACATCCCAGGTAACACCTCTCCTGAGCAAGACAGAATTAGAAACAGCCAGTGCTGAAAGCCTTCCTACAAGCCTACTCTAATTGCAATGACAAGCACAGACTTCTGAAGATCCTGCTGCCTTCTTTCCAGCACTGTTCAGGTTTGAGGGTGATAAGGAAGACATTCTTTATATCACAGCAAATGATGAAGAAGCTACCAAGGCTCTGGTATGGCATCCAAATGTCTACCGTAAAGTTAAGCCAGAGTTTTCCTGTGAAGCCTCGGTGGCTTTGAGATGGTATTCTGCTGGGAATGAGCCAGATGTGTTTTTACCAGACCTCACTACACAAGAAACCTTAAAGTCTAGACGAATGAGAGAGAGAAACATGGGATAACCTACAATAAACACAGGCCACTAACAGTTTTAAGAGAGAACTAACAGGATAACTGAACTTGCTTTATAGAGTATAAGGATGAGATTGCCAAAACATGCAGTATCTGGAAATTAGGAACTGCAGTCACTAACCACAGGATTTCTAACCATTGCAGCTGTTTTCCCCCTTTCTCACAAGAAGAGCTCTGCATTCTGCCAAAGGAAATTCCCCAGTCCTCTCTCTTTTTAAAGTCTCTGAAAGCAACCTGTTTGGCCAGGGGGAGCATTTTTAGCAGCTCTGAGAGTGGAGACCGACTGATGGGTAGTTCTACCCCAACCCTTCAAGAAAGTCTGTCAGAATGGCTAAATGTATTTGTCACTGCAGCCCACCTAGGAAAACCTCTGCTGCTGTCTCTTCCTCCATCCCTTCCGAGGGACTTGCAAAGCAGATGTAGAAAATTCTCTGAGCTTACTCGTATGAGGAAACCAGACAGAGGAAAACAGAAAATGTGGTGCAAAATAGTTCAGTAGGACACTGTGGCTCCAAAACTGTGGGTTACAGCAAAAGTAACTGAGCTGAAATGCCACATCATCTGGGGATTTGGCGTATAGTCAGAGCAACTCAGTGTGGAGCTATCCGTACATCTGAGGGAAATTCCTTTGCTAGAAGGATCATTTTTTTGGCTCAAGTGAAATAGCATCATGAAGAGAATAGAATAACTCTATTTTAGCAGCACACTTTAAACAAGGAATACAAAGAGGCTTCCTTACTTTCGGTCTATGTCAGAAGCAGCAGCATAGTGCAAAGGGGTGCGTCCCCAGTCATCTGTTTCATTAATATTGGCTCCTGTTGTCACCAGTGTCTCAATACAGTGGAAATGACAATTTGCAGCTGCATAGTGCAAAGGTGTCCTGCAACATAAGTGACAATTTGTTACCTTGTATTCCAATATGCACCACCAGGGATAATAAGAAATCTTAACTGCTGCATTGCAGTTAATATCAGTGCCTTGTGTTCCTGTGATGAAATGCAAAGTTATGGAAATTTAACAAAACGCTGTGTTAACAGGAAATTTTGGTGCTCCTACGAAGCCTAATAGGATACACATCATCAACCTGTGCTTTGCAAACAGCCTATTTCCAGTGACAGCCTCTGCTGTTGCTCTGCATACATGCTACTTTCTTCCAGTTGGGAGGCAGAGCAAAGCATGGTGTCCCTCTCAGCATCTTCTTTAGGTGGCATAGCAACAATTCATTGGAGAAAAAAAAGCCCTCAGGGAGGCATGTCAAATCACAGCAATCCTCCCATTGTAACCCAGGTATTGTCTTGGGCACACAAGCACAAGAATTTAGGCAATGAGAGAAGCAATAAGGAAAAAAAATGAACCTGTGATATTTTTAAACCAGAAAACTCAAGAGAGTGTGATGGCTTTTATGTATTTAATGAAGTCTGCACCTGTCTGTCTGGCATGTAACTGTGGCAGCAAGAGTTCTGCAAGGAAGGCCAAACTCCTACTTTATTTTACCGCTGTTTTTCATTGAAGATACAATTTCCAGACTGATGCAAGTCTTTCTTCCCTGCCTTCTAGATTCCTTTCTTTTTAAAATAAGCTTCATCGTTTACTTACCTCCCACATTTGTCCTTCTTATTAAAATCTGCTCCACTGCTTTGCAAGAGTTTTATACATTCAACATTACTGGAAAGAGAAGGAAAGAAAACAAAACATGAACAAACCAGAAGTTTACCATCTGTGTTGCCCCCTGCCTTCAAAATGAGAAAGTTCCTCTATTTTGTATTATTTGCCATGCAAAACCAAAGCAGAGCCAAATGCAATGTGAAATTCAATCCAATAGAACATGAAGCTTTGAAAAGCTAATTCTTTTTTTTTTCTAGAAAACCTTTAACTTCCCTTTTGCAGACGAAAACCAATTTGTTTTCCAAATAGAGCACAGTACATGTGATGTGAGTTCAGTGTGTTTGAAGGTTTGCAATGGGAGCTGTACTCTAATGCTTCCCACACTGAACTGGCATTTTATGAGAGAATTTTAGGAGAAAGTTGTTGCTAGCTCATAAAATGCCAGTCCAATAATGAAGAGGTGACATTTAACGAATTCCACCCCCTTCCAGCAAAGCAGTCAACAGGAATCACTTTGCTCAAATCCTGTTTACTTAGTGAGATTTAATCACAAGAGTTCCTCGTTGGGTAACTCTTTCACATGATTCGTTGACTACTGACAGATCTAAGCACATCTCTAAGCGCTTGGCTGAATAAGGGGCATAGCTATTTGAAGTGATTGCCATATCAATATTGCATTTATATAAGTGGATCACTTGGACTCTGTTCTATCTGCTGAAGGACTTCCCCACATATAGCTGCTTCTTCATCTTTAAAGTGAGGTGATTTTTAATAGAAAACAGAACAGCTCAACTCTCACATCTTTTGTAATGCAAGCAAATATATATATGACTCCAAGCCAGAAAATGACATAAAGAAGTGCAGCACTTTCCAAGGTTCCCTGTCATTCACAGGGACAATAAATCATTGGTGCTCACAATCAGATGAGCAGGCCTTTGAAGCATGTTCTTTTCCTAGTACTCATGCAACTCCCATTAATATAATTGGAGTAACAGGCATGTGTCAGGAAAAAAATTAATGCATTTTCTATAGGTCCAGCTCCAGGAAAAAAAGAAGACTGTACGCAGTATGTTGGCATACATTCATCCCTACTCTAATTTGCTATTGCATAAAATAGCTACAGAACACTCACCACAATGTACTAAAAATAAAAACACTTGTTAGTGATGACAACTGCAGTAAACCACTGGAAAATATGGTTTATTTTCATGAGCCACTTTTGCCTCTTACAAAGCCTCTCCTTTTCTTTCAGACTTCCAGGTTGTTTTTCTTATTCTTTTGGGTGCAGCCTTACTGAACTATACCATAATCATCTCCATCCAAGCAACAGCCATACCCCCGCTATTAATGTCAGAGAGGTTTCAAGAAGAGCAATACCATGAGGATGATAGAAACAGTATTTGGACTGATTATTTTTTTTTGTAATAATAAAAACTTTGTGATACTCGTTTTGGTTCACTGAGAACTAAAACCAACTTCCAGAAAGAGCGCCAAGTGCTTGCTGTGGATGACCATTCCTGCTTGCTATAACCACAGAGAATCCAAGCTGGGTTCTAGCCAAGGCTCCATTTCAGCTGTTTACTGAGCCATAAAGTACTCAACAGAAGAGTCAAAGCTCAATGCTTGCCAAATGCTCTGGCCTTTTGCTAGGTTAACTTCACAGCACTCCACTGACAATTACTTGGACATATTTAAACTAACTGGATGCTACGTTTACAACTGAAATTGATGCATTTCATTTTTCATTTGGTGCCATTTCTGGCCTCCGAGCACTTATCAGGAATGCATCACTCTGAGAGAACAACAGTCTTTTGCCTTTTCAGTGTGGAGGTTGAGGGTTGTTTGCTTGTTCTGGGGTTGGTTTTGTTGTTGTTTTGGTTTGTTGTATTTTCTTTTAGTATCTTTTCAGATTGCACCTGAAAAATGGGAAAGAGGGAGATGAGCTGTGTTTGGACTCCAGGATTCCAATATGATGGGCACTGTTGCATTTTCAGAGGACACAGTCCAAAGGTGGATGCTGGGAATAACTCCCCTACCAGCAGCACCCCAGGAGCTACGGCTCCTCTTCCTTACTCACTCTGTCCCAGGTGCTGGTGATTTCCTGCTGACTGCTGGCCCTCAGCAATGGTTGTGGTCAAAAGACAGACTTGGGTTATTATGCAGTACCCCCATTTAAAGCTGAGGCAGTCTTCCCAAGGCCATGAAAAGAAAGAGTTTTACCCTATGCCTGAAAGCCATGCTTCAAATTGCCCAGCTCTCTGCAGTAGACAGAATCAGACCACCTCCTTTACTTTGCAAGCAGCCCCTACATCAGGGCAGTGGCAAAAGACAGCCTCAAGTGACCCAAGTTTGACATCAGACTGCTTTGCTTCCCTTGCGCCACAATAAATTCCTCTGTGGATGGCACAGTCAAGTTGGCTGGCACCAAACCTGCAACGAAGCCACAAAATAACTTACAACAGCTATAGTGGCATTTACTCACCCTCCTGCAGCGGCAGCGTGGAGGCACGTTCTTCCAAAACTATCAGGGGTGTCTATTTCAAAGCCTGCAGACAGCACGTGCTCATTACTAAACAAGGACACTATGCTATACTTTTGTCCTAGTTAAACCACAAGAAACATTGCAGAGACAGAAAAATCAGTTAGTTGGGAAAGAAACAGAACACAAGCAACTACAGTCAGAAAGAGGTTGTCAGGGGAACGGCGAGCAGCTGCTCCATCCAGTTTGGCAGCTCTATAAAAAGAGCTGCAAAGTCGACGAGCATCTATTTCCACATCAGCTCTCCTCGCCACATCCCTGTTTAAAACAGTGTGACAGGCATTTATGAGGCAGATACTTATCAAGAGGACTGCAACAGCAGGACATGAAGACAGAAAACATGAAGAAATGAGGAAAAACCAGAGTCAGATTTTGAAATGCGGGCATTTTTATTGCATGTGGTTTTCAGGCTGAAAAGAGCCTTCCAGGAGCACTTGGTGATATTCAAAGGTGCAGAAGGCCAAAGGATATAAACCTGGCAGTATTAAATCTGGTCACCCAGAGCTGCTTCTTCTCCTTTCAGATCTAGTGGTCAAGGCCAAAACACACCAAGGTTTAATGGAATGGGTACGCAATTACCATTTTCCATGCTTTATCCTACAGGACTCAAGTTTAGAGGGAAAAGTCATTGCAGGAGATTTTAGGTGTATAGTAACAAAGCAGTTTTGTAGAAAAAGCATATGATCTGCCTTGTGATTTTTTAATTCATGCAAGCTCTTGCCTGGAAAGAAAGAATTTGGAATTTGGCACCTGATGATGCCTCTTTTGTAACACTTGCGTCAGCAAGCTCCTTCTTCTGCTTTGGGCTCTTGTTTCCCGAGAACTGCTCTCTCAACACTACACTTTTCACTCATTTCCCATCTCATGTTCACAGAGCTTTGGACAGCCCAACTTCTTTACTCTGTCCAAATTCAGAGACACATTAGCTCTATCTAGAATACATCATCAGTGAGATGTAAATACCCACAACAGTGCAGAACCAAGGAGATAACTTCCTGAATTATTCCTCGGGGAAAAAGAACCCAAACCAAGGCAGTATCACACAGTCCCACAGTTTGGAAAAAGGGTCCTCAATTTCCTCCCTCCTCCTGGTGAATTAATATAAACTCTCTAAACCTGCCAGGAGAAAAGAATTTCGGGCATGAGCAATACAGGATAGGAGGAAGTACCAGCATGCCATTAGGAAAGCCTCTCCTGCTCCCTTACATTACATCACATCACACAGGCAAACACAGCAGCACAGGAAGTCTTTCATTTGAACAATCCACAACAATGAATAGAAAAGGGGCCACAAGCAGCAGAGACACACATTACTGGAGCTCCAGAGACACTGTGGGATTTACTTACCCGATGACAACAACTTCCTGCAGCAGTCTGAGTGAGCATTCAGTGCTGCTAAGTGTAAAGGGAACATGTTGTGGATCCCACACCTGAAAGGCACAACAGCCTCATTACACAGTGGTGTGGCAATGCAGGTTACACACAGACATGACACATGAAAAGCTCCTTCCTCAAAAGCAACCGTTTTTATCCTTTCAAGGAAGATTCTTCCTTGGTTCCTGCCATTTATTTTTATCTGTATTTTTTTAGCAGCCTTCTTGGGAGTTAAAAATATTCTGATACAGCAGTATCTTGGCTTCAGGTTTTGAACAGAATGTGGCAGGAAGGTTTCTAAAATTCAAGGCAAAAGCCAAGGTAAAGGAGGAAGCGAGAGAGTAGATATTGCTTGGAGTCAATTTCCTGGTGTGCGATGCACAAATTTCTGCATCAACCATGGATACTGCAACTGCCATTCTGAGGTATAAGTAAATGCCTAAATCTTCTTAGTATTTTTTCTGAAACCCATTTTTCCTGCAGTTAAAATCCTTCAGATAACTCTTGTGTGGGTTTTCAAAGCCTCCACTTCCCTCCCTCTCCCCTGGGGTTAGGGTAGCTGAAGGCTCTTCTTCACACTTTCCTTTAGGCTGCCATGACACACACAGTTTTCTTCCCACATCCTAAGAACTAAACATCTGATTTTCCTATTTGCTCCAGCTACTCTCCTCACACTCCTTTTCACTTTTCCCCCTTGTTCAACACATGATTCTTTTCAATTACAACATCAACTTCTCGCAGCAGACATGCTCAGTAAAAAAAAGGTAGGCACCTATCATTAGGCTAAATCTCTATCAGGCAACCACACAGCTTTTAAACAAGCTGAGCACTCAGCAGCCGTTATTAATATCAACAAATGATCCCAGTTCAGTCCCTAAGCACGCCACTGTTTACAGTCTCAGAAGACTTTTGGGTTTGGACATCTTGGCTTCTGTCATTTAGCATTGTTTTGTGAGAAGCATCTTGTTAGTCTAGAAATACTATCCTACCGGCAGCCCTCCAAGTGCACATAAACACAGAGCCTCTGAAACCAACTATCTCAACAGGATTAGCATCTCCTGCCTGCTTCAGCAGATATATTTGTGACAAATGACAAGCTCTTGAACAATAGCAGATGGATTCATATCTGCCCTTCACTTCTGGAAGACAACTGGTGGATGGGTGAGTATGATCACCTCATGGAAGAAGATGTCAGATAGGGATCCAAAGATGAAGGAACTTGTCTTTCTGCAAGACCCACAGTAAATCACAATAGCTTACAAAGCTTTAGAAGGTGGGTGTTTATAAAGATACTTTACTCTCTGCAACACTTTATACATAAATGTATTTAACTACGTTTGGCTCGTCTTTAAAAACTTACGGTTTCCAGAACCCACAGGTTCATCTTTCCTCTGTCTTCACACTAAACGTGTCCTCCTCACTGCTGCACTACACTACAGAGTGACTTGTGGTGCTGTACAGATTCTAATTTTGCTAGTGTCAGCAATCTACATCTAAGAGTAAATATACTAAAAGATGACCTGACAGCCTATTCTTTGAAAGGAACGGCACAAGTTCCACCGAACTGCTGTATCTGTATAAACGGATTGCATTTTTCTGCTGTGGATTCATTTATTTAAGCTAACATTGGACATTCTGTATCTCTGTGCTTCTTCCTGCACCTATTTATCTCCTCCTCCACCTAGTTACCTGAAGCAGTATTTTTCTTCTTTTAGGTCAAGATTTCCACTCAGCACATGATTTGGCCAGTTTCCATCAAAATCACTATCTGCACGTTTGCTAACCAGTGTCACACTTCTGTACTGCTGTTCACACTGGTTCCTCCCATCACTTAAAGCACCTTCCCCCTTAAATGCAGTTGCCTCAAAGGCTGACTGATCTGTCTGCAGTTGTAGCTAACAACACTGCAGAATTGTCACAGCCAGTTCAGGGAGCTCAGCCAGAGTTATTTACATGCAGCACATACGAAAGCCCATTCCCAGCATTTCAATGTTCCTTGTTCAGCACAGACAGTAGCATCACTTGGATCTGCTTGGTAACTTAGAGACAACTTCTTGTATCACTTATTTCTGCTGCTGGAAAAAGTATTTAATTTGATCAATGTTCCAGTCACCCAAGTGTGAAATAGAAATTTCTAACTGGATAACCCTGATTCCAAGAGTGGACTACCCCACTGCATCTCATTTTCCCGTTAAACCTCAAGATAAGAGAATTACTGTACTGGAGAAAGAGCTAGGAAAAACACACATCTATTTAGACACCAAGATCTTCATTCTGGCTATGTTAATAAACCCCAGTGACGTTAGCTGAAGCCTGTGGAATTTCATTATCCATGCCATTTGAAGAGCTGTTCCACACCACTTTGCATGGTGACACTTGTACTTGATAAAGCAATATGAGCAAATGTGCCACTTTCTCAAACACCATCAAGTAAACAAATAAAGTACCAAAAGCTGCAAGTATCTTCAAAATTGAAACCAGCTCATTTGCATCTGCAAGCAGGTTTTCCTAACTAGGCAAGTCAAGAAACGTCACCACTTCCTATGGCAGGTTCTAGGTAGAGAACTCCTAAATTATATTTTAGAGACATGTGGATGTAGCCGCCAAAAACTGACATTCATTAAATCAGATGCTGCTATTAAACACCTGGTACAAATATCCCTCATGAAATTGCATTACTTTGGTCTTATACCCCCTTTCTTTACCTTCAGGTTTGCTATTTTCCTTTGACAGATCATAAGAACCTGAAGATAACTAATCAATACTCAAGTACTCTTAAAAATCAAGCACTTGTCAATGTCTGAGTTGACAATGGTTATCATACTGTGGGTGCAGTCTTGATACATGTGCAAGACAAAAGAATTGAACTGAAGCAGAAAGCACTAACTGCATATAGAAATGTGTGTAATTTCAACTCATTGTCCTTCTATTGAAAAAAAGACTCCCAAACTCACAAATCAGATAAAAGCAGTCCAATTATTTCAGCCACCTGAATATCAGAAAACATACAACATCGAGACAGGTTCTGCTTCTACTGAGATCAGAAATACGTAGTAACACCTGCTTTGCAATACTGTATTTATATTGATTATCCTATGTCATACCAAAAGATACAAAACAAAAGAATGCTCCATCTCTGGCAGTGTTCAAGGCCAGGTTGGACAGAGCCTTGGGCGATACGGTTTAGAGCAAGGTGTCCCTGCCCACGGCAGGGGGGTTGGAACTTGATGATCTTAAGGTCCTTTCCAACCCTAACTATTCTATGTTTCTATGAAACACCATGTCTGACAGGCCACTAAACATTAAGCTAGTTTAGATACTAAGGAATATGCTCACAATACCCTTGGAAAGCATCTGATTCTTTTTCAGTTATGTTTCCTGTACAAATTCATTGCTGTGGACTTCTTATATTTTTATGTGATCAAGATGCACTTCACAGACATACATCTTTCATATATGTTATACACCACTGTGCCACATCAATGCTGCAGGAAAAAGAAGCAGCACTTGTAACCATGTAAATAGGCACAATAGGAACTTAGCAGGGTTTCCTTCCCCTCCACACTTCCCAAGTGTTCATCCATTAGCCTCATGTCACCCACTGCACAGCATACTTATGCTTATACTTATCCCTTTTAACCTTCACACTTCAGAACCTGAGAAGTAACTGTGTTTCCAGGCATTGGACATAACACTTGATTGTCAGAAACAGCTCCCCGTCAGCCACTTACTTGGCAGTATCAGCTCCACTGGTTATGAGGGTGTTAATCAAAAGCTCATGTCCGTATCTTGCAGCCACGTGTAGAGGGGTGTTACCATCCTTATCAACACAGTCGATTTCCCCTCCTGCAAGAAACGTTTTCATACCATTTAACACTGAAAGATTAAGCGTGAACCAGTGACCACAAATGCTATTTCTCTCTAGCAAGTGCAGCATCACCAATCCAGCCACAGAGACACTAAATTTCAGAGACCAAGAACGAGCACATAGCAAGCTGCCAGCCACTGGTACTGAATGTGGTCTGGCAGCATCACCTTCACCTCTTTCTCCAGCTACAGTGATGGAGAAAAGTGGTGGGAAATAGGTGAAAAGGATGATATACCACGGTCAAGTACATGATTCACACTTGCTGCTCACCTAAAGGCACAAATGGATGCCTTGAATTGAACTATCAAAATAAACTGCTGAAACTATGCCCTCATTCATAAAAGCACTGCCACTGAACCTTACCTGTAAGACAGCAATGTTAAATAGAGTTTGCTCCAGAGGCCAGCAGGAACACACTACAAACAACAAGCAGGTTGTGTGCCTTTTCTGTGCCTTACCAAAGAACAACTGAACAGTGCTTAAGTAGAACTGTTGTAATTTAAACCTGTCATCTTGTGGTTTATGATCACAAGCAGGAAAAATATATTATTTCTTTCTTCTCTGCACAGCTTTTGACCCACACAAGATTGCTATCAGGCCCTTGTTTTCTTTTTGGACCAAGGAACTGTAACTTTTTCAGTCTTTCCTTGTAAGTCAGGTTTGCTGCACTCCAGCTGGCCCACATCCTTCTGGAAGTGAAATGTCAAAAGCCAGAAACAGTACTACAGCTGACATCTCCAAACTCTGAGCTGAGCAAAGTGATTACTTCATGCCCGCTGGCTACGCTCCTATCTATACACCCCTGTACAATGCACAGCAACATGTACACTGTTGATCATTTTTCTAAGCACCATGGCACTATTGACTTGTGGCCACAAGCTTCTGACCTTCTGCAAGCCCCAGATCCCTTCCTGAGGAGCTGCCACCCACCCAGCTGTTGCCAATCTGACTTGTCCAATGGATGCTCCTGCTTGTGTGGGATCTTTGCTTTGCTTTACTTGCATTATAACTTCTGTCTCCAACTTTACAAGATCATTTTCCATTCTGAATCCACCTTCTGGCAAACAGTCTCTTCCAACTTTGTGTTTTCTCCAAATGTTAAAAGCACATTTTTCTATTCCTCTGTCCAAGCTGTTAATGAAAATACTGGATAGTTCCAGGTCCAGGAGGGAAACTGTACTACACCTTCCATTTCAACAACAATCTCTTTATTACTAATCTCTGAGTGTAGTTTTTCAATAACTTATGTACCAACACTGTGACATTTTAATACTCCACTGGTTTGCTATGAAAATACTTTATGAAATCCTATAAAAAATCTTGCTAACAACAGATTATGATAATATTTACTGCATGTCCACTATACACAGGAGATAACAAGTCATAACTGCAACAAGAAGAGTTCCAGTAAAGCATTATACAGCATTTTCTATCTGTAGATAAAGGTCAGTGAAATGCTGGGACAGTTTCCCTGGGGTGACACACATTACTTCCCCACAGAAAAGTCAGAGGACTGTGCTGTGACCACAAAGCCTACTACCCTGCAGCAGAAGAGAATTCGGACGTTTTGGCATCTTCTGCTCTTGAGCAATCTATGCCAGATATTGCCTGCTCCCCCCCAGGTGTTTACAAACAGTTTGTGCATTTGCTGATGTCAGAAATTTTGGCTGACCTATGTGAAATTCTCCAGCTTTGCTTTTCCACCATTTTTAAAGATAGGTGTTACATTTGTAACCTTCCAATTTAAAGGTAATCAGTTCTTCCTCTACAAGTCACTAGAGACAGCTGCCAGGAATCACGAGATCCTTAGCTAGCTCATTAAGTACTGCAGAATGAAACTCAATTTCTTAAAGTCATTGACATTTCTCTCTTCCACGATATCCCATGGCAATGAGGCAAAAAGTCACTTGCAACCAGATCTGTGCACAACACTAAAATTAGAGGGACAGCAAATGAAGAAAGAAGCGAAACCCAAGTAACTTGAAGAAGAGTAGAGAGGCATGAATGACAGACGAAGAACTTCTAGTCCTTTCACACACAAATCCAACACAGAGCAAACAACAGCTCTAAGTCAGAGACCGTATTTGACTAAACAGCTAAAAAACTGCACTAAAGCACAGTTTCTTCAGTTTGCCCAAGCTCCTTTTATTATGACTATTTTACTTATGCAAGAAGAGATACAACAGCAGTTTGCATGATGATGTGAAAGAAGCATGATGTACTGAAGACCTCCATTTTAACGTACAATTGTGTGTAAATATAGGTGTCACTACATTTACAGTTTAGCTGTTCAGCCATCTTCAATATCTCACACTTAGGTTCCAAGTTAGGGATTTTGGAAACAACAGAACCAAACCACGAACCACAGACCATCCTGTCTGGTATAGTGGCCAAAGCTGGGAAGCGTAAGTAAACAAGCAGTAATAGCAGCCTCTGTCAATCAGAAACAGGCCTCTGCCAGATCTCCAACAACAATATTTGTTATACTTTGTAGGCTTCTCGGACAAAGGAGATACCTGATAAATGACTGATAATCAGGAATCCTGGCTACGCCAGAACAAACAGGTTGGCACTGGTCCACCCTCCGGAGTATTTATTTAACACTTAATGAAGACAGTGGCAAGGCATAGAGCTAAGGGAGCATAGAGAAATACAGTTACTGAGTGGCGAGTAGAGAAAATGGTCCAAATTCTAAGAACACTGGGGCTCCCAAGGGAGAGCAACCATTTGTTTTCCAGTTTTTAAGTCATTTGAGAAAGAAAGTTGTACCTGCTTCTCAGCAGAAGACCTAAGTACAGCTTTGAACTCTTGTTTTCAGGTTAAGAATCACAATAGATCAGCTGGACCACTGTCAGCTGGAGGAATAAGGGATTCTGTTAACAACTAAAATCTCAGCTTGTAATGACATGCTGGAATGAGAGCTGTCAGTGCAGCTCAAAGCCAGAAGCCAATGAAGAACTAAGCAGCTCTCAGAGCAGACCTTTGGCACCCTGGGTGAGAACAACTAAACACTGCAACCTTGGAAATGCCTGATCTTTTGGAGAGTCATTAAACAAACACAGAAACTCACCATTCTGAATGAGGGTCTGCGACCGTGTGAACCTCCCATGGACGGCTGTCATGTGCAATGGGCTCTTCCCATCCTTACTCTAACAGAAACAAAACAGAAACCCAATCACTTAGCATGTGAAGTGCTGGTAACAATTTGAAGTCTCTCAGCTCAACACCCTACAGACAAAAGCTCCACTGGCTTCAAAAGTCTGTAGGACTGAAGCTATACATGATGATAAATGCAGAAGGTATAAGCATACAAGTAAAATAGTTCCTCAGCAATGAGTAGCAAAGGGGCTGGAGTAGAGCACGACCTTACAGCCTGGCTGTATACAATACGTGCTAGAAACTACAGATTTATAACATATTATCCTTTAATATTATTTTTAAGTAACGTTTCCAATTCAGTCAATATTTTTCTTAACAGAGGAAGCATAAAATTAAATATGACTGTCTCTGAGGGATTCAAGAACTATATCCTGTTTATTAATCTGCATTTTATAGATACATCCCAGAATAAACCCCATTATATTAAAAAGTTCTGGTTAATAAATTTCCATGCAATCAAAAATAGGATGTCTACAAATACCATTAGAAAACAGGGAAGGCATGTGAAAGGAAAGGTACAATGAGTAGAGATTAATGGTTTTGGTTCTAGAGAAAGAAACTGAGATAGGGGAAGCAGAGGAGCTGACAAAACAGCAAGGAAAAGGGTAGCAGTCTCACTACTCACATCACTCTGTGTTTATTGGCATGGGATTTTGCATTCCTTGGCTAGCACAATCCCTAATTTCATTTTAGTAATTCTGAGTTTAAATAATGCACTGACTACTGATCTAAAGGGACTTGCCAAAGGTGTTAAATGCTAAGAGACCAGTTTTACAGATGCGAAACTGAAACACACAATTTAAAGTACAGCAGTCAAAATCTTATATGAACTCAGAGATGTCAAGTCTTCTGTTATGCATACCAGTACCCTCTGTGGGTTAACAGCAAGGCCCTTTCAGCTTCATCAAGATGCATCAATTATATCTCAAGAAAATTCAGATATCCTAACAGAATCAGACTTCATAAACTCAGGCTCTAAAACAGGTAAATAAACAACCTTTAGATTTTACTTCCCCAGGAAAATCAAAAGGAACTCTTCAGAACCAGGTTTAATCAAATCCATACTGTAGGGGAAGGAAAATACCAGCAAGTAAGTTCCTTTACTTACCACTACTACCCAAGATAACATTTTGATAGAGCTCCTGGAACTATATTTTAATAGTGATTCATGCCTTAAGGTGAGTGGCTGGCCCAGAGTTTAAAGCTGTCATTATATTTATCAAGGTACTGAGAGCTCCTCTGCTGGGAAGCAGTCTCATCCAAACAATTTAATGATTAATTTCCTCAGCATCATTCTACTTCCATCAAGGATTTAAAGCCATGCTGTACTTGTTATTAGTTTCCAGTCTCCTGAGATATGCAAAACAGGATAAAGTAAAACTAAAGAGCTGCAATGCAAGTTTTACCTGAATGTTAACATCTGCCCCATTATTCACTAGTAGTTCAAGACACAGTGCTCCGTGAGTAGAGGCAGCAGCGAAATGCAAGGGAGTGAATCCATTATTATTAGGCTGATTTACGTTAGCACCGTAGTCAATCAGCTCATTAACAACAGAATCCTGACCATTGTAACAGGCAATGTGAAGTGCAGTATTTCCATACACGTTCATCTCATCAATCTAAAATGAGACAACGAGACACAGTTAAAATTACAGACATAGCTAACCATTTTACGTAATACATCACATACAGCAAATGGAAATAGCTGGAGGCTTGACCTGTCACAGGACATATTTCTCACCAGCAAATTTCATTGACAAAAATATACTCCCAGAGAGATTAATTTGGAATGCTTTACCTTTGCTATGATCAACTTTTTATCCTACTGGCCATTTCTAAAAGCCAGTATGAAGCTTACACTGGTAGCAGGGCTATGTAATGATAGTGATGATGACAAAAGCTGGAAAGCCTTCACATGTAAGTAGGATAAATAAAAGGCTCACAGTCTTTATTAAAAAGTAATTAAAACACTGACTATATAATTTATGTGAACAGAATCAGGCTTAAGAACTCTTTTTACAGATTTCTTTTGGGAAGGGAATGAAGGTGTTTGAGTTAAGGGAAGGTGAAACTGCACAGACATTTACACTTCAATAAGAAACCACTTTCAGTAGCTCAGCATTATAAAGATGTAATTAAGATTATGTTACTTCTTGATGACTGGCTTTGTATTCAACTGATGTTCTGTAAAATAGGACAAGACACATTGTACAAAAGATCCAGCAGTGATGTGAATACCCTTCCACAAAATAAGGCTTCTCAAAGATCACACCCCCAGTGGTGCAGAATGTGGAAGTTAAAGGTAGCTATGAGCATAGTACTGGTAATAACAAGAAACACCTATTCCCCTTCAACTGCAGTTTAGAGCCTGTGAACATGGACTTCTGACATTTTTTTGGCAGTTGAAAATGCGATCGCAAATGTGATGGCTTTATCTGACATCTCTGATTAACCAGTGCAGGCTCTTCTGGTCATCTCACTGCTGCTTTGAATCACTGACTTGACAATATTACACTAACAGAAGTCTGTGTCCTGAAAAAAAGTTCTTTTCCAGAGTTAAAGCAATCTTTTCCTTCCCTCTGTCAGCTGCAGAGGAAATAGAGGTCCTAAACTTAAACAGCCTGAACTGCTGTTTAGTGAAGTTTGCAGCGTATATGTTGAGAACAACCATTCATCATATCAAGGGGAACACTGAGCCAAGGGAAATTTCATTATTCTGTCTTCCTCTGCAGGAACAGCATGTATTTCCTGATTTCTTCAGCAAGGTGGCCTGGAACTTACTGTCCATATCAGACACTTTTATTCCAGAATGTTTCCTGGCTCTTGCGCTAATAAACCACACAAAGCACAAGGTGGTACAGAGAACAATTTTCTTTAGAAGATCTGCCAATAACTGCAGCAGCATCCACAATAAAGAAGAAAATAATATCTCAAATATGGAGCAACACGGAAGCACATTACCACATACCTCTACCCCCAGGTTAAGGAGGTGTTTCACAATGTTAATCTGCCCATTGGATGCAGCTGCATGAAGTGGGGTGTAACCCTTCTTGTCTTTACAAGTCACTTCTGCACCATGATTAATCAGTAAGGCAACAACTTCCAGGTGACCTTCAAAAGATGAAAGATAGTAATCAATGAATATACCATCCCACAGCATCACTTCTCCCAGATTACTTCTCTCTTGTTCATGCATTGCCCCTTTTGCTGCTGTTTCACAATGCTGTAAGTTTTATAAGGGGAAAACAAGCATTTTTATAAGGGGAAAAAGCCAGTTTTATAACAGGAAAAGAAGGATTTTCATAGATGATCCTAATCCTTGTCAAGAAATCCATGCATTCACCATCACCAGATGTGTCAAATTTCTCTTTCCTGCATCAGTTTTCCAGTCATTAAAAGAACAAAACCACACCTCTTTCCTATTTATTCCTCTAAAAATAAGTTTGAAGTTTATTCTCCCTGTTAAAGAAAGAACAGTGAGCACAGGAGCATGACAATACAAAACAGCATCCTGTTGATGTCATCTGCAAACATAACTTCTAACACTTATCGGTTTTCATTAGCAATACAAAATAACTTTAATAAATGATAAAAATGAAGGTATCTCCTCTTTTCTAGCACAACTGAGGAGATACAAAGCTAAATTTCAAGGGAGTGCAGCATTTGAACCAAAGCCTACCAATACAAACACAAGATTTTCTACTGAATCCACTGATCTTTGGATCAGGTTTCTGACTCTTAAAAACTGTATCGTTAACACAAAACTGTGCAAAAGAACCTGAATACAGGTCTAGAAATGTTTGAATCTAAACTCGTAGTCTGTACACACATACTCAGTTTGCAAGCTAAAATAAGTGCAATAGCCTCAGCATCACAGAGATTGAGAGCTGACTGCCAGATCAATGTGACATTTGTCTTCTGGAGCGAAATGCCTACCACTGACTTAGGATCTCCTTACAGAATGTAGGGGAAGACCTAAGCATCTCAAAATGCAACTTATAACCCACCAGTATCTCCAGCTTCCTGCTCTTCCTGTAGGTCTCAGACCAACTGGCCTGCTTTCCATGATAGTGCCCTAACCACCAATATTAAATCAAGGCTAACTGAGGAACAGTCCTTATTGCATCACGTTGAAGCAAAGCTGTCTTAGAATTAAAAATCTATTATAGCAAGCAGCACATCAAGTTGTGCACCATCTGAGTTGTACAGCACCTTCCTGACAGGCAGTTCTGGTCATGTGCAGGACCTAGGAAGCTTACGGACAAAGTCTGAAGTGCCCAAAGATATTTAAGCATTCAAGAAACTACATGAAGATGCTTGGGTCTCATTATCTAAGTTTTGCCCAAATTACACCACAGACTCCTAAATAACATTGCTAATTTAGGCCTTAAATGTTATCTAAATATTTTGAAAGGTACATTATGCATTAGTGAAAATAATTAGGAGCAAAAGAGACATGGAATTGCATAGCACAATGTAAGCCCTTTCGCCTCTACAGAGTGAAGTTCAAAGCTCGCTAGCTCAAAAGCCATATCACATTCATTGGCAAGAGTCCCTCCATCTGCCTGTGTACATCAAAAAACGCATAATATGCTTTTCCCACAGTTTGAAATCTCCTATTTTCTCATTTCCAAAAGTGCCAAGATTACCATCAAGATTTGATGGGTCAGATGAAAGAGTTGCTGCCTGAGGGCACACAGCACCTCACCAATTATTATCTGGAATATACTGCCTGGCCAACAAAAGCTCCTGGACAAGCATGACCGCTATCACAGGCAATCTTGTTCTGGTATTTCTAAACTATAATGCCCCACTGTAATAAAGTCTCCTTTAACTTGAAAGAAATGATAAGGTCAATTGATTTAATTAAGGAATATCTGGTAACATCACTGATGTTTTGAATAGATGGATCAGTTGTTCTTGTCCCTTCTGGAATAAAATAGGAAGAAAGCCTATGAAGTACTTCCTAACAATATCATAACTTAGCTACTTATAAACATAGATAAACAGCAAAATTTATGATTGCATTTATCTGCATTTTTTATTAAGTAATTTTTATCAAAAACTGAAACAAATATAACAAATATAATGTATTTTTTCAAGCCCAAACATGTCTCAGGCTGGAATGAGAGTCAGGATAAAAAGCCCAAAATGAAAAAAGCAACACAAAAAGACCATAATTAGCTGTGTTAGAAAGGAAATCACAGCCAAGTCCTTACCAGCTGTAAAACCATAAACAGAGAGTGTGTATTTAGACTAGCTGAACCCTTCCCTCTTCAGGGTAAATATAACACTCACTTTCCATGGCCAGGTCTGCTCTTGTCCATTTTAAAACGTGTTGTTGATTTGTGAACAGGAAATTAAAAAGAAGGAACAACAATGCAAGCCTTACCCATGTACGCTGCCCAGTGAAGAGCTCTTCTGTCCTTTTTGTCAAAAGCATTGATGTTTGCTCCCTTGGCTAAGAGCAAGTTCACCATCTAGAAGTAACAACGAGCAAACGAACCCTGTAGGTTAACCAGTTTATAACAAATAATTCTAGCAATAGAGTTGGGATCACAAAATCCTGCTTTTGAATGATCAATCTGTGAATTACACAAATACTGTTCAAAGCTGAGTACCTTCATGACAGGGACTGGTAATGCTCACAAGTAACCCAGACAAGTTCTGTGTGCAGAGAGGGATCTGAGAGCATGCAGGATGCTGCTACACCAGTGTGCTTCAAATTCAGCTTGGCAGACAACCTGTAAGTAAAGCAGGCCTGGAAGAGAAACACTGCTCCTAAAACTAATTTAAGTGGTTATCTTGTGGATTAGGACAAGATTCCTCCAGACCATGAGGTGACAAACCCTAAAAAATCTACATGATCTTTCAACAAGGAATTCCTATTTCTTGCCATGCCATGGTGATTTTTATTAAATTCCCATGTGCCATGGTGGTGTGGACAGGCACCAGGCTGCTTCATATGACACTGGCCTTTAAGACAGCATTGACAGTAGGTGAAATGCTGCTTTTCCCATTGCCAAACATCCAATAAGAAAAATCCGGGGGGGGGGGCGCGGAAGGGAATTGAACAGAAAACACATTCAACAACTGTCTTTTTCAGCAAAACATTCTAAAATAATGAATTACAGAGCTAGGTGATCATATTCCTCTTGTGCACTGCTTTGCCACAGAGATAGGCTAATAACAGCATACATTCAGTTAACATTTCTGATAGACTCTATCCAAAAGCTCAAGAGCTCTAGATAATGATGGTTAGACTCAAGCTTTACTATCTCCTTCCTACAGTGCAGTATTTTAAAGGCCAAATACCATCATAATTTTACAGGAACTACCATTCCTCTTCCTTTTTTTTAGTTACAGTACAACTGATCAACTTTTGCTGACTGAAGCCTACTGGTCAAGACTAAGAGTTTTTATTCCGTATGTAGATCTTCAGGTGTGGAACTGACATATAGGATCCTTGCACCTGTACCTAAAGACATTAGAAAAAGCCTTTACACAGGGGCTTTATTTACAAAAATTTGGGGGGTTTTCATGTAGAAACAGTAATTAGACTGGAAGGCTTTCCTTGTATAAGGTAAGTAGAAAATACAGAAGCACATTTTTTAGAAGACTAATTGGAAAAGCAGACTGACTGGAGCTCATGTAGCTGAACACTTCTTCAGTATGAAATGAATCCATTGGCTTTCCCTTGTTATTCTGCCACTCACGTTCATAGGCAGTCAAGCTCAAAAAAGCCAAGGACCCACTCGAGTTGCCAGCCTGTGGCACAGCCAGCTCTCCATGTCTGCATCCACACCTCACTTGTGTGCTGGCTCTGCACAGGTACTTTCCAGCCACTGACTCATTTCGGCAGGTAGGAAACCTGTTGCACAGTTTGGATAGCAGTTGAATGACAGGATCAGGGATATGGGGCTCAGTCTAGACCCAGCCACAGCAGGTCAACTGTTTGAACTGGGAAATCAACTGATCAGTTACGCTCTCAAACAACTCACCTCAATGTGGCCATTCAGTGCCGCATGGTGCAGTGCTGTCCGCCCACCTCGGTCAGAGACGTTGACGCTGCTGAGCATGGGGATGATGACCTCTGCACACTTCACGGCCTTGTTTGCAGCTGCCACATGCAATGGTGTCTGCCAGTTCTTGTCCCGAGCATTGACGTCAGCCGAATGCTTAATCAATACTTGCACAGCTTCCTGCAATGGCAACACAGTTATATCCATGCTTTTTGTAAGGGCATGCAGTGACAGGACAAGAAGCAATGGTTTAAAACTGAAAGAGGGGAGATTTCGATCAGACATTAGGAAGAAATTCTTTACTATGAGGATGGTGACACAATGGAACAGGCTGCCCTGAGTTGTAGATGCCCCATACCTGGAAATATTCAAGGCCATGTTGGAAGGGGCTTGGAGCAACCTGGTCTAGTGGAAGGTGTCCCTGCCCATGACAGAGCATTGGAACTGGATGATCCTTAAGGTCCCTTCCAGCCCAAATCATTCTATGAGTCTATTGCAAAGTAGTTTGAATAAATACACAGAACACCTTCTCAACAGCCCAATCATACTACCTATGCATATTATTTATGCATATCAGCCATGGCCAGGAGGAGGGAAAAAGAACATTTACTAAAACAACCTTCCAGGCTAGTGAAACGGTACTGTTGATTCAAATGCCAGAGTGCACATCACCTCTGCTCTCATTTAAAGCAGTGTTCTCACAGTCAAACTTTCCCAACTTGGTTTTCAGATGTACAAAGCTGCCTATGCAGAGAGCCCAGACTGTTTAGTTGGTTAACCTTCAGTACCTCCACCATCATAATCGTGCTCTCACTGAAGAAATACATGTACTTATTTGAACTCACTGTTACAGAGATTGTTTACAAAACAAAAAGCACATTATTTTGGACAGTAAAATCACAGCAAATTGCTGTAAGTTTTATTTATAAACAGGAAAAAGGAGAAAATAAAACAGAATATGTGAAAACAAGATTTTAGCTCTGCAAAAACATGAGAATCACAGGCAAGGGTAGATGCTGGTGTCCCCAAGTTAGCATTAGCATTCCTTCCCTCCCTGAGGGCTATGCACAGGCCAAGGGTCTTCACTGCAACATCCATTCTGTCAGCCTGAGACCAAAAAATATCTTTTAAAGTTAATTTTTGGTTTAAAAGTGAATATTTCCCAGTGAGAAAATGTCCTGTTTTCTCTTGAGAGGCTGTCTCACTGGAGAACTCACAATTAATTCTTTTCTGCTTCTACTCATGCATCCTCCAGCGAGCAAGTCAGATGGAAAAACAAGGCTCTCTCAAAACTACATTTTGTTTCTTCCTTTTTCCCCCACAAACAGAATACAAAAGAACCACTGGGACATGGTAGCATTCAAGTAGCCTTGTCTTCTAATTAGTACTCACAGCTGGTAAGTTGCGATTGAGCAGGGGAAAGCCCTAGTCCTACATAGTGCCTTATTCTTTTGCTATAAATTGAAAAGTTTTCTGGAAAGCCCAGCCAAAATCTTAATGAATGACAAACCCATACAGTGTGTTTATATAGCACTTTTGCATCCTGAATGGCCCAGGAGCGTGCAGTCTGTAACAACAGTACATCCATTACTAAGAGTTTTAGTCCTTTATCCTCAACCAATCTCAGCAATTTCATTTTCTACAGCCATCTCTCAAACTGTCCTCTAACAGATTTGTTCAGTTAGCAACACTGCATCTCCTACACCATCAATAATGATTTATCACTGTTGATGTCTCAACAGGGTTTTGTTGTTTAATTACAGGTCTACTGTTCTGAAAGTCATGTAAATGCAATTCACTGGCAACCTGCTCAGCTGGGACATGAAGTCAGCAAGAAAATTCATGCGCTTTGGCTCTTAATGCAGGAAATCTAAAAAGTTAAAGGAGAATTTTTAGAAGTAAATAGTAAGGAGTAGAAGCTAGAAATATTTAGACTTTAAAAAAACCAGCAACCATTCACACATTTTTGTTTACTTCTACATATCCACTGCTCCATCAGATTTGCGATCAAAATGTAAAAGTCCTGATGGATAAGTTTTAAATTTATTGCTTGTGAGAGCATGAGCTACCCCTTTTTATTAACATATCTAAAAGTGCATGCAGCCTACAGCTATGGTGTAAGTCTAACAGCTATCCTAATTTATCAGAGTGAAATCTCTTCAAAGCACATAAGGCTGAAAGCTGCTACATCCATTAACAACCCTACACAGACACACCTGAGGGTTGTTGATTTGTAAATAAACATTTGAAATACTTAAAGCCCACTTGAAAACTCATTAAGTAAAAATGGGCTCATGCTTTTAATAAACCTATAAAAAAAGTGCAAGGAGACAGCTTCTGAATCCTTTGTAGTACGAAAGCTTTGTAGTAAGAGACTGATAATAAAACTTAAAGCTTGTAGGTAACCACTCTAAAAGCAACTGTGCTCACAGGCACTTCAAAAACTACACTGAGCACTACTAGTCAACTTCTGGGTCATGAATTCCTCTTCTACTATCAATGCGAACTATGAATTCACCTACTGCTATTGACTACTATCACTATTAGTTTCACCCTACTATACTGAAGCTGCACATTTGTTAGTTTGTGTAGTAAAGTAAAAGCAGCACTGAAAGCCCCTGCAATGCTGAGTCTTGTTTCAAAGTTATTACCAAAAGTAGCAATCATCATACAAATAACAAGGAAAAAAAGACCAGGGGAAGAAAGCTACGTGTGTTTATAAAATACATAACAGACCACGAAAAGGCATCAAATGCTGGTGCCTTCCCCTGCTGCTTCTCTGTTGTACCTGGGTACTCACTTTGAGGTATAGAACTGCTGGCACAATGAAAGGCCTTCAGCTGACAAAGAGTTAAAGATGAGAACAAACCCACAGAAAGACACACATTTCTGTTACAACTGTCACTGACAATGAAAATCACGTACTCTGGTACATCCAAAAAAAGAAACCAAGCACAGTGCAATTCCCGCATCAGAAAGATTGTGGCTGTGTTTTAAGGCTTGAGTCTGACCTTTGTTTTCCAACATGGCTTTTTGTATTTTGCCTCATTACAGCATTCATACTCTATCAGATATTCCTTTCAGAGGGTTTCAGTGGATGCCAGCAGCTGGGAAGCTCAGCCAGCAGCCAAACAAAGCCTGAGTTCAGAAGCAAGCCCAGGATTCCTGCCTCCAGGCTTGGCAAGTGCTGGGACTGTTACAGAGGTGATTGGAGTCCATCAATCTCTGGAAGATAGCCACCCTCTGTCTCTTTTACAACTCCTCCCCTCGTCCCCAGCAGCCAATTTGGTCTGCAGTTGGGCTCACTGTTAACGAAGTATTAGAAGAATAAAAGTATACAGGGAGGTCCAAAATGGAAAGCCAAGAATAATGGTGCAGTTGAGAACAGTCATGCCTGAACTGCATTCCTGATACTGCTGCTCCGCTTTGAAATAGCAATGGAAGGAAGAAGTACAACATGATGCCAGAAGACTTTTAGTTGTCAAGTAGAAGAAATATGGGCTAACCCTTCTTTATGCATGAATCAAATGCATTAACAGAAAACCTAATGCATGCCTGGAAATGCAATTAACCAAAACAAACTATGTGGCAATACGTATTGGATCACATACATATCCACTCCCTCCTGGCACGCGCATAGCATGCACACATCCATATGGATTTATGCCTGTTTCACCACTTAAAGATGATGTAGCCCCTGCAGACTCTATCCCATTTCTGTCCTGGTCACCCACTCCAGCTGATGGTTGCTCAGTATGACTTGCTGTGGTAATGTAAAGCATTCCACAAGGTGAAAGCCAACCACATTTAGGCTTAAAAGCAGCTATAATTAAATGTAAAGGCTGGCCTCCAGCTGCAATGCTAAAGGCCCTGCACACTGCAAATGCTTCCCTGAGTGTGTCACCATACTACTTACTACATACAGCTCTCAATGGTTTGCTTTTTCCCCCAGCACAGAGTTTATGTGCAAAAGCAGTGTAACCAAATCTTACTCACTTCACTTCTTGAAGCAACTGCCCGATGGAGAGGAGTCAGCCACATATTGTCCTTGGCATTAACACGAGCGCCTGCAAGTAAACAGCAGAGGTTACATCCATGCCTTGGGTGAGACACCGAAAGCCTTGCCCAACTGTTCCCTAGTAACAAGAGCTGAGCTGTTTGTGGTACTCTCAGCACTCCCCGTGCCTCTCCTGGCATCCTGTTCACTTTGGAAATGCGTTTCCAGATCCTGCATAGATAGGAGCTGAAGTGTGATTCAGAAAGAAAGGAACTGGAGAGGTCGGACTATTATCAGGAACAGCTTTGTTTACAGGACACAAAAGAAGCAAGATTAGTTGTAGGAGATTACATATGTATGTATGTACATGTATCTCTATGTATATGCACTTTTTACATCAACTGATATAGTTGGGGAGAAAAAAAAAAGCAACCCTTTGCTCAGAGTACTGCTGCTGTCTGCAGACAGAATGAAGGGAACAGCCTCTTGTTTCCAGATCAACGAGGCAGACCACTGATAGGTATAACTGCTTCCCTGCTTCACAAATCCTGCTGGGGTTGAGAAAGCAGAACCAGGAAATGCTCAGGTTGAGGAGGAAACTGAACACTTACTCCCTCAGCTTCTGCCTGTGTTATTCAGCAAACATCAGAAGGATGCTACCCATTTGCCTTCTGTGTGGTTCAGTGCTAATGTGCACACTGACAAAGACAGGATGGGGGTGGCTTGCCAGGAAAAAGGATAAAGGAAGAATATTTAACAACTAGAGTAATTCTGGCTGACTGCAGACAAAAACAAAAAGATGCTGCACATTTGTGTGATAAAGCATATTTCTGTAAAAGAAATATTAAAGCTGTTCACTGATGTGATACCCCAGGAAAGAAATCTAGTAAACAGGACTAGAGAAACTGATTTCAAAAAGGGCTCAACCTGCAAACACTGTACCTCTCTGGTCTGCAGGTAGCAGTACTAGCCTGAGAAGGCTAGCACATGCAGAAAACATTTAGAAAAGCACCAGCGTCATGTACATAGCCTGGATGAGCATCTGAACTTTATGAACAAAGGGATACTTAAGCTTCATTTTGCACCATAACTTAAGTGCATACAAAAGCCTGTAATTAATAAATCACACTCTCTGAATCAGAAATACTTTCCAAGAGCTGTTTCTCAGGAATATTAAGGGGCTTGCCTGTGAATCACGGTGGTTACTGGGAATTGTTCTAGACATCCAGAGAAGAAACAAGTTCTTTCGTATTTGCACAAGTTGGGATATAATTTTTTGGCTGCAGGGAAAAGAAAGTCACTTTCCTAATTACTGCAGCAGTTAGAGGCAATCCTCTGAACTCACCTCAGAACCTGGTACCTGAGGAAAAACACCCTTTAGAAAAGACAAGTTTCAAGAGTTTTCTAATGACTCTGCCTAAGCAAGGAAGCTGTTAGCTTATTTTGCCTTCATGAGAAGGACATTATGGTCAATGCACATTAGTATCCAGCCCTTTGCCTACACTGCCTGAGGCTCTAGAGGCACTGGAAGGCAATAACCTTCACCATCAGGAAGCTGACAGGATGCCAAAGCTGATTTGGCCTGGTAGAGGTCTTAGGGATGCAAATTGTATGGATTAATTCCTAATGATTGCCACCAAATACCTCTTTTCACGTTTAGAAATTTATTTTGTATTTGCCTTGGGGTTTTGCCTTATGTTCTTACCTAAGGTTTCTTTTGGTTTATTTCTACCCATTCACCAACTCCTACAAGCAGATGGTTGCAAATCAGAAAGGCTTTTGTGTGGAGTAGCAAAGTGTGACAAACATCATTCTTCAGTATTCCACATCTCCAATGGCACGATTAGAAACCCCAGGGAAGTGTCCCCATCAGCATCTATTCATGCTTTTCACTGATCCACTTACCCTTTGAGAAAGTGAAACATTTGCCAAGAGAACAGCTAAAAAATTAATAAAAGCAAAACAATACCAGTGTAAATAAAATAATACACAGCATGCTGTCAGCCTGTTCTTCCTCACCTGTTTTCTGCATCCCTTTACCTCTCTGTGCTTTGGGGCTTTCCATGTGACAAAGTGAAACTGCCCCCACATCTCTGACTCAATGCATTGGTTGAATATATTTGTGATTTCTGTTTTTAAAGAGCTGCACAACTGAGCTGACACCTGATACAGGAGCTGCTGTTGTGCATTTACTGAGGTGCCCATCTGCTGAAGAGACATTGTAAAATGCCTAAATGCAGCTTTTTGGTTCCCAGCAGTTCCTTGCAGGCAACGGTTAATGACAGTGAAAAAACCTTCACCAGTACTGATGCAGTCCTTCAGGGACAGAAAATATCTGCCATGTTAAAGAAGGCACCTGGGGAGCAATGCTCATGTGTTCAAAGGTGTTCTCTATACTTCACAAACTTGAGTGTCCTTCCTACGACAGCCCAGGGGACAGCTCTTTGCAAGCACTGAATGACAACAGAAATCCAATTCTAAGTCCTCAAACATGCTAAAACACCTAAAATGAGCTGTGTCCAAAAATCAGAAGCTTCAATCTTCAAATCCATCCCACAACACTTCCCCAGAATTACCCAGCAATTCAGTGTCCCTCTCTTCACTCTAGAACAAGTACTTTAAACATGTTTCAGTGCACTTCCTACAATATTCCAGGAATTAATCTGTGTATTTATAAGGACAAAGAGGGCTGATAACACACTCAAACTGGTGTATCTGTTGTCCTTCATAGCACAATCTTCCTTGGAAAGATAAGCTGCTTCAAAGATTTCCTTTAGCATCCTTTCAGGTGGCACAGCACCCACCCACCCCATAAAATATCCAGTTAGGAAGAACTCAATCCACAGTAAAACCTTTTCTCAGCCCCATTTTCTACATTCTGCCCTTGGGAGAGCTTGTAGTCTTGGGAGTGAAGGAAAGGGTTAGCTGTTGAATTTGCTCTGTGAGGCTGAAGTAGACAACATAACATATAATGTTACAGATAAGACCAACAGAGCGGAAACTTTCTGTAATCCACTTTCCTTTAATATGGCTGTTTTGTAATCTTTGCCATCCTTCACTCTCGAATTTTTCTGCCAAAAGAGGAAATAAATCTGAAATTGCCTCTGTTCTTCTGAGATCCAAAATAAACAACCTGATGTTGGCTTTCAGGAATAAAGTTAACATCTCTGTATCCCAACCAAAGTGCAATTTTCCATCCAGGACATCTGCCAAAGCCACAGGTCTCAATAAATCTAGATTCTACAGTCTAAATCTCCTTGGTGAGGAACAAGGGGTAAGGAATTTAGCTCAAACATTATGCCCTTGGGCACCAGCTGAAAGCCCACGAGGGGTAAAGGCACCAACACAAATGAGAATGGAACCTGTATTTGCCCTGACAGTCTTGCACATCCATGACTCTGTCACCATAGAGAGCTTCATTTATGTGAGATGGTTGCCCTCGCCTTTCTCCTTTCTTGACAAAAAGGAGGTGAAGGAATAGTACTCAAAGCTTCCTCCTTTCATGCAGCCTGGAAAAACAAACCACACAGCACAATTGCTCAGTTTGAACCATATGATTACAGATCAGACCTTTGAGGTAGTGTAAATCTACCTAGCTCTGACGTTTAATGGACTGCGGTGATTCATAACAGTGATCTGACACTCTCTTCTATCAATCCCAAACAGAATCCATTTCACTGACTACCTAGAAAACCATTTCTGGTCTGTCTTCAGCCACCGGGGAAGAAGTTTTATTCATTAGACACTACACTTATTTGTGCTGCCACCAATCCATGGGCCACAAATCTCAGAATGTGCATGTTTCATTTAATTTCTCTCCTGAGCCCTCTACAGAATGCAATGGATTGCTACTCCTCCTAACTTCTCATGCTGAGAATATTATTGACTCCAACAGCAACCATTTATGTGTGTTTTCTCTCTGCGAAAACAAAGTTTTCTACTCAAGTAACGAGATTTTATGATCAGTTAATCCCTTTTGATACCCTTTTACTAATACAGCATACTCAATGAAGAGGTGAAGCAAATGAAAGATGCTTCAGTTGTCTTTGGAGCCTAGTTCATGAAGAGATCGCAATAACAAAGAGGTATTTATAATAACTCATAAATCTGTTCCTCCAAACTTCAGAAACCTCCAAACCTGCTCTTGGATACAAGTACTCATGCTCTTCATGAGTAATGATACTTCAGAGATTAAAGGACAATGAATAGGTAGAATATGCAACACAAGATTAATTTTGACTCAAGCTGAGCTACTTGTTGAAGATCCAGACAGTCCCTGCAGACTGAACCCCAGCACAGTTCCATTGACAAAGTCCAATTTTTAAAAGCCCACATTATAAATTTTTCACACTCACTTTGACACATAAAATACCCCCAAGATACATCCTCTTCGTTTTAACCATTGTTAACCAGACAAACCCTATAGTCTGTGGATGACACTTTGTCAGTCAGATGCTGGAGCTAAGTCTCCCAGAAGAACACTCACTCCTTCATTAGGAATGTGAAAAAACCAAGAATGTTCACCATGACATGTTCTATGCTACTGGCATTCAATGAAGAAGTGGGCAGAATGGTTTCACTTTTTTCTTTATGTGGATATTGTCTGTGCTGTAACTTGCAACACCTGAAAGAAGACATTGTTCCTGCAATCTTCTCACACCACAGTGGAACAGTGTATGACAAACGTCACACACACACTGCAAGAACACATGCCCAGATTAAGTTTATTAACTCTTACCTACCAGTGAAGAACACCATGCTTGCATTTAGCATACTGAAAACCCACCCAAGCATAACCTGTACATTTAAATCACTCTGCTGGCATCAGAGCAGAAAGATCCGGTATGTGATGTCTGTCCAATTAGTTACCCTCATTAAGCACTCAGACAACTCAAAATGCACCCAAAGATGTACAGATGTACAGAACTGCATAGCTACAGCAAACTGAATTCTCATTTTCTGCCTTCTCCAGGTGTGCATAGGCTGGTAACCCAAGGAAATACCCTTGTGTGATTTGCATGTGCCCATTAGCAGCTGGTCGACCTTGGAAATTGGATGGTGCTCTAAGAAGGGGTTGGATCAGGTAACCTCTAAAAATCCCTTCCAGCATGAATTGCTCTAGGATTTGAGGCTGGAAATGAGAAGGTGCCTCAATCACCAGACTGACAGTTCTGAAATAACTTTCTAAATAAAAAGGAAAAAGAAAAGCAATATTTGAAGAAGCAGTCTGATAATTTGTGAAACCAATCACATAGTGAGGCTGCTGTCAAGGGGTTAGATATTTGTGCCATAAGGTTCTTTTCAATCCCACATTCTAAAACCCCCATAACTTTATTCTTACAGTTTTCCAGTGTAGAAAAAAAACTGCAAGCACATCCAGGACTTTGCCATGACCTGTGTGTACTTCTTGCGAGGTGTCTGCTTTATGCTTTGTTCTGACATATTTTGATCATGTTTTTTGTCACTACAACACTCTGGAAACATTGTTTGATTTTTTGTTTAGATACTTCCTACTGCACAGTTTCTATTCTCCAAATCAGCTTCCCATCTCTTAGACCCACGTGTTTAATGTAAATACCACTTACAATTCATTCAAACCCATTCATAACTTTTTTTGCTATTATTCCATTATAATTTTTGCTTAAGAGGAATTCTTGGCTTGTACTCCAGGACACAAGCCTGCATTTCAAATGCGTACTTCAGCAAGGCACAAATACTGTCAGTTTGAATGTTGAGAAGTTTTCAAAACCTAGTTGCTTTGTTTATGAATTCCCCTCAGTCACAGTGCATGTTTTATAACTGTATCACCACATTTAAAGATATTTTCTAAGTCTGCAACAACTGCGACCAGCTCTATGAAACTCAGAAGCAGACACTGGCCAAAGCTCACTCATATGCCTTGCTTGGTCTTCCTTGCAGCTTTGTGATTAGCTACTTTATCGGTTAGTGAGGGGTACTACCTTACCTGACAAAATGAGAAGCTCGATGATATCTGCATCTCCCAGGAATGATGCAACGTGAAGAGGAGTTCGTTTCTCGGCATCCTACAAAATCATAGATTATATAGTTATAAAACACGATCAATAACTGCAAGCGTTAGTGCTAAAGAGCAATGGATGTATAGATTGTGTTTATTTTTCTATGTGTATTTGTGTTTATAACTAGAAATGCAACCTTAACTAGTGCAAGAACGAAGTTCATGGTCTAAACAACACATTTCCTCCCAATAAACCTTGACTTTATCACTTGGCTCCACCAGACCTGTCAGAGACGTTGTCTTTACTCTGATACATCAATAAGAGGTAGATAAAATCAAATCTAAAATGAGGAAAGACATCACCCTTGGGTCTCTTTTGGAAACATTTCCCACTGTAAGTATTGCAGTGACATAATTCAGATGCCTTTGGACATTAGACTTTGCAATGCAGTTTGCGCTAGCAATATAACACCGGACTCATCAGAAGGATATCTCTGGAGAATGGTTTGAACCACACATAAGGATAAGATGCAATCCCCTTAAGTCTACAAAGGTTCTTGTACCTAGTTGTCTACAGCAGCCCAAGATGGAACACAAATAAAGAAAATATTATCAGTCAGATCTGTGTCTTTAAACTTAAAATTGTTAATAATCATATATACACCTTCTGAAATACACCTACTTTTATTCTGTAATTTTCAGCCTTAGGGAGTCACACATTCACAATTTTCTACCTTCAAGAGGTGTAAATGCAGTGTTTACAAACCCAGAAGAAACCCACCTTTCTTTTACTGCTTTAGTCAGATGATTCCACAACACAGGCCTTTAAAAGAAACTGCTAAACATTGTAGTATGGGCAACAACTACTAATACTGCTAATCATGTTCTTTGACCCATGTTTTCTACTGCTAAATGTATTTCTTTTCAGTTTCTCATTAATATAAAGTAAGTTCTAGGAGACTTATCAATCAAACTTATCAAATCACAACCTACCAGCATTAAATACTGTAAACTGGTAACAGATTCACCACTTCCTGAAAATGATACTAGCACAGAAACCCTGCTGGTATTTTCACTCTCCCTGAAACATAACTCTGAGACTGTAAAATAAAATATCACTTTTAACATGCCCAGGAGGTCATCAACCGCAAGCTCTTTTGGAATGCCTTCAAAGGCACCGAGCCACTGGTCACCAGAATAAGTTACGTTTAAATGTTGTATTTGTATGTTTTTTTCAACCATACACAATGTATATAGCCCTCAAGTCCTGCTGCAGTGGGTTTTGATCTTCCAGATTGGGCACAGACATAAAACACTTGAAAGACAGATTACATGACACCCTGGTTGTTACAGGTCAGAGGGAAAGATGCCTTACTTCACCTCCTCACATGGTAGGCACATTAGAACAACATTAAGCAGCTTCCATTCAGCAGTGTCCACTCAGGAACCAAAATCACAAGCTGGATCCTCTCATCTGCTCATCTCCTAAAACATAATCCACCATGCACTAGCTTTTATGGGCTACATAAATGCATACGAGACCTTTCATAAGTATTGCTTCATATTACATATCCTAATACTATCCATAGCAAAAAATATTTAAAGACTGATCAAACATTTGTACACAAATAGAATCATTTTATTTCATTTTCTTAGCTTGTTCATTTGAGTGCATGAATGTCTTTAGCACAATGTAGCTATTGTACCTGTCACTGATAAATTCTGCAGCAGCTTCTTGCTACACAGCCAGGTTTGGCACCAGAACAGAGTAGTTTGAAACTGAACACTAATGATACAAGACCAAGCAATTTTCTATATCAAGGAGCCAAAGGTGTTCAGTGCTTTATTGATTATAAGCAATGTTGTATACTAAACTGTAAATCTGATGGACATCTGATATCTGAAGGAGGATAGGACATAAACAGAAAAGTTGAATTTTTATCTTCCTGCAGCAGGAACAACACTCTGAAAAGTATCGTCTGCTTTCACTTCTTAAAATTGATGCAAGATCCTATCAAATTAAGTGAGAATCCAGTCTTCAGAAAAAGTTAGGCATAGTCACACAACTGAATTTAAGTTTAATTTCTGCAAGAGAAAAAAAACAACCCTGAAGTTCCTCCATTTATCACAGTGAGACACAAATAAGAATTCACCCTCACATGAACTAGCCAGTGACAAAACCTAGAGTGTGGTATAGAAAACTAAAAACACATGAAAGAGCCCTGCAGGCAACGTTTATAGTTTGGCAGGGAGAAGTCCACACACAGTGCCTGCAGCTGAGCATGCAGTTGAGCAACTCAGTCGAGGAACATCCTCAAGTTCCTGTTTACTCTCTGCACAGGGCTCACACAGAAACAGAGGAACTAGAGCCTATCTGCCCAACCACACTCCTTGCATCCTCCTCAAAGCTATGTACCACTTCAGTCAGGTTTAAATAACTCACTGGCTTTGTGCCTGGCCCATGCACTTGCATCTACCCATCTACAGACGTCCTTATGGCATGGTGGTAGTAAAAGGAGCACAAGTAGCTCAGTAACGATCTAAAGACTGAAGGCTACAAACAGAAACAGAGGAATAAAAAGAAAACTTGTCATTTCTGGGAAAGGTCTGGAAGTACCCCAAACCTGACCATACATTATCAAAGTAAGGAAAGGAGGTGGAGGGGAAGAAATGATGATAGTGTGACAAATAATCAGGCCTGCTTCAAGTGCAGTTCTCAGAGGAACCAAAGCTCAGTAAGACCATAGATAAGCTAAACAATGGCTATAAAAACATGCTGAGATGAGATAAACACCCTCTCCCCAAAACTGTGTCAGTGACTTCTGTTAATTCACAGAAAAGATGCCGCTGTGTTATCTGTACTCACTTGTTTTTAGAAAGCACACAGATAAAGGAAATGAAGCATTTAACAAACAGGCAATTGCAGACAGAAGGCCTCAGCAAGAAAAACACTCAACACAGGCTTAAAGCCCTCAAGTGATCACAGAGACACTGATAAAGCCCTTCAGAGGCTTGAAGTTAGGCTAGTCCATAAGTGCTTTATTGGCACAGAGCCTTAGAGTACATGAAGAGTAGCAGAACAGGGGCTAAGGTCAGTCATATCACTATACGTAAAATAATCAGTCATGTTCAGAAAATGGCCAACAGTTTCTCCTCAACACAGCCTGTATCTCAAAGGAGATTATGGATTTGAACTTTTATACCAACTGCAGATGTTCAGAAGATGTTTACTATTTACTAGTAATTTACTATTAAAATGTAAATGCAACTGCTACAGCAAATAATTGTCAGGTTTCACTGGTATGTGTTTGGATTTCACCTTCAAGCTGCCAGCATCTGCCTGGGTGGCAGAATAAACTCAACTGTATTAGAGAGAAACGAATGGCTACAACTTCCATTGATACAAGTCTAACCATAACATTCACAGAAACAAGCCTTCTGCTCAGCTGTCCCATTTACCGTTGTTACATCTGAGCACACCTGATGTAAAAACACAAAATGTACCATTAAAACAAACAAACAAACATTCAGATACAACTTGACTTCGGGAAAACTGAATATTGGGAACTGGTTAGGAACTACTGTTATAAGCAAAGCAGCAGCTACTTCTAGGGCTATTTACAACCCTTGAGAGCCAAAAGCTGATACTGTACAAGGAGAGTCTCTGCGACTGCAGGATTTCCTCCCTCTCCGATTCTTTTATTAAAGCCTGTAATTCACAAAGCAAATCAGATGCTTAAGTATGAGCACCAGCTGGGAGGTGAAAGTCAAGCTGTGTAACTTATGCCTAGTGCTTTTTCTTCTGCTATTACCAAGCACAGAAACTCCGGTCTGAAAACACAGATCCCTGTTCCATAACCTCTCATCCCCCTAGTCTGCAGTTTAACCCCAGAAACAAAGATTTTTCTGGACTAAGTCTTTAATTACCAAGTGGCCATGAGGTGGAAAAGGCAAATACTCTGAGATACTTACAGAGACAAGAAAAACCATCTTCCCTCTCCCCCTCCATCCACCACTTTCCTTCCTCATGTCAGCCCCCACATTTCCTTCCAACTGCCAGCCTCATGCTAACAGTAGTCATCATGACAGAAAAAGATAACTTTTAAAATCAATTACTCATCCTAGATTGAGACCACAGAAATTGTTATCCTAATTAATGGAAATGTTTTAATGTTTGTAGGAGAGAGTTTCCAACGGAAGGGTCAAAAGATAGACTTAAATAACCCCTCCATTTTATAAACGCAATAGTGACTTAGGGAGGTGATGATGTGGGAGCATATATCACTTGAGCTGATGGGAAAAGCAGATTCAGAGTGTCCAGCTATTTCAGGGTGACATTGCTGCCTTTAAAGAAAATAACACAGCAACAGCCAACTCTGCCATGAGCTTTTAATGGAGACATCCTTGACTGTCCCCGACGTTTTAAGGACGCTGATAAACACGAGTCACCAGCAAGGTATATATGACTAATATACTAGTATGCTGTACAGAGTAACTCATAGTATTTCAGACTCCCAGTAAACTCCAGCAGAATCTTCTTCACAGTTCAAGCATCTTCTTTATAAAATATATAAAACCTGTATTTTCTAAGAGAAAAAAATACTCTAAATAGAAGTCATGCTGGCTACCTTACATTGCAAACGTGGATGCAATTTCATATTCAATTTCCTTGCATAACTGAGAAAAACTGTTCACAATTTCCTTCTGTACAAGGAAATTTCTCTGTTACTTCCCTGTCAAATTAACAGGACACCAAACAGTGAGATAAATGCCCACTGGAAACACAGCTATCACCTAGCACCAAACTGTCAAACTGTGTCAAAGCAGAAGCCTTACAAAGTTCTTGACTAAATGCTCCAGAAGACTTTCCAGCACAGCAAAACTACATCTAGAAGAGGAACATCTATTTCCAGGATAATTTTATTCTCCTGCAAGACTCCACAGTGCCAGAAAGAAAACTGTCATTCCCTGCATGAGAGCAGAGACAGAGCTCTGGTTCCCAAGATAACTGAAGTACCATATCAAGGTCCCTCATGTCAAGCATGTCACTCCAAAGTGAACGACAAGCTGGTTTTCACATTAGCAATCTCAAGCATGCAAAGCCTTTCAGACTCACAATCCTACATGTGTGCACACTTGTACCCTCAAGCACTCAGACCACATCAAACAGCATGCTTAGCAATATTACAGAAATACATATAACTTGTGTGTGTAAAGACCTGGATAAACATGTGGCTTTGCAGCTCCGCAGGAATGGAAACAACCAAATTCAGCTAAACCGTCACCTTCTCCTAACCTATCTCATTCTGGTGGAAGTGGGTGGGGAACAATGTGCACAAGCAGCTCTTGGCACCAACAAGCAGTGAGAATAAGCTGCAGCTGGCAGAGCACTGAGCAAAGCAGCTATGAGGATCAAGCCCAGAAGGCCATATCAGCAACCATGCCCCAGCTGTAGAAACAGAAGCAACTAAGTTTTGGGAAAGCTGATGTTGCTTCAACAGTCTCGCTGTGGAGTGAGTGGGTATACTTTTTACTTACCAAAAATACATGAATGCATGGAAGATATTCTGAGGACAAAGTTTTGCATGTATTTCATTTCTTAGGGTTCTATCCAAGAGCAAATGCAGGATTAGGGGATAAAAAGTAAAAAGAGAGAGAAACAAATGTCTGATTTGGCTTGCAAATACCATATTTGTTATGGGGAAGAATGCTGGAAGGGGGGTTTGCCTTTTTTTGTTTGACTTTGAATAGTTTGAAAAGTAACTAAAGAAGAAGACCAAGATGAAAATGGAAATTTTACAGGAAGGATTTTGGTTTTGTAGAAAATCGTGACATGGTCTGGATGGTCCAACCCAATATCCCAACTGCCCCAGGAAAACAGGCTGCTGAACACTGCCCACAGGCAGACCACATTTCCCATGGAAATAGTGCATATGCAGTACCCAGTGGCAGGGAATCACTCATCACCAGCCAAGTATAACGCTGTCCATGCCTCCATGGTGCAAAAGTAGCATCATGTTCCCCCAAAGCATAACTAGGGATTAGGGAGGCAGAGTGAACTAAACCCACACTTCTAAGCCAAACAGCTACAGCTTTCACTTGGTTGCCAAAGAGAAGCTACAATTATAGCAGCATTCAGAATGTAGCCATTTCATTCAACATACACTTCCTGGCTAGGAAAGATGCTAATTACTTTACCAGATCACAAAAAAAAGCCCCAAACCAAGTAAACTTCTACACTTCTGATTTGCTCCAAACTCTTTCCTCTGAGACTGATTTTCTCTTAGGAAGTATGCATATACATCCCTAATTTTGCATAGTTTCTCCATGTGCTTTTTAGTTCTGCCTTCCAAATAACCTCTCTCCACAGATTGCAAAACCCCATTTTTAAAACTTCAGAAATCTGGGAAGTTTGCTGCAGAAATGGAGTTTTATTTCATTTCCCCATCCTACCTCTATGTGAACTATTCCAGTATTAATGCAGCTAACCAAAACGACCAACAAAGGACAAACTGCTGCCAAACAGTGTCAGAGTTTCCTCTCACGTGAGAACCAAGCACTAAAGAAACACTAACATGGAAGTAATTAAAACCACCCTTAAAATAGTAATGTAAGCACACGGTGCAAATTGCCAGCTCACAGCACAAGGCGGGGGGGGGATATGCTGTCTTTTGATCTGTCTTTAGTGACATTTTAAGCATGTGACACTTGTCTGCAATCACTGTCCAGACACACACAAACCTTCAGGATTTGTGTTGACTGGTATTTTTTTAATTACTCCAAAGAACAGCTTTGTTTGTTGCTCCTGACAAAGCAGCTGTTGAGGAAAAGCCTTCTTGGATGGACATCTCAAACAGCACTCTGGGCAAGACCATTCAAGTTCAATGATATTTCTATTAAGTACTCATCTGCAAAACACATACTCTTCATTCAGTATCACACCTGACAGTTGAGAGCATCTCCCTAGCAACCATCACTACCACACTTGCAGCCAAAGGATATAAAAACATTTGAGAAGCTGCAATAACCTTCTACAGGAAATGCTATTTTGAAAAAATAAAAGTGAAATACAGAGGAAATTTTAGGACTGTCATTTTCATCTAGGCTAGGGGATTTTTTTATTGCTTGGACGGCTTTGGTTTTTTCCTTTGGCTTTTTGAGACCATTGTTGAAAACAACGAAGGAACTCAAGGGAGACAATGCTTTAAAAAAGCACTTTTAGTAACTTCTTTGAAGAAAGTAACCAGGTACTGATAATCAAAGAGAAAGCTTAACATCAAGGTCATGTTTGATCAGACTCTCCATTTAAAACAGCAACTCTTTCCTTCCACTTGACAGCAAATGGAGCGGAGCTCTAGCTAATCAGATCTTCTCCAGTTCCTTTCTGCAGCTTTGAACCAGACAGCTGGACCCCACTGCCTGCAAAAGCTGCAGCGCCAAGACTACACCAGACAAACTGCTGGGGTTAACTATGGATAAACTGATGGCTTTATGTCAGAAAAAGACGTGAAGAAAAGGAAGATTGATTCAAAAGTCCAGGAAACACCTGGAAATCATCGTTCTGCTTCTGCTTTATATTCTTACCACTTTCAGAGGCCACAGATGGCAGTCAGAACTGGCAGAGTTCATTTCTAACAGTAAGGATTTAAATTAAAATCAAAGGTGGGGGCCAGGGGAGAGCCCAACCTTATGCAAAAAGCCCAAGTGAAGGGGTTTTTTTTTCCACTGCCAGACACTTAACCACTACTTGTTTACAGCTGCTTACCATTGTTCTGGCTAGAATAAGTCAATCTGCAGAACAGTAATTCCTTTGTGGGCAAATCGTGGCCAAGATACTGCTTCCTTACTCTCACTGCTGAGACTTATAGTGAAGCTTTATTTCAACTATAGTCAAACACTGAATAGCAGCTCCTGATCTGCAAAGACTCTTGCTAAAAGGAAACTCTACAGAGAGTAAAAACATGCAGCTTTCAGCTGTTTTCATTCATTTTCTCACTAAGAGAGAAAACAATGTCCCTGCCTGACCTGCAGATTTGGAATAATTACCATACACTGAGAAAACTTAAAGTCACCTGCCAGAGATAATTATATTTCAAGAGAACTAATTAGGATTCCACTGAATCCCCACATCTCTAACTTCCAAATCATTCCCGTTCTGTTACATGTTAATTACTGAGAACATGATTAATACTGTCATTGCAACAGTTCATAAGCATGGTGATCACGTATCACAAGCACGTAACAAGCCAAGTCACATACCAAGGCGTTGACATCCTCGGTTTTGTAGATCAACATTCGTATCTCTTCTGGATCACCACTGAAAATCGCTTGGACCAGTGGCGGCTGGGAAAACAAAACAGAAGAAGCAGCGTTACAGGTTTGTTTGTTTTCTGCTTAAAAAGAGAGCTATTATCCCTGCTGACATTTACTAATGCTGCTCTCAAACATTGTATGACCCCAGTAACACATCACCAAGAGTATCTCACCAGCAAGAACTATCAGTTTGCTTGAGGATAAACTGAAATCATGAGTATGTACATATAATGAGTGTGTATGTGCAGAAACAGGGACCCCCATTAGAATGGCAACTTTTGTCAACAACACGCAGTTAGCCCAGATGTTCTCCTTGGCATCTAAGGGGGAAAGTAATTACATCAGATATTGCTGCATGCTTGCTGTTGGCACAGATTAATGATCATGCAATACACATTTAGAAACAGAACATTATGCAGATAATGAATTTCTGGGCAATTACTAAACATCTTGTATCTTTTTACTGAATAAATATGCAACCAGCACAGTTAATTTTAACCACCCAAGAAGCTAAATAATTATCTTATTGTTTCAAGTCTGTTATTATGCTATTATGAATCAGAATGTATAAATAAATAATCAGGCATACGGGAGAAACAATATGCCATGCTCATTCCTCTGGCAATGCTGGCATCACTGCCCGTCAGTGGGAGGGAGCACTGCATATGCTCAGCTGCTGTTACACAACTAGAGCTGGCAATTTCAAGCCCTTCTACCTGGGTTTGCTCTGGACAAGTATCTGAGTTATTAACTGAGCTGGCAGAACCTAACCTAGTGAATTACAAGAACTTGCTGCTGGAGACTCGGAAAAGAAGGGGACAAATTACAAAGATCCCTATTCCCTGAAGCACATAGTTGAAACAGGCAGTGGCCCCACTTCCACTGTTACCTGTCCTAAAAGCAGTGTGTGCCACCCTGAGCTTGCTGCCCACCTCCAGGTTGCCTTGTGGTCCTACCAGCAGCAAAGAGTTTGTGGTGCCATGTAATCACAAGAGTTTAAAATAACTCTGCAAAATGGAAGCATGCAGGACTACTTCAGCACATAAACCCACAACAGATCCTAAGACTGCAGAATTTAACTAACTTGTAAAAAGGTTATCTCAAAATTCATAAACAAGCTGGAAGAACAGAGAAAATACCGTTTTCACCCAATCTTTTCACTGCAACATTAATCATACTCAAGTGTGGAAAATACATTTCTAAGTTGATGGTGTCTATTTTAAGACATATTAATCCCTTATGCCCTTGAGAAAGATTCACACTGGAATTTTATTCTCGCCACTCCTCTGCGGGGAAAAAGGCCTAAGGCAGCATCTTTTATCACAACTGTCTGCAGTCTTTTGTATTGTAGTGGATGTTTGGAAAAGAAAGAAAACAAATTGCATTTCACTTGAACCATTTAGCATGCTTCCTTCCCAGCCAATATCAGAACAGCCACAGGGTATTCCCCACCAGAGAAAGCAAACACCAGACCTCAAAGTCTGGTCCCTTCTTCCTCATCTGCCAAGCTCAAATCAGAATACAGCTACCAGTGAGACAGATTCATTTCTGCATTTTTCTCTACCAAAAGTAGTGGTTTGAAGTGACTTTAATCTTCTGCCCACTACTGAAAATGTCCTATACTTAGTGCAAAGCTAACACTATGAAGAACCGGTGAATGTTTATGAAATCAGAATGCTCACACCGAAGTATTTCCATTTCATGTGCATTTATCACAATATTTAAATAGCAAAGTAAACAGGAAAGCAGTGAACTCGATTTCAAGCTAAAGGGCAACACAACCCAGTGGCCAAGCAACAAATACCCCCAGCAGCTCAGTTTAGTCTCTGAACCCACTTGCAGGTACAACCAGCACTCAAACAAAAGGTATCAGCCAGTCTCTGATGACACACATAAGCTGAGATTTCAGAGTATCAGAAGCAAGACACTCAACAAACATCAAATCTGTTGGGTTTTGGTTGTTGGTTTTTAAGTTAAAATACTGTTGGAGGTGATGCTTTTCTTTTAATAGGGAAAGAATAAAGTATTGCACACTGTTACATTAACAAAAGAGGAAAGGCTACAATAAGAGAGTTTGACCCTTCTTCCCTCTGCCAGAAATCTGGATCAGACACCTGGGTTCACAGGAAATGCTTGACCTTTTTAATTAGCATCAGCTACTTAACACAGAAAGTAGACTGAGAATAAAACTGTTCCTTTAAACCTGGAATGCATATGAGATCCCCATCTCAATTTTTGTCCACCACCACACATCTACATGCAGTTCCTTATATCAGAACCCAGTATTTATTTAACTGAAACAGTTTATAAGCCTCAGACTGCTGATACACATAACATTTGCTGACAGAAGAGAGCTGCCATGTACCCATTTGCAAAGGCCTCAGTCCTTCAGCTTTTATTCCCACGGAATTTACCTTTTATAAATTAATTACAATAGAATCTATCACTGCTAATTGTAACAGCAAGAGACAGAAATAACAGGAAAAGATCAGACTGTGAATTGGAAAGAAGAGCTAACACCGGTACAGTTTTATAACCATCCTGAGTCACTGCTGTGCAGCCTTCTCCAGTTGGGCATTTTTCTCATTTACTATTTCATGATTTTACTTTATTTCCAAAGGTATTAGCTTTGAAGTGAGCAACACATTAAAGAAACTTTACTACATACTGAGACATGTTTCCATGTAAGACTCACAGTCACCTGTTCCGGAAAAGTATGCCAGAGGTATGTTGCAGCACTCTTGCTGCAACTGAGACTGTGCATCCGCATCCATCAGTATGATGGAAAAAGTGTTGCTCCATTCAACAGCTGACAGTGATGAAATGGAACTTGTGCAGTTATGTATGTGGTGATGATGCATGTCCAATGACCTGAACAGATTATTTTCTTCATCTTCAGTGATAACCACATTCATGCATGAACTTTTCATAACTTCATTTTTTTTCCCCTAAATTCCTGAAGGGCAGATAATAACACTTCCTAATTATCAAATAAGGATGCAGAATGTTTGGGGAAATAATTTCTAAAGCCTACGACAACATCATCAATGGGTTATTTCATTAATAGAAATGCCTTGCTTTAAGATTCTTCACATTCAGAAGTTGTTAAACACTCCGAATAAAAGAATAATAAGAACAAACAGAAAGCAAGCACAGAGCAGGTTATGTATAACTATTTTAGAATGAAGCAAGGTGCAGGTTTTGGAATGATGAACACCCATTTCATCAGCCCAGCTCTCAAGAGCTTCCAAATTCTTACAGCAAGTTTCAGCTGGGATTGTTCACATTTTTTTCCTGAAAATATACACCAGCAGCTAACAAAAACCTTTCTATGTCACTTTTACTACAGAGTTACTATTACAAGTACAAAACTCGTCATCAAGTTTTGGTAGAGTGTTCTTTACTTTATGCTGTAACTAGACTGATTGTAAAAATAAACATCTACAGACATGTAGGCACCTATCCCTATCTTCCTATCTTTACTGCATACGGACAATTACAAGCAGGACTTCAACCCACCAGGTAAAATTAAGGTAAAATTAGCTTATTGACCTGAAAGCACAATGATTTTTTTCAGCAATAGAGCGCTTAAACCCCCATGGAAGAATGTCTTGTGGAGCCAACAACCCACAGTGGCAGAAAACAATCTGGCCTTGTGACATTCCCCTCCACGGATCTGACAGCAAAGAAGAAACCCGGATCTATTATCCAGCAGCGCTGGCAGGTCTCTGAACCCCAGAAGAGATGCAGTATCTAAGTGGACTGTCTCAAGTATCATTTTAATTAACTATGTCTGAAGCGGGTGCTGAAGCTCCTTGCTAATCAGTTAGAATTTTTGTCAAGTAACTGTGACATACATGAAGTATTTTGTCTTGATTTTAGATGTTCTGACACACTAACAAGGACTTAATTAAGTCAGATTTTCATTTGACAGGAGCTGGAGTCAGATAGGGAAAGGATGATCAATTCCTATGCTGATTTGATATAATATACCATCATTCGGTCTTGTGAGTGAAAAGAAGTTATGTATTGATCTTTTACTTGTTTTAATTGCACTACATCAAGTTGCTGGACTCAACACTTACATATGTCCATGTACTCATTTCTCTTTAACTAGCAAGACAATGTAGCAAGACACAATTCAAAGTAGTATTGATTATGTGAGTGTTTTGCCAAACACCTCTATCTTTTTCTGCAAGTACTTCCATTAATCAAGATTACAAGGCTGTTCCCAATGTCACAGCACATACATCTATTTCCTTCCACTGTCACAGCACAAAGACTACTCCTCTTCCTAGTTTTAATTTAGGACTTTCTCCCATTGAGCATACAACACACGAATGTCTCAAACACTGTTTTAACTTAAAAGTGTATGAGTGAAGAGTCATTAACAGGATTTCTCTTAATTCTTAAGAGCACATTTCCCTGGTGCTTAGTATTTATACAGTTCTGTGCACAGAAATTACTCAACACTAGCCACTTTTTAACAAGCTTTGCAGTCTACTTCACTTGCTTCAGAGGTTAGCCTTTTGCTATGTTTTAAGAGCTGACTGCTGAGTAAATACAAAGAGAATTTTGGTCTCAATTTGTTATCATTTCAAAGATCGCACTTCTTAATTGCAATTTCTATATAGCAGTTTTTGACAGCAAAGTACATTCACAGAGCTGGTATTTGGAGAAGAACATCCTTGGACGGTTGCTAAGGGATGTTTCACAGCAATTAGATTTTTACTGAGCAAATCCTAATGAATACTTGATCAAGCTGCTGAAAGGCCAGTGGAGAGAATCAAATTCATAAATAGAGTGATCCTCTGGAAGCATTACAGCAAACTGACAGCACTGTTAATATTCTTACCTAAATAACCTGGATACTTCAGCATTTCAAATACTGCAGGAGAGAAGTTTTTAAATTGATTTAATTTTCATGTCCTTCCATTTTTTTTCGCAGACTATCCCAATTATTTCTAAGGATTGCACATGAAGCAATGCAGAAAAGACATGTATGCCCAAACATTGCTATTTATTTCAAT